ATTACAGGCGTGAGCCACCGCGCCCGGCCGAGCCCCTCGTTTCCATCGTAGCTTCAGCTCCGTCAACGTGGTGTTTGTTTCCACTGTAGACAGGCACTTAGGTTGGAATTCTTTTGGTGTTTGCTTTGTCTTGTTTTGCTGCTAACAAAAAATGCTGCATTAAACACCCACCTCCAAGACGTCTATAAGAAGGTGTGAAGAGCCCACCATTTTCCCGGGACCACTTGGCCCTCTGTGACCCAAGTCAGCCTCGGTGAAGTGGTTTATTAATTTCCTCGTTTTTCGTTGCTCCCTGTCACCTGCAAGACCTTTGAAAGGTTGCACCCAGCCAGGCATGGTGGCTCATGTCTGTAATCCCAGTTCTATGGGAGGCTGAGGCGGGCGGATCACATGAGGTCAGGAGTTTGAGACCAACCTGGGCAACGTGGTGAAACCCTGTCTCTTCTAAAAGTACAACAATTAGCCAGGCTTGGTGGCGCGTGCCTGTAATTCCAGCTGCTCGAGAGGCTGAGGCATGAGAATCCCTTGAATCCAAGAGGTGGTAACTGCAGGGAGCTGAGGCTGTGCCACTGCACTCCAGCCTGGGTGACAGAGTAAGACTCTCCAAAAAAAAAAAGAAAAGAAAGAAATGTCTTACTAGACAGTTTCAGGCTGGAATCTGTTTGCATTTGTGCCATCCGGCATTTCCAGCCTGGGAAGAGTCAGTGACAGGAACGAACCGTGGGTGCCTCTGTGGGGGTGGCTCCCAGCGGCTCCCGCCTGGTTGCCCTTGAGTTGGCTGAGGAGCTGAGAACTTGGACTTCAGGATTCTCTGACTTCACTGGTCTGACGTGGAGCTCCCAGTGTTTGAATAAGAAGTGGCTGGGTGTGGTGGCTCACACCTGTAATCCCAGCACTTTGGGAGGCCGAGGCAGGTGGATCACTTGAGGTCACGAGTTCAAGACCAGCCTGGCAACATGGCGAAACCCCGTGTCTACTAAAAGTACAAAAATTAGCCAGGCGTGGTGGCAGGCGTCTGTAATCCCAGCTACTCGGGAGGCTGAGGCAGGAGAATCGCTTGAACCTGGGAGGTGGAGGTGCAGTGAGCCAAGATTGTGCCACTGCACTCCAGCCTGGGCAACAGATCAAGATTCCGTCTCAAAAAACAAAAGAAAAAAATGGCAGCTAGCCTCAGCCGTTTACGCAGGGACAGGTGTTTATGTGGGAGGAAGATTAGATATTAGATCTCGCCTCCTCCTGCGGCCTTGGAGCTATGGGGACAGGGACGCTGGGGGTGAGGACGGTTCACGGTAGTAAAGTCCTACGAGAGTGGGAGGGGAGTGGAGGCCCCAGGACCATGTGGGTGCAACAGCAGGGACGGGACAGTCACCCAGACCGAGCCGGGGCAGGGCTGTGGGAGCACAGGTCAGTGTGACGTTGGCTGGGGCTCAGCATGCGTGACCCAGGGCTGGGCAGTTCCACTCCTGCACGTAGACACAGACGAGGATGCTCCTAGTAGCCCTACCCAAGTGCTTCTTGCCAGAATGGGTCCATTTGTCCAGTGGGCTGCTGTGCAGCGATTGGACGCAGAACCTCGTCCTGGCTGCACGGACAGGCCTTTGTTTGCAGTCGGCTTCTTGGTTAAGCTCTTTTAATTTTTTTAAACTTTTTTTTTAATTAGAGGCAGGGTCTTGCTGTGTTGCCCAGCCTGGAGTTCAGTGGCACAATCACTGCAGCCTTGACCTCTCCTGCTCAAACAGTCCTCCCACCCCAGCCTCCTAAGTAGTTAAGACTACAAGCACCACCGTGCCCGGCTACATTAAAAAAAATTCTTTTTATTTTTTTGAGATGGAATTTTGCTCTTGTTGCCCAGACTGGAGTGCAATGGCGTGATCTCGGCTCACCGCAAACCTCTGCCTCCCGAGTTCAAGTGATTCTCCTGCCACAGCCTCCCGAGTAGCTGGGATTACAGGCGCCTGCCACCATGCCCGGCTAATTTTGTATTTTTAGTAGAAACGGGGTTTCTCCACGTTGGTCAAGGTGGTCTTGAACTCCTGACCTCGTGATCCACCCGGTGCAGCCTCCCAAAGTGCTGGGATTACACTCGTGAGCCGCTGTACCCAGCATTTTTTTTTGGGAGATGGAGTCTCGCTCTTTCACCCAGGCTGGAGTACAATGGTGCAATCTCGGCTCACTGCAAGCTCTGCCTCCCAGGTTCAAGCGATTCTCCTGTCCCAGCCTCCCGAGTAGCTGGGATTACAGGTGCCAGCCACCAGGCCCGGCTAATTTTTTTTGTATTTTTAGTAGAGACGGGGTTTTGCTGTGTTGGCCAGGCTGGTCACGAACTCCTGAGCTCAGGCGATCCGCCCGCCTTGGCTGCCCAAAGTGCTGGGATTCCAGGTGTGAGCCACTGCTGCTGGCCCAGAACCTTAAGTTCTTGATGTACAGAGAACAGCAGCATCATTGAAGTGTGATTTCTGTTTTTTTGTCTCCACTAATTGTGAGCAAACATTAGGGTGGGGACTGGGCTGCTTGTGTGGGTCCCACGGGCTTCTTGGGAGCCCAGTGTCAGCAGAGAAGGGGAACGGGGGCCCTCACTGTGGGGAGCAGTTTTGCCTGGAGTGCTGTGAGTTTCTCAGATGGAAACTAAGTGGACAGACTGTTCTGGCAAGAGAGGGATGCGCGGCCGCGTGTGGGCTGGGAAATGCTTGCCTTTGGAATTCCAGGTTTGCCTTGATGTCAGGTGGGCCATGACGGGCATCGTCTGCCCACGCCCGGAGCCCGGCGTCCTGCTCGTTGTTCCTGGGGGTGGGTTCTTGAGCGTTGCCTCCTTGCCGTGTAAATGAATTTGGTTTTAGAAACTCGCTGGTGGTGGCAGAGTCTGCGTAGCAGGTGCTGTGACAGCGTCCCCAGTCGAGGTGGGAGGGAGAGGGCAAGGGCCGTGAGGCCCAGTGAGGTGGGGAGTGAGATCCCGGCCTGCTGTGCAGAGCCCTGTCCCCGTGCTCTGTCCTTTTGTTCTGCCGCACCCTTTGTTCTTGGATTTTCACCTCAGGAAAGCCAGGTAGCTGCTCCACCCCCAGCCCGGGCCCATCAGTCCGGGAAAAGGGCACAAAGTCTCCTAGCTCCCTGGCTCAGGGCCCAGCCAGTCCTAGCTCCAGGGAGGCTGCAGCCCACAGAGATTTAGCTCCCGGCTCATTGTCACCCCAAGCTAAGCCGCGGACCATGCTGCTGAGCAGGAAGAAGGGAATGGTGCCTCTGTGGAGATCCGGCACTGTCAGTGGCCTGAGGAGTGGACACAGTCGCCTTTTGCTATTCTGAGGCTGTGGGAAGTGGTGGAGGGGCTGGCCTCGTCCCCACTGAGGCCTGGGGTGCCCTTGGAGGCAGCTGTCCTGGTGCACCGAGGGGTCAGGGCACACATGGGTGGCCTGGGAGCGTCCGGGTGGCACTGAGCTAGCGGTGTGATGGGCAGATGGGGAGCTCTGGGTGCACAGACACACAGAGCAGGGGTAGGAGAGGAGAGAGGGGACGGCGGCAGAGGCCACAACACACAGAGCAGGGGGAGGGGAGGAGAGAGGGGACGGCGGCAGAGGCCCTGGTGTTGCCCCCACTGGGGAGAGGGCAGGACCACCTGTTCCCGGGTGTGGAGAGGCCGAGTTTCAGGCACCTCTGAGCACTGCTGGGCAGGTGAGCTGGGGGAAAGGCCGGCCTGAGCACCTGGGGGAAGTCTCGGTAGGGGAAGGGGCGGAGTGCGTCCTTCAGTGTGAACATAGAATATATATACAGACAGCACGCACGCAAGTGCATAAGCATAAACCTAGAAGGAGGTCGTGGGTGAGGTGGGAACCCCAGTTTCCCTGGGGAGAAGTGAGAGGAGGAGGGGTCCTGGGTCGGGCAGCACGGCCGGCACCACACGCTCCCAGAACGCCGTGTTGGTGAGACAGGATGGGTGCCCCTTCAGATGCACAGCCACCCACCGAAGTAGGAAGAGAAACCCAAGTGTGAGAAACAGGAAATCAGGGCTGCCTGAGTGCTGGGGTTGAGACCTGGGGGAGGTGGGGTCTCGGTGCTGCGGAGTCACGGTGGCACCTGCGCAAAGCCCGAGCTGGGGGGATGATTCCCACCGGCCCTTGGAAGGAAACAGGCTGTTCTGACCTTCCCGGAGGTTGTGGGAAGGGAGGGGGTGTCTCGCCTGAAAAGCCAGTCACCTGAGCGTGAGGCAGGGGTAAGTGTGGCTTTGTACCACGGGGTCTGTCTAGAGAGTAGCATGGAATTAGTCCTGGGGCATCTGGCGGCGGCAGCCACAAAGCCCATCAAGAAGGTGCAGCTGCCAGCCAGGGCGTGAAGGACCCACAGCCCCAGGTCTGCCAGGAAGGTCAAGTGTGCCTGGAGACTGTCTCCCAAGAGCAAGGATCTGCCAACACGTGCAGAGAAAAATGGGATTCAATTGCTAAAACTCTCTGGACGGTGAATGATTGCATTTTCTTTTTTTTTTCTTAAGACAGTCTCACCCTGTTGCTGAGGCTGGCGTGCAGTGGCACCGTGTCGACTCACTGCAACCTCTGTCTCCTGGGTTCAAGCAGTTCTCCTGCCTCAGCCTCCCAAGTAGCTGGGACTACAGGCACCTGCCACCATGCCCAGCTAATTTCTTTTTGTATTTTTAGTAGAGACGGGGTTTCACTGTGTTAGCCAGGATGGCTATGATCTCCTGACCTTGTGATCCGCCCGCCTCGGCCTCCCAAAGTGCTGGGATTACAGGGGTGAGCCACCGCACCCGGCCCCGCCTGGCTAGTTTTTATATTTTTAGTAGAGACGGGGTTTCACTGTGTTGGCCAGGCTGGTCTTGAACTCCTGACCTCAGGTGATCCACCTGCCTCGGCCTCCCAAAGTGCTGGGATTACAGGTGTGAGCCACCGTGCCTGGTGCAATTGCATTTTCAGAGTAATTTTAAATTGGTGGTTGAAACCTTTGAGGACATTGAATGTTCAAAACGGGTAATATGTTTCCCTTTCTTACCGTTTTAGCGTCTGCTTCTGCGCTCTGCCTGGGAGAGGCCCTGGTGGCCTCGTTCCTGGCGCCCGGAGTCCCTGCTGCGGCCCCACCCCCAGGCGGTCCCGGTGACCCATGCTGCCCAGCCTGGAGGTAAAGTCGTTCCTGGCGGTGGCTTCGGCATGTCGTCCTCGGTGAAAACCCCGGCGCTGGAAGAGCTCGCTCCTGGCTCTGAGGAGAAGCCTAAAGGCAAGTCGCCTCTCGGCTGGGGCTCTCTGTTTGGTCACCGAAGCGAGAAGATTGTTTTTGCCAAGAGCGACAGCGGCGTGGATGAGAACGTCCTGACTGTCACCATCACGGAGACCACGGTCATCGAGTCAGACTTGGGTGTGTGGAGCTCACGGGCGCTGCTCTACCTCACACTGTGGTTCTTCTTCAGTTTCTGCACACTCTTCCTCAACAAGTACATCCTGTCCCTGCTGGGAGGCGAGCCCAGCATGCTAGGTAGGCGGCGGCTGGCGCGGGGTGGAGACCAGCTGCCCGGGAGGGTGTGGGGAGCCCGGGTCAGGATGGGAACCCGGGGTGGAGCCCGCTGCAGGTGCGGGGTCGGGATGGGAACCCGGGTCGGGATGGGAACCCCGGGGTGGAGCCCGCTGCAGGTGCGGGAGGGGTGATTCTCCCGCTTGGCTTTGGCCCCCTCCCTCCCGCAGGTGCGGTGCAGATGCTGTCCACCACGGTTATCGGGTGTGTGAAAACCCTCGTTCCTTGCTGTTTATATCAGCACAAGGCCCGGCTTTCCTACCCACCCAACTTCCTTATGACGATGCTGTTTGTGGGTCTGATGAGGTAAAGAATCTCACGCTTTGGTTGAGTCTCTTTTTCTTTAAATGTAAAGTCCCTGTCTTGTTACTAGAGCGGGGACTCTGCTGGCTGGTGAGTTTTCAGTGCAGAGTTTATAAAAGCGTCAGGGCCATCCAGATTTTAGGACACCAGGTGAATGTGAATTCGTGGCTCTCACTGCCTCTTGCGCAGTCAGCTTCTTTCCAGGCTGGTGGTCACAGGACAAGGTGCCTCCTTGTCTCTGGGGCATTTTCAAAGGGTGGCGGATGTCACTTCACGTTGGGCGCAGTGCCATTTCCTGGGGGTTCGACCTAAAGCGTCGCAGAAGCAGGTCCAGGCACCACGTTGGTGATGAGGAGGTGGGAAGAGGGGCTGACGTGCCCATTGACCGAGCAGGTCCCTTGGAGAGAGCCTGCCCAGTGGCTGCAGGTAGACAGACTTGTTCTAAGGTAATGGTGCTTTTTGCTAATTTTTAGGTTTGCAACTGTGGTTTTGGGTTTGGTCAGCCTGAAAAATGTGGCGGTTTCGTTTGCTGAGACGGTGAAGAGCTCCGCCCCCATCTTCACAGTGATCATGTCTCGGATGATTCTAGGGGAGTACACAGGTGAGGCCCCTGGGCCCCACCATCCCAGGCCTTCATCCGCGGTGCCTGTCTTTGCCACCTCCCATGGGGCTCTGCCAAGAGGACCACTCAGAGCGGGGCCCACACTGGCAGTGCCTTCACTTCTCTCCTGAAACATTTTCCCCACGGTCACATGTGCGGGGGTGTCTTGGAGCCTGGTGTCTGCCAGGTCTTCTCACACTGGCATGCGGAGGTCAGGGCAGGGTTGTACCTCATGGCCCTAACTGGGTGGGGAGACAGTTGGGGACTGGGCAGATTCCTGGCAAGCAAGATTACCGCAGGTGCCAATCACTGACCCGAAGAGGATGGGCGGGGGCCGCCTTCGGCCAGCATCACACAGGTGGCTGTGGCTCCTGGTGTATGGGCCAGCCTGTGCCAACACCCTACAGCCTCCCCAGTGCCCGCCACCACAGGCCTCTCCTGGGCCCCAGCCCCTGACCTCAGCTGCAACCCAGGCTCTTGCCTCTCCCACCTCTTAATGACTCACAGGCGATTTCCAGCGACATGTAGGCTCCATGTCGCATATCCGGTGTGGCTGCATGAAAACAAGCGAGGGACAGAGGCACCCACAGAGCGTGGCGTCTTGCACGGAGTGGGGGGGGGGTATGTACACACGTGTTCGCCTGTTTAAGAAACGACAAGATCTTAAGGCCAAGGCAAATGTCTGTCTGCCTTTGGGGACGGGAGGAGGCTGAGGGTCCAAGGCGGGGTTGGGCTTGCCCCACGTGCACGTGAGACCCGCACACACGTTTAGGTGATTATAACAAAATCAAAGCTTAAAAGTCAACTGCTTCTTTGTTTTTGTTTTTTTGTTGTTGTTGTTTTTTTGAGGCAGGGTCTTGCTTTGTCGCCAAGCTGGAGTGCAGTGATGAGATCACGACTCACTGCAACCTCTGCCTCCCGCTTAGGCGATCCTCCCACCTCAGCCTGTTGGGTAGCTAGGACCTCAGACATGTGCCACCATGCCCGGCTAAGTTCTGTATTTTGTGTGTGTGTGTGTGTGTGTGTGTGTGTGTGTGTGTGTGTGTGTGTGTTTTAAACTGTGAATGTACGTTAGTCATTTTTCTTACAATTGAAACTTGAAACTCTGGGGATTCAGAATTAACAGCCTTGCCTGTGAGCTTCTTCTCGACACCAGAAAAAGTTCCGACCTTGCATTTCACATTGTTCTGCTGGGCTTTGTCCAAATGAACCCTTGTGAGCTGCTGCTGTCATTTTCATGAGGATTCTCTTGTCCACAATTTCACCTGGGAAGACCAAGTCCTCAAGGATTGTGACGTACGCGACTGTCAGACCGTGGATCCTGGGACACCTTTGCTTATTTTTTGTACACCTTTTTTGAGTTGGTTTAGACAGAATTCTCCTCTAAGCAATAGACAGCATACTTCCCAGTGAACTTTTTCTTCAATTCATGTACTAGCCAGACTTGGATTTTCTGGAATGATTTCAGTGGCAGAACAGGAACAAAAACTATAACTTCCTTTTTTTCTTTTTTTTTTCTTTTTTTTTTTGAGACGGAGTCTCGCTCTGTCGCCCAGGCTGGAGTGTAGTGGCACGATCTCGGCTCACTGCAAGCTCTGCCTCCCAGGTTCTCGCCATTCTCCTGCCTCAGCTTCCTGAGTAGCTAGGACTACAGGCGCCGCCACCACGCCTGGCTAATTTTTTGTATTTTTAGTAGAGATGGGGTTTCACTGTGTTAGCCAGGATGGTCTCCATCTCCTGACCTCGTGATCCACCCACCTCGGCCTCCCAAAGTGCTGGGATTACAGGTGTTAGCCACTGTGCCCGGCCCTTTTTTTTTTTTTTTCTTTTTTTGAGATGGAGGCTTCCTCTGTCGTCCAGGCTGGAGTGCAGTGGCGCAATCTCGGCTCACTGCACCCTCCGCCTCCTGGGTTCAAGCGATTCTCCTGCTTCAGCCTCCCGTGTAGCTGGGATTCAGGAGACTGCCACCACACCCAGCTAATTTTTGCATATTTAATAGAGATGGGGTTTCACCGTGTTGGCCACGCTGGTCTCGAACTCCTGCCCTCGTGATCTGATCTCCCACAGTGCTGGGGTTCCAGGCATCAGCTGCTGCGCCTGGCCTGTGGTAACTTTCTGACCACCAGCGACCTCCGTTTCCCTCGCTGCCGTGGTGATCAGCTCCCTGAGCTGAGCCCTGACGTCCGAGTTCATTTCCAGCTCCCGAAGAACTGAGAAGCCAAGAACAGCAGGGCCAACCCTCAGCGCATGTCTGAGCACCCCCGGCCTCATATGTGTGTGTTTTATAGAGATGGGGTCTCGCTATGTTGCCCAAGCTGGTCTTGAACTCCTTGCCTCACGTGATCCTCCTGCCTCGGCCTCCTAAAGTGCTGGGATTATAGGCGTCAGCCGCTGCGTCCGACTTTAAAAAGCAATCCTGAAAATCATGAACAAAATGACACAGAGCAACCTTGTTGCCCATCAAACCGTGCAGAAAGGAGCTGTTTATTTCCAGCAAGTTTAAAACGTCGATTTGATCTCCAGCCATGGTAGATGAGATATTAGAAAACCAACTCTCTTGCTGACAACAGTGAGAAAATCTTGATGCCATTTAGCAAAAAGAAGTCTGTAGGGGAGGCGTTGGAGAGTGACGGAGGTGCCAGGGCCTGAGGCACTCAGCTTCCGGAGCCTCGGGCAGCCCAGAGAAGTGACCCTGTCTTAAGGCACCACCCTCCCCAGTGCATTTGCTAATGGTTTCTGAGCAGAGCAGTCTCCTGGGGCTGAAGGGGCACAAGCTGGAACGGGCGCGCCACCTTGGGGACCCCCAGACTCCAGACCTTCAGCTGGGATGGGAATCTGGTGCTGGATAAAGGTGTCTGACGCCCCAGCGGCATGTCACCAGCAGCAGCACGTCCTCCCGGAAGGGTGAAACGGCGTTCAGTCTCCAGTGTTCTCTACACATTTCATAAATGTTGTCTGGGATTCAACCGGTTTCCAGCAGAGGACGAGACCAGGTGATGGCAAATGAGAGGATGCCCCAGTGGCTGGAGCCTGCCAACACGGACGCGGGTCCCTCTGCTACGCCAGGGTCTCGGCCAGGCCACATCTGCGGGTTTCCCACATTAACTTGACTCAGGTTTCTTTTTCTTCTTTTGAGACAAGGTCTCACTCTGTCGCCCAGGCTGGAGTGCGGTGGCGTGATCACAGCTCACTGCAGCCTCGGCCTCCCCAGCGCAGGTGATCCTCCCACCACAGCCTCCCCAGTAGCTGGGACCACAGGCGTGTGCCACCACACCCAGCTAATTTTTATATTGTTTGTAGAGGTGGGGTGTCCTTGTTGCTCAGCCCTGGGCTCAAGTGATCCTCCTGCCTCGGCTTCCCAAAGTGCTAGGATTACAGGTGTGAGCCATGTTCTGCGGATTTTTTAAAAATTCCTTCACGTAAAAGTGTTTTGTTATGTTTCAAAAGGAACAGAAAAGCAGCAACTCAATGTGGGCGCGCCCCTCCTGGCCCCCAGAGTCTCTTTCTCTGCAGTTCCCGGGGGACCATGTTCACACTCACCGTTTCACATTCACAGAACATTCTGAGCATCCACAGAACTAGGAAGGTTTCTGGGGCTCACCCGCCCGTGGCTGGGGCTCAGCCTCTGGGAGACGCATCTCATGCAGAGTGAAAGGCGCCACCTTTGCCGTGGGGACGGGACTTGTTCGCAGACGTGGACTTTGATTTGCTTTATCTTACAATGTGAAGGAACTGACAAGTATTGTTTTTGAATCGAAGGACGCGTCCGTTCCTTTTATAAGAGGGAACGGAAACAGCCTGGGCCTCGGGAGGGAGCTTCCACCCGGCGGGTCAGCCACTCACAGGGGCTGTCCTCTTGCCAGGGCTGCTGGTCAACCTCTCCCTCATCCCAGTCATGGGCGGGCTGGCACTGTGCACGGCCACTGAGATCAGCTTCAACGTCCTGGGGTTCTCGGCCGCGCTGTCCACCAACATCATGGACTGGTGAGTCACAGAGAAGGTGGGTGTGAGGGGGACAAGACCCGGTGCTCCCTTGCCTGCATCTGGGTGTGCGGATTCTCAGATGAGCTGAGAATTCTTCCCGTGAGCCAAAGCAGGTGCATCCTATGCTGCGCTTTCCTAAAGAGCAAAACAGGCCGGGCGCGGTGGCTCACGCCTGTAATCCCAGCACTTTGGGAGGCCGAGGTGGGCGGATCATGAGGTCAGGAGATCAAGACCATCCTAGCGAACACAGCGAAACCCCGTCTCTACTAAAAAAGGCAAAAAATTAGCCGGATGTGGTGGTGGGTGCCTGTAGTCCCAGCTACTCGGGAGGCTGAGGCAGGAGAATGGTGTGAACCCAGGAGGCGGAGCTTGCAGTGAGCCGAGATTGCGCCACTGCACTCCAGCCTGGGCGACAGAGCGAGACTCCGTCTCAAAAAAGGGAAAAAAAAGAGCAAAACAGCAGTTATCCTCGTAAGGTAACTTTCTCAAAAACAAGCCAAAATTTCAGGATGGACAGTCTTGATACTTAAAATACTAACCATGGAGACACGGTTAGTTGATAAATGCTGAAATGCACGGCATACGTTCAGCGGTGCATCTCGCTCAGGGCGTCTTCACGCGGCTGCCAGAGCAGGGACAGTCCCCCAACGGCAGGTTCTACCTGTTCGGGAGCTGCGCCACCTCCAGGCCGGGTGGATCCTCTGCTTCCTTGGTGGCCGTCGGTGTCCTGGTGTCACGATGGCAGAAAGGATGAGAGGCCAATTCCCACAGTGAGGACGGCACGTGGCGGGGTCCAAGAGGAAAGGGCCCTGTTATTCATGTCTTTGTCACTCAGTAGAGAAGAGCGGTGGACGCTGCACTTTGGGGCCTGTTCAGATTCACCCAGAATTGGGCGTCCACATCCCTGCTGTGCTGTTAATGGCCACACTCCAGCCCTGGCAAAACTTGCCCTTTGAGAATGACTGGCTTCTAGGCTTTTCCTGCTTTTGAGGAAGGAAAGGAAAAGACACCACCACCGGTGTCTAAGAGTTTATCATTATTACTAATAAGCAAAACAGGTTCATGGTGAGATTTTGAATAATACAGAAGTAAAAATAAAAATCTGTTGGGCGCGGTGGCTCACGCCTGTAATCCCAGCAGTTTGGGAGGCTGAGGTGGGCAGATCACAAGGTCAGGAGATCAAGACCACCCTGGCTAACACGGTGAAACCCCATCTCTACTAAAAATACAAAATATTAGCTGGATGTGGTGGCGGGCACCTGTAGTCCCAGCTACTCGGGAGGCTGAGGCAGGAGAATGGCATGAACCCGGGAGGCGGAGCTTGTAGTGAGCCGAGATCTCGTCCACCCCACTCCACCCTGGGTAACAGAGCAAGACTCTGTCTCAAAAAACAAAATCTGTTGGGCGTGGTGGCTCACACCTGTAATCCCAGCACTTTGAGAGGCTGGAGTCGGTGGATCACTTGAGGTCCACCAAGCTGGAGTTGGAGACCAGCCTGGCCAACATACTGAAACCCCATCTGTACTAAAAATACAAAAATTAACCGGGCGTGATGGTGGCACCACTGAGGTCTGGTCATTGTCGCCGTCGCTGCGTGTGAGCGCAGACACCTAGTCCCCTGATGTTCCGTGCTGAGGGCTAGTATTGATGCATCACCTCTTTTCTTTATTCTAGTTTGCAAAATGTTTTTTCGAAAAAGCTTCTCAGCGGGGACAAATACAGGTTCTCGTAAGTATTACTCGTCAGTGAAATCTCCAGGTCATAAGACGAAGAGGACTTCCTGCCCACTTTAAGAGTCAGAGCACCCCACAGACCTGACTCCCTTCCTGTCTGGCTTGGGTGGTCTTTACAAGTACCTTGTCTAAGGTCGGGAGGGACCCGCCTGCTTCTCAGCCGCTCCCTTGAGCCCCTCAGCCAGCCTGGCGTGCGTTTGCGTTTTCATTTCTGGGAAGCTGCAGCGGCCCTTGTCCTGCCTAGAGAGAACGAACGTCTCATGGGCTGGGGTGCCTGGATGTTCTTGCTGTGAGGAGCTGCTTGTGGACCCGGCCTCTCCCGACATGGCGGGGGCCCAGCGTGTTCTGTTGCCCACAGGGCCCCGGAGCTGCAGTTCTACACCAGTGCCGCCGCGGTGGCCATGCTCATCCCGGCCCGGGTCTTCTTCACGGTGGGTTTCAGACACAGGTGTCCCATCCTTACTCGCCCGGCTGCCTTATCTGGTGATTCAGGGGCAGAATGACTTCCCTTTCCAGGCCGTGTGCTGGCTGGTCGTGCCCAGCTCCACCGCCGCCCTGCTTAGCTGAGGTGCTCTGGGAGCCACTTGGGGTTTGCAGCTCAGATTTTTGTGTGAAGACTTTTATTTTGTTTGTTGTTTGTTTTGTTTTGATTCTTCATCATTCAACTTGAGGGGGCTTTTAGGCTAGCTTAATTTCTTTTTTTAATCACAAAAACTTTTTTTTTTTTTTCGAGAAGGAGTCTCGCTCTATATCCCAGGCTGGAGTGCAATGGCGTGATCTCTGCTCACTGCAAAGTCTGCCTCCTGGGTTCACGCCATTCTCCTGCCTCAGCCTCCCAAGTAGCTGGGACTACAGTTGCATGCCACCATGCCCAGGCAATTTTTTTTTTTTTTTTTGAGATGAAGTCTCTCGTTGCCCAGGCTGGAGTGCAGTGGCACAATCTGGGTTCACTGCAACCTCCGCCTCCAGGTTCAAGCGATTCTCCTGCTTCAGCCTCCCGAGTAGCTAGGATTACAGGTGCGCACCACAACGCCTGGCTAATTTTTGTATATTTAGTAAAGAGGGAGTTTCACCGTGTTTACCAGGCTGGTCTCCAATACTTGATCTTAAATAATCCACCCGCCTCGGCCTCCCAAAGTGCTGGACAGGCGTGAGCCACTGCATCTGGCCTAAATAGTTTTTTTTTTTTTTTTTAGACAGAGTCTCGCTCTGTCGTCCAGGCTGGAGTGCAGTGGCACCATCTCGGCTCACTGTGAGCTCCGCCTCCCAGGTTCACACCATTCTCCTGCCTCAGCCTCCTGAGTAGCTGGGACTACAGGTGCCCGCCCCAACACCCGGCTAATTTTTTTGTATTTTTAGTACAGATGGGGTTTCATGGTGTTAGCCAGGATGGTCTCGATGATCTGACCTCGTGATCCACCCGCCTCAGCCTCCCAAAGTTCTGGGATTACAGGCGTGAGCCACCGTGCCCATCCCATGTTAACTATTTTTAAGTGTAAAGCTGAGTGGCCATCACCATCACCCATCTCCAGAACTCTTCGTTTTGCAAAACTGAACCTTTGCCCTCATTCAGTACTCTCCATTCTCATCCCCCAACCCTGGCACCCTCATTCCACTTTCTGTCTCTGAATTTGGTGACCCTAAAGACGTCATACAAGTGGAATCATATCACATCTGTCCTTCTGTGTCTGGCTTATCTCACGTAGCATGGTGTTTTGGTGTTTTGAGGTTTACATGTGTTGTTGCATGAATCAGTTTCTTCCCTTCGTATTTTTTGAGACTGGGTCTTGCTGTGTCACCCAGGCTGCAAAGCACTGCAGCCTCATAGCTCACTGCAGCCATGGCCTCCCAGGCTCAAGCGATTCTCCTGCCTCAGCTTCCCAAACAGCTGGGATGGCAGGCATGTGCCACACCTGGTTTATTTATTTATTTATTTATTTTTTTTTTTTTTTTTTTTTGAGACAGAGTCTCACTCTGTCGCCCAGGCTGGAGTGCAGTGGCCGCATCTCAGCTCACTGCAAGCTCCGCCTCCCGGGTCTACGCCATTCTCCTGCCTCAGCCTCCCGAGTAGCTGGGACTACAGGCGCCCGCCACCTCACCCGGCTAGTTTTTTGTATTTTTTTAGTAGAGACGGGGTTTCACCGTATTAGCCAGACTGGTCTCGATCTCCTGACCTTGTGATCCGCCCGTCTCGGCCTCCCAAAGTGCTGGGATTACAGGCTTGAGCCACCGCGCCCGGCCTATTTTTATTTTTTGAAATGGAGTCTTGCCCTGTCACCCAGGCTGGAGTGCAGTGGGGCGATCTTGGCTCACTACAGCCTCCACCTCCCGGATTCAAGTGATTCTTCTGCCTCAGCCTCCAGAGTAGTTGGGATTACAGGTGTGCGCCACCACTCTGGCTAATTTTTGTATTTTTAGTAGAGACGGGGTTTCACCATGTTGCCCATGTTGCAGTGGCACAATCTGTGCTTACTGCAGGCTGGTCTTGAACTCCTGACCTCGAGTTATCTGCCCACCTCGGCCTCACAAAGCGCTGGGATTACAGGTGTGAGTCACCGTGTGCAGCCAGTTTTTTATTTTTTGTATTAACAGGGTCCTACTGTATTGCCCACCTGGGATGACAGGCGTGAGCCACTGCACTCAGCCTTTTTTCCTTTTTTTTTTTTTTTTTTTTTTTAATGAGACAGTGTCTCGCTGTGTCGCCCCACCCAGGCTGGAGTGCAGTGGCACAATCTTGGCTCACTGCAAGCTCCTCCTCCCGAGTTCACACCATTCTCCTGCCTCAGCCTCCTGAGTAGCTGGGACTACAGGCACCCGCCACCACACCTGGCTAACTTTTTGTGTTTTTAGTAGAGATGGGGTTTCACCGTGTTAGCCAGGATGGTCTCGATCTCCTGACCTTGTGGTCTGCCCACATCGGCCTCTCAAAGTACTGGGATTACAGGCGTGAGCCACCGCGTCCGGCCCCTTTTTTCTTTTTTAAGGTTGAATAGTACTCCATTGTGTGGGTAAGACCACATTCTGTTTATTCATCCATCCATTGTGGGTTCTTTCTGCCTTTGGCTGTTGCAAATAATTCTGTAGTGAATGTGGGGATGCAAATATCCCTTAGAGACCCTGCTTTCAATTCTGTGTTTTAGTATCATTTTTAATAATAGGTACCTCTTTATTAACTCATTAAATAACCAGATCTAGCAGTAAGCCTAGTATCTATGGTAGTTTGATGTAGTGATGAGGGTAAACAGTATTTCAGGGTATCAGCAACAACTGCTAACAGGATATGAAAGTATCTGCAGTTTTGTTTTTTGTTTTTTGTTTTTGTTTTTGAGACTGAGTTTCACTCTTTATTACCCAGGCTGGAGTGCAGTGGCGCAATCTCAGCTCACTGCAAACCGCCGCCTCCCGGGTTCAAGCGATTCTCCTGTCTCAGACTCCTGAGTAGCTGGGATTATAGGCATGCACCACCACACCCGGCTAATTTTTGTATTTTTAGTAGAGATGGTGTTTCACCATGTTGGTCAGGCTGGTCTCAAACTCCTGACCTCAGGTGATTCACCTGACTCGGCCTCCCAAAGTGCTGGCATCACAGGCGTGAGCCACTGCGCCTGGCCTATCTGTAGTATTATAGTTTATTCCCAACATTCATAATTGAATGAAATGCTGAGTTTCAAGTAAAGGTTAGTAAAGATAAAGATGCAGTTTTTTCCCAGTTGAGTTCATGGACTTTCTAAATGCAATTTGTAGACTTCCCTAGAGTCCCCCACACAGAGGGTTCTCTGTGCGAGGTGCAGTTGCAAGTTCTTATCTTATTGTCGTTTTCTGGATTTTAATCCGTTAGCTGTCAAGGCTGGCTGACTTGGCTGTTCTCCCTGCGAGGAAGTTGTGGTTGCCGGCCGGGGCCATCAGTTCTTGTGGGTGTGTACCCAGCAGTGGAACTGCTGGATTATATAATAATTCTGTGTTTAATTTTTTTTTTTTTTTTTTTTGGAGATGGAATCTCACTCTGTTGCCCAGGCTGGGGTGCAGTGGTGCAATCTCATCTCACTGCAGCCTCCGCCTCCCGGGTTTAAGTGATTGTCCTGCCTCCCTCCTCAGTAGCTGGGATTACAGGAGCATACCACCACGCCTGGCTAATCTTTAGATTTTTAGTAGAGACGGGGTTTCACTGTGTTGGCCAGACTGGCCATGCCCGGCCCTTCCTTGGGGTTTCTGTTGCATTTTCCTGCTGATGGTGATGTTCAGCTGCTTTCATGTGCTTGTTGTCTGTTTGCATCAACATGGTGAAAACTAATTAGTGCAAAAAATAATGGGAAAAAAAAAACAGAAAATGGATGAGTGCACAGTTCAGCTCTCCGCCCTAGAGGCATTTTCATAGCTGTCCTCAGTGTCAGCAGCTTTACCCAGTGTCTGGGCAGGAGTGGCGCTGGGCGTTTTTGGTGCATGATTAGTAAATGGAAAATGCAAACCAATAGAATATCGTTTTGTTTTTGCCACATAGGACGTCCCAGTGATCGGGAGGAGCGGGAAGAGCTTCAGCTACAACCAGGACGTGGTGTTGCTGCTTCTGACAGATGGAGTCCTGTTCCACCTTCAGAGCGTCACGGCCTACGCCCTCATGGGGAAGATCTCCCCTGTGACATTCAGGTGAGCAGGGGAACTTCCAGGAGCTGAGGGTGTCCAGGTCGTTTCGAGAAGAGACTAAAAATCTAGGTATTTTTATAAGAGACACATGTGGCCAGGCGTGGTGGCGGCGTCTGTAGTCCCAGCTACTCAGGAGGCTGAGGCAGGAGAATGGCGTGAACCTGGAAGGCGGAGCACTCCAGGTTCACTCCAACAGAGCGAGACTCCTTCTCAAAAAAAAAAAAAAAAAAAAAGAGGCCGGGCGCGGTGGCTCAAGCCTGTAATCCCAGTGCTTTGGGAGGCCGAGACGGGCGGATCACGAGGTCAGGAGATGGAGACCATCTTGGCTAACACGGTGAAACCCCTATCTCTACTAAAAAATACAAAAAACTAGCTGGGCGAGGCGGCGGGCGCCTGTAGTCCCAGCTACTCGGGAGGCTGAGGCAGGAGAATGGCGTAAAACCCGGGAGGCGGAGCTTGCAGTGAGCTGACAGAGCGAGACTCCGTCTCAAAAAAAAAAAAAAGAAAGAGACACATGTGATTCTCTTCCACGGGGATGACTGTGGCTGTGCACTGTAATTACTAGGCCATTTTATACCCATGCCGTTTGAAATGCAAATGATAGGCCGGGCCCAGTGGCTCACGCCTGCTGATCCCAGCACTTGGGAGGACAAGGCAAGTGGATCATTTGAGGTCAGGAGTTCAAGACCAGCCTGGTCAACATGGTGAAACCCTGTCTCTACTAAAAATACAAAAAAATTAGCCAGGTGTGGTGGTGCGCCTGTAATCCCAGCTACTGGGGAGGCTGAGGCAGGAGAATCACTTGAACCCGGGAGCCGGAGGTTACAGTGAGCTGAGATCATGCCACTGCACTCCAGCCTGCGTGATGAGAGCGAGACTCCATCTCAAAAAAAAAAAACAAAGAAATGATAAACTGTAAAATAAACTGTAAACTGTGTGAAATAGGTTTTTAGGGAAATCTCCACTAGAAGTCTTTGCATTTGATGGTTTTTGAAATTGAGTGCTGGCCGGGCGCGGTGGCTCAAGCCTGTAATCCCAGCACTTTGTTGTTGTTTTTTTTTTTTTTTTTTTTTTTTTTTGAGACGGAGTCATGCTCTGTCGCCCAGGCTGGAGTGCAGTGGCCGGATCTCAGCTCACTGCAAGCTCCGCCTCCCGGGTACACGCCATTCTCCTGTCTCAGCCTCCCAAGTAGCTGGGACTACAGGCGCCCGCCACTTCGCCCGGCTAGTTTTTTGTATTTTTTAGTAGAGACAGGGTTTCACCGTGTTAGCCAGGATGGTCTCGATCTCCTGACCTCATGATCCGCCCGTCTCGGCCTCCCAAAGTGCTGGGATTACAGGCTTGAGCCACCGCGCCCGGCCAATCCCAGCACTTTGGGAGGCCGAGGCGGGTGGATCACGAGGTCAGGAGATCGAGACTATCCTGGCTAACATGGTGAAACCCCGTCTCTACTAAAAATACAAAAAATTAGCCGGGCACGGTGGCGGGCGCCTGTAGTCCCAGCTACTTGGGAGGCTGAGGCGGGAGAATGGCATGAACCCGGGAGGCGGAGCTTGCAGTGAGCCGAGATCACGCCACTGCACTCCAGCCTGGGAGACACAGCGAGACTCCGTCTCAAAAAAAAAAAAAAGAAATTGAGTGCTTTTCCGTCTAGAATAGCAGGGTGCCTCGACTAGTCTTGTCTGCAGGAATGGAATGGTCTCTTCTGGGCTGTCCAGTGCAGCAGCCACTGGCCACATACAGCTTCTGAGCACTTGAAATGTGGAGAATGTAACAAGGACCAGATTCTGAATTGAAGCTGATTGTCGTCAGTTTGAACTTGAACAGACACCTGTGGTCACTGGTTCCTGTGCCGCGCAGTGCAACTCTAGAAACGGGGGTGAGGCTCCTTTGGCTTCTTTCCACTTCTGTAACTGAACAGACTGAAGTTGCAATTTATTTATTTATTTATTTTATTTGCCCCAAAACGGAGTCTTGCTCTGTTGCCCAGAGCTTGAGTGCCGTGGTGTGATCTCGGCTCACTGCAGCCTCCGCCTCCGGGTTCAAGCGATTCTTCTGCCTCAGCCTCCTGAGTAGCTGGGATTACAGGCCAATGCCACCATGCCCGGCTAGTTTTTGTATTTTTAGTAGAGACAGGGTTTCGCCATGTTGGCCAGGCTGTTCTCAAACTCCTGACCTTAGGCAATCCGCCCGCCTCGGCCTCCCATAGTACTGGGATTATAGGCGCGAGCCACCACGCCCAGCCAAAGGTGCAATTTGAAGACGAAACTAGCCGGGAGGACTGGAGGTCGAGGCGGGCGGATCGCCTGAGCTCAGGAGTTCAAGACCACCCTGGGCAACGTGGTGAAGCCCCGTCTTTACTGAGACACAAAAAATTAGCCAGGCCTGGTGAAATGTACCTGTAGTCCCAGCTACTTGGGAGGCTGAGGCATCAGGATCACTTCAGCCCAGGAGGCGGATGTCGGAGTGAACCGAGATCACGCCACTGCACTCCAACTTGGGCTACAGAGTCAGACTCCGTCTCCGAAAAAAAAAAAAAAAAGACTGGAGACTTTTTGGTGGCAAATACAAAGGAACCAGGTTATGTCACCAGCAGGGGTAGAAGTCCCCGCGACTGGCAGCAGCAGCCGCCTCACATCCTATTGTGGAAGTCAGCGGCCCTTTTTTCTGAAACTTCTGATCTATCATGAGGTGGCGGAATGGTCCCCAAACATGAAGTGAAAATGAAAAGCAGATGTTGGGGCCGGCGGGGGTGGGGGACAGTCAGGCGTAGCTCTCCCTCTTCTCTGCTTTCCGTCTGGTCCAAGTCAGTGCGGTAAATTCTCAAATACCCGTCGGAGCTGGTAGCCGCGCCCCGCGCACGGAGCGTTCCACAGCTGAGAAACCGGAGCTCGCGCCTCCTCTCACCAGCAGGCCCCGCAGGCCCCACACGGAGCCGTCTCATCCATGGCGCTGCCCCGCCCCACGCTTCCTGCATCCTGAGCAGGAGGTGTCTCCGAGACAGGAAAACTGGCTGTGCTTTCTGAGTTTTTCTAAGTTCACAGTGGTCTCCTGGGCTTGGTCACTGTCTCTCCCCAGCATGTTTCTTTCTGGGGCCAGGAATTATTTCCAAATGCTCCTGAAGCCTAGTGTTTTAGTGAACATTAGTGATTGTTAGCAGTGGTTTAAAAAAAATGATAAAACCTTTTTTATTTTTTGAGACGAGAGTCTTGCTCTGTAACCCAGGCCGGAGTGTGGTGGTGCCGTCTCAGCTCACTACAACCTCCGCCTCCCTGACTCAAGTGATCTTCCCGCCTCAGCCTGCTGAGTAGCTGGGACTGCAGGTGTCCACCACCACGCTGGGCTAATTTGTGGGGTTTTTTTTGTTTTTTTTTTTTAACCAGAGTCTCACTCTGTCGCCCAGGCTGGAGTGCAGTGACGCGATCTCGGCTCACTACAACCCCGCCTCCCAGGTTCAGGAAATTCTCCTGCCTCAGCCTCCCGAGTAGCTGGGATTACAGGCGCCCGCCACCACGCCCAGCTAATTTTTCTATTTTTAGTGGAGACAGGGTTTCATCATCTTGGCCAGGCTGGTCTTGAACTTCTGACCTCAGGTGATCCGCCTGCCTTGGCCTCGCAAAGTGCTGGGATTACAGGCGTGAGCCACCACGTGTTACCCAATTTTCTTTCTTTTCTTTTCTTTTCTTTTCTTTTCTTTTCTTTTTTTCTTTTCTTTTCTCTTTCTTTTATTTTTTGAGATGGAGTCTCACCCTGTCCCCCAGGCTGGAGTCCTGTGGCGCCATCTTGGTTCACTGCAAGCTCCGCCTCCTAGGTTCAAACAATTCTCCTGCCTCAGCCTCCCGAGTAGCTGGGACCACAGGCGCCCGCCACCACACCTGGCTAATTTTTTGTGTGTTTTTAGTAGAGACGGAGTTTCACCGTGTTAGCCAGAATTATCTTGATCTCCTGACCTCATGATCCACCTGCCTTGGCCTCCCAAAGTGCTGGGATTACATTCATGAGCCACCGTGCCCAGCCTGCCCAATTATTTTTCAATAGTAATTTTTTGTTTTATTTTCATGTTGTAAGAGCAGTGAATTAAGTACTCATTATGGAAAGTTTGCACAGGGTATTTCCCGTCACCCTTTTTTTGCACAGTCCTAACATTGTGTATTTGGTATCCTTTTTCACCCAACAAATGATCTCAAGGGATTGTTTTCCCTGGGGCTGCAAAGGCACTGCGACTGTGTGGGCGATGTTCTTATTCTTTTTTTTTTGAGACAGTCTTGCTCTGTTGCCCAGGCTGGAGTGCAGTAGGTGGCGCGATCTCAGCTCACTGCAGCCTCCTCCTCCCGGGTTCAAGCTATTCTCCTGCCTCAGCTTCCCGAGTGGCTGGGATTACAGGCTACTACCCAGCCCGCCACCACACCCAGCTAATTTTTTGTATTTTTAGTAGAGACGGGGTTTCACCGTGTTAGCCAGGATGGTCTCGATCTCCTGACCTTGTGATCCGCCCGCCTCGGCCTCCCAAAGTGCTGGGATTACAGGCGTGAGCCCCCGCGCCTGGCCTGATGTTTTTGTTCTTTAGAGAACAGGCTGAAGTACTCAAGGGGTGAAATGTCACGATATCTGTAATTTTTGTTGTTGTTTTTTTGAGACAGAGTCTCTGTTGCCCAGGCTGGAGTGCAGTGGCGCAATCTCGGCTCACTGCAAGCTCCGCCTCCCGGGTTCACGCCATTCTCCTGCCTCAGCTTCCTGAGTAGCTGGGACTACAGGCGCCCGCCACCACGCCCGGCTAATTTCTTGTATTTTTAGTAGAGACAGGGTTTCACCGTGTTAGCCAGGATAGTCTCAATGTCCTGACCTCGTGACCCGCCCACCTCGACATCCCAAAGTGCTGGGATTACAGGCGTGAGCCACCGCGCCTGGCCTCAATATCTGTAATTTACTTAAAAATATTCCATCCGGGTGTGGTGGCTCACGCCTATGATCCCAGCGGTGTGGGAGGCCCAGGTGGGAAGATCACTTGAGCCCAGGATTTGAAGACCAGCCTGGGCTACACAGTGAGATCCACCTCAATTGGATGAAGCTGATGAGGCGATATCATGAATTCCTGTGTCTAGATCACAGGACGTGGCTGTTCCTTAGGTTTCTCCTCCTCTGCCTTTTTTAATAATGAAAAGCACCCCTTAAAAAAGAAGGGGCGAGGGAGCAGGCAAGCCCCGCTCAAAGCTCCCAAACCCCTGGGCCGAGCTCACCACCACCCAGGTCCCGTCGAGCACCCCCCGCCCCACCCTGGCCTCCAGACCCGGGGTCAGCCGAGCTGCTGGCTGCAGGCTTGATGTCACCGTGACCCTGAGTGCCCCCACCCCAGCCTCCAGACCGAGGCTCAGCCAAGCTGCCGGCCACGGGCCGAGGTGACCATGACCCCGAGCGCCCCTGCTCCCTCCCCTTGTCTCTGCAGCGTCGCCAGCACCGTGAAGCATGCCTTGTCCATCTGGCTCAGCGTCATCGTTTTTGGCAACAAGATCACCAGCTTGTCAGCAGTCGGCACAGCCCTGGTGACAGTTGGGGTCCTGCTCTACAACAAGGCCAGGCAGCACCAGCAGGAGGCGCTGCAGAGCCTGGCTGTGGCCACCGGCCGGGCCCCAGAGGACACGGTGGAGCCGCTGCTTCCACAGGACCCCAGGCAGCATCCCTGAGAGCAGGAAGCTGCCAGCTGCTGCTGTGCTGGTGACACTGCATCCCCCGGAAAAGGACAGGGACGCCCTCCTCCATGGCCCTGCTGGGGTGCCGGACACAGGGAGCTAAGTCGGCCATTCCCTGAGGTTTTCTTGGTTTGCCAGTGAAGACCAGCAGAAACTCAAACTGGGGATTCCAGGTATCAGCTTCCTGGAGTGGAGACCAGAGCCCCCTGTCAGCTGAGCCCATGCCCGTGTAATGTGAAAACAGCCTCTGCGGCTCCCATGCTGGGGGTGCCCACTTCCTCTCTGGGCAGCACCCCAGGGTCCACCGGGAGCCAGGGCTGGGTCCAGTGCCAACGAGAGCTGCTCCCTGCTACAGCCAAGAGAGCACTCAGCTTCCCACACCAGCCATCGAAGGCCCTGAGCCCTGGACTGGCTGCAGATTGGCCCTGGGCATGAGGTCACAGAGCAGGGCTGACGGGCAGGGATAGAGGGCCCTGGAAGGAGGGGTCTCCTGCTGCCACAGTGGGCAATCAGAACTCCTCACCTGACCCACCAGGGCTGTGGGCATCCTCAGACTATCCCAGAGTCATCACGAGCCTCAAGCTACAGCATTGCATGGAAATCAAGGGCTATGACCACGGAGGCCATTCCTCGCTTCTGTGAAGAGGAAGGCCCCCGTACCCCTTCCACATCCTGGGCTGCGTGAGCCCCCCACTCCAGCGTGCCCTGCCCATCGCCTTCCACACCCTGGGCTGCATGAGCCCCCCACTCCAGCGTGCCCTGCCCATCGCCTTCCACACCCTGGGCTGTGTGGGCCCCTGCCCCACTATCCCTTCCCCACTCTGGGCTGCGTGAGTGCCCGCTCTGGGGCGTCCTGCCTGTCACTTCCACACCCTGGGCTGCATGAGCCCCCCCACCCCAGGGCACCCTGCCCTCCTACCTGTGGTGGTTTCTTAGCCCTGAGGTTGAGGACAAACTTCTCATGTTTAATTTGGGAGGAGATGTGTACATTCCTTTTCTTTTTTGGACTCTGAGTATCAGGCAGACTATTCTGAGGTCCCTGTGGGGTGAGCCTGCCTGTTCTGCCTTGGAGCCCACTGTTCCTAATCTCATCATCCAGTACCTGTCCCGACTCCCCACGTGAGCCTTGGGCGGGACGTTGTAGTGTTGATGGCTTGGGTTACGTGGTGTTTACCTGGCGCCATCCTTGCTGAAAAAGGAAGCACCCACACTGAATGTTCTGGGGCACATGGTGTGTATCAGGCGCCCACCCCGTCCCACTCTCCCCGAGGGACAGCAGTAGTGCATGGTGGGGCCAAGGGCCAGCTCAACCCATCCTCCTCAGCATCACGCATCCCCGAGGGTACAGGAGGCCTGAGGAGTGGCTGCTGGAGCTGTGTGTTAGGCAGAGGCTTCTGACCATGCCTGAGCCCTTCACCCCCCGTCTCGCAGCCGGCGAATTCCTATGCCTGGTGCAGTCTGTTGCCAGCGAGCCTTTGAGACCCAGAGCTCCAGGGCTTGTCAGAGGCAGCATGGGGCTCCAGTGGTCCCGAGTCTCATTTCTCTGCCTGCTCCATCCTGAGTCTCATTTCCCTGCCTATTCCATGCCAAGTCTCATGTCCCTGCCTGTTCCATCCCGAGTCTCATGTTCCCTGCCTGTTAAGCCCCGAGTCTCATTTCCCTGCTTGCTCCATCCCGAGTCTCATTTTCCCTACATGCTCTTTAGGCCATTGGCGCCTGAGGTCACTTCACTGGTTTTCCATTTGGCTTCTCACCTGGGAAATACAAAAATAGCCCCTCCTGAAGATAAAATCGTTCGGAAACAGCAATAATTATGACTCATTAACTTCTACCTACTCAAAAAAGTCTGCCTTGATGGTAGACTGAAATGAGGCTTTTTAACCCACAAGCAACCTTTTTATTTTTTTGAGACTGTCTTTGCTCTTTCACCCAGGCTGGAGTACAGTGGCATGATCTTGACTCACTGCAGCCTCGACTTCCTGGGCTCAAGTGATCCTCCCATCTCAGCCTCCTGTGTCGCTCTAACCACAGGCACGTGCCACCATGCCTGGCTATTTTTTTGTTGAGCTGGGCTCTCACTTTGTTGCCCAGGCTGGTCTTGAACTCCTCAGCTCAAGCAGTCCTTCCCACTCAGCCTCCCGTAGTGTTGGGAATACAGGCGTGCACCACTGCACCTGCTCCAGCCACTTGTATAAAACCACTGACCTGTGTGTGGAGGACAGGCCAGGTGTGTGCTCACTGCACTGCGAAGATGGGTCATCACGTGACTTTCCCCAGTTTTCCATTTCTCTTTTTCTGCTTTCCTCAAAAACCAGTATAAGACCGGGCATGGTGGCTCACACCCGTAATCCCAGCACTTTGGGACGCTGCAGCTGGCGGATCACAAGTTCAGGAGTTTTGAGACCAGCCTGGCCAACATGATGAAACCTCGTCTCCACTAAAAATACAAAAGTTAGCTGGGTGTGATGGTGGGTGCCTGTAATCCCAGCTACTCAGGAGGCTGAGGCAGGAGAATTGTTTGAACCCTGGAGGTGGAGGTTGCGGTGAGCCGAGATCGTGCCATTGCACTCCAGCCTGGGCAACAGCAAGACTCTGTCTCAAAAACACTTAGAAAATGCCCTGGAGGTGGCAGAGGATTGTAGATATGTGAGGCCAACCCCCAGGGTGGCCCTGTCCGCCTCCCCATTGAGAATGGCTGCCAGGCTTCCCACTAGCCTCTGAAGATGATGGTCTGGTGTAAGGAGAGGTGCAGGTGCCTGGTTCTGAGCACCCTGGAATTTCTGGCCGCACATCCTCTGGTGCCCTCCCTTCCACCCTGACAAGGAGCTTCCAGCCTGTTTTGATTTTCTGTTTGTGGACCAGAAACACGTTTTTCCAAATGATGAGCAAATAGGGTGATTTCCTTTGTAATGCTGCTCTGGGGCCTCTTCCTCATCCTGGCAGAAGCAGCCTGGATACCATGCGGCAGCCGACACTGTGCCCTTGCTCAGGCATGCTGTCCCCTCCCTCTCCCTCAGTCTCCTCTCCATGCCCAAGTCGGTTTCCAGCTGCTGGTCTTCACGGCATTCCCAGTACAGCCAGGCACCAAGAGGCAATACCCAAGGCCTGGCTTGGCCATGTTAACAATTGTACAGACATATATTTTTAAATAACTTTTATGTAATACTTTTCTAGCATAGTAAGTTCTTGTTAACTGTCACAGATGTTCTAGAAACACCAGGTGTTACTTCCACTGAGTGTGTCCGTGGTCGTGGTCTGTGCCTTTGTAAACAGAACACTTGAACCACCTCCCGAATTGCGTCATCTGCTTCTTGAAATTGACACTTAAGAGATGTGCATCTCTCTTAACTTTCAAGGAAACTTCCCCACTAAATGGCATGAAAAGGTTTAAATAAAATCTGAGAGTCCCAATTCCCTCTATAACAGTGTTAAAATAATCTGTCTACCTGGAAAGATGAAAACACTCTTGCACAACCCAAAATGTGTCTTTAATTTGTGAAAAATTAACATGGTGAGTCAAACAGTCATTTTAAAGAGCTGAGCAAAGAATATCATCAGCCAAATAGAGCTCTGCTTTGTAGGGTGCCTTTAAACTCCTTGCCACAAAACCAGTGAGCTCTGCTTGCTGCTGCCACGCTCCTGGATGATCACTTAGATGGGTCAGTGGGAATAACAGGTGAACAAGACAGTTCTTTACATCTGTCCAAATGATGTCCTTTCTCAGGCCTGGAAGTATTTCATTGCTGGAAGAAGGAAACAAGAATGTCATTGCAGGCCGGGCGCGGTGGCTCAAGCCTGTAATCCCAGCACTTTGGGAGGCCGAGACGGGCGGATCACGAGGTCAGGAGATTGAGACCATCCTGGCTAACACGGTGAAACCCCGTCTCTACTAAAAAATACAAAAAACTAGCTGGGCAAGGTGGTGGGCGCCTGTAGTCCCAGTTACTCGGGAGGCTGAGGCAGGAGAATGGTGTGAACCCAGGAGAGGGAGCTTGCAGTGAGCTGAGATCCAGCCACTGCACTCCAGCCTGGGCGACAGAGCGAGACCCTATCTCGGAAAAAAAAAAAAAGAATGTCATTGCGGATAGAAACAGACTGCTCTCGTTTGCCCTTGACCAACATGGTACTGAGGGGTTTATTGTTTCCCAACGCACATGCGTGCCCTACTTGGGGGCCTTACTTTATAGAACGAGAGCGTCCGAGCTCCCCTAACGATTCTGACTAGTTCTCTCCTGGCTGAGGATACAGGAGTGGGACATCCACCCTCAGATCCCTCAGAGCACAGAAACCTTCAGCTTGGCTGTCTCAAGTATTTCTTCCAGTTTCCCTGTGGGCCTCGGATGTTTGAGTTTGATGGCTGCTAGATCCTTAACGAAAACTCAGTTGGAAACTTCCAACTCGCAGTCCTAGTTTGTTTGTTGTTTTCCATTTCATTTCACTTACAGCTGAAAGTGGCATTCAGCTGACTTGCTCGTTTAAACTGTTCACAGAGTCTGAACTGCCAACGTGGCGTTGGAGGCTCCATCTTTTAAGAGGGCCACAGACTTTCCCACATGGGAAAACTTGAAAATTACATCAACAATCAACGTCAGAGCCAAATTATATTTGCTTTATACCAAACTATGGAGAACTAAAAGTACATTGTACAAAATGTTTCTAGTGTTTTGTATGTGACCTATTTCAATATTTATATTACCAGATCAGTGCTTTCCAGCAAACGATTCTGTTAAATAACGTAGCCAGTCGCTGTTAATTTTGCAGCAGTGATAAGCTGATACTGTGCAACTAATCCTGTGGAGGCCTCCTGCTTATTTTTGTCTAAACTAAGTTAATCATGGTAGCAGCTATGATTCTTGCTCAGCAAAGTAAAATAAATGTTAAATATGGACTGCTTTGTTTTCTTCCTTGTGTAGCTCTGGTGTTCATGCTGCTGAAATGATCAAGGTTGGCATCTTAGTGCCTACACCAGTTTCTAGCAACCTAAAATGAGCAAGAGAAACCAGTTCTCCAAAACAAGAGGCTGTTTGCAAACAGCCAAGGATTGCAATCCAGGGTCTGTCCACAGGCTCATCTGAGAGGCTGGGGCAAGGGCGAGCTTCTGCAGGTGGAAAGAAGTCCACGTAAGCTGTTCTGACACAAAGGTCAGTGGCTACAGGAGCTTGTTGGGGTGGTGGCCTTTGTTCACCGATGGGGCTGGCTGTTGCTAGCAGAGGGTCTTCACAGAAGTGGCTTAACCCCAAGTTCTAGTTGGGAAAGGCCTTTGTGGCAGCTCCTACTACAAACACAAGTGCGAGGCCGCTTCCTCCTCGTTGCCTCCGGGGTCGATTTTATTAGGGTTTGACTAAGTGGCAGCATTTGGGTACTCACTGATTTCATGAAGGGTAAATGGAGATTTTTTGGCCAGGTGTGGTGGCTCATGCCTATGATTCCAGCACTTTGGAAGGCTGGTGGGTAGATCACTTTAGGTCAGGAGTTCAAGACCAGCCTGGCCAACATGGCAAAACCCTGTCACTACTAAAAATACAAAAGTCAGCCAGGTGTGGTGGTGCACACCTGTAATCCCAGCTAGTCGGGAGGCTGAGGCAGGAGAATCACTTGAACCTGGGAGGCGGAGGCTGCAGTTACCCAAAATTGTGCCACTGCACTCCAGCCTGGGTGACAGAGCAAGACTTCTTCTCACAAAAAAAAAAAAAAAAAAAAAAAGCCAGGTGCAGTAGCTCACGCCTGTAATCCCAGCATTTTGGGAGGCCAAGGCAGGCGGTTGACGAGGTCACGAGACTGAGACCATCCTGGCTAACACGGTGAAACCCCGTCTCAACTAAAACTACCAAAAATTAGCCGAGCGTGGTGGAAGGCGCCTGTAGTCCCAGCTACTCGGGAGTCTAAGGCGGGAGAATGGCGTGAACCCAGGAGGCGGAGCTTGCAGTGAGCCGAGATCGCGCACCCGCTCTCCAGCCTGGGCGACAGAGCGAGACTCCGTCTCAAAAAAAAAAAAAAAAAAAAAAAGAGCTTGGGTACCCAAAGCAAGCAGCATTTCATTCTGGAATGAAAAAAATTCCAATACCCATCGCCCTTTTTGTGCCCTTGTCAATTTCTTGTCACATTTTACAGTTTCCCATTTCAGGCCCAGTAAATGCGGATGTTTATGTCTCTTTCCTGAGATTCAGATGTCTAAAGCAGTTTTCTGTGACTTTTCAAGTCAAGAGGATAACCTAACATACGGAAAGGGAATTAATTACTCGTTTTATCCTCTTCTGGAATGTTCGGAATCCATGGGTTTGGGGTGGGGCCTTGGGAGTTGGGGAAGCACCATACCCAGTGAGTTTGCACAAGCACTTTGAGGACCCACTGCCAGTGTCAGCTTTAAAATCACACTATAAAAGCCGGGGTGCGGTGGCTCACGCCTGTAATCCCAGCACTTTAGGAGGCCGAGGCAAGCAGATCACTTGAGGTCAGGAGTTCGAGACCAGCTTGGCCAATGTGGCGAAATCCCGACTCTACCAAAAATAGAAAAATTAGCCGGGCGTGGTGGCGGGCGCCTGTGGATCCAGCTACTCGGGAGAATCCCTTGAAGCCGGGAGGAGGCTGCAGTGAGCCAAGTCTACGCCACTGCACCCCAGCCTGCGTGGCACAGCGAGACTTCGACTCACAAGTAAATACATAAATAAATAAAATCACATCGTAAGAGCTCTCCCTGCCCTGTTTTTGGGTAAGGTTCAGAGTTAAACTCCGAGATAGGCCTTTACAGGACGCACAGACCTGAGGCGCCTCAGGAGGTAACTCGCAGGTAAATGGAGCGCGCTCCACCCACCCGCCACTAGGGGTCCCAGCGGTCAAGGGGATGGAATACGGGCGTCCAACGCGAAGGCACTCCGATCGCAAGGCGCGGGCTTCGCTACCAGGAAAGTCCCGGTCGGATTCCGGAAGCCGGCCACGCTTTCCGCGCAGGCGCAAACTGCTCCCAAAGTAGGAGTCGCTCCGCTCGGCGCCCCGATGCTTGCGTCATCAGCCCGCGCCGAAGTCGGAAGTGCAGCTCACGGCGCTGTTTCTTCCGGAGTCCTGGATCTGAGCAAGCGCTGTCTTATGCGTCATCATCCCGCGCAGGCACAGGAAGTGCAACACAGAGGGAACCCCTGTCGTTGTCTCGAATTCTGGGCCGGAGGCCGGCTATTGTGTCATGATTACGCGCCAATACAGGAAGTGACGATACTCCTGGCGCGCGCCGGTAGCTGTTTCTTCTCTGGCTCCGGGACCGGCGGCAGCGGCGGCGGCGTAGGGGTGAGTTCCGATTGGGCAGACCAGGTGTGGGAGCGCGGCGAGAACTGCGCACCGAGGTCTTTCTTCCGAGCAGGCCTCGGAGCGGGGCGGACCTGGGCCCGGGGGCGAGCGATACCCTGGCTTCCGCGGACAGTCTCATCCCGCACCGAACTTCGGGTGGTGGAGGCGGCGGGCCCAAACGCTCTCTGGAGCCAACGTCTGCCAGGCTGAACCTCAAGTGTGCGTGACTGCACCCAAGGAGATAGCCCACTGCCCGGGTCAGGTGGCCTTGTTCGCGAGCACATCTCGGAGCGTCTCCCCGGTCTCAAGGTGCAGCTGTCCAGTGTGCTAGTGGCTTCACGTAGTCCATGTGGTCCTTCTAGCAGATTCTGACAGTAAAAGCAGTGTTTGATGAGTGGCAGGTCATGAGTTAAGAGCCTTTAAACGGACGATCTTTAATCCGCGATCGATACTGTCACGTAGGTCGTGTTATTCTGGTTGTACAGAAGACTAAACTGAGGTGAATTACGTTACCTAAGACCATGCAAGAATGACAGAAACGAGATTTGATTTCAAGCGGTCATTTTTCAGAACGCTTTTTTGTCGCCCATGCTACAGTGCAGTGACTGTTCACAAGCGCACTTCAGCCTGGAACTCCTGGGCTCAATCGGTCCTCCTATCTCAAGCTTGCAGAGTACCTAGAACTACAGGCCCTCGGGCGCTTGCCACCTTGCCCCTGGCTTACAACTTATCCTTCTTTTTTCTTCCTTTTTTTTTTTTTTTTTTTTAGATAGGGTCTTGTGCAGTGACGGGGCCTTGGCTCACTGGAACCTCCGCCTTTCGGATTCAAGCGATTCTTCTGCCTCAGCCTCCTGAGTAGCTGGGATTACAGGCACCTGCCACCACGCCCAGCTAAGTTTTGTATTTTTAGTAGAGACAGGGGTTTCGCCGTGTTGGCCAGGCTGGTCTTGAACTCCTGACTTTGTGATCCACCTGCCTCAGCCTACAACTTTTTTTTTTTTTTTTAACCAAGTCTTACTTTGTCATCCAGGCTGGAGTGCAGTGGCGCAGTCTTGGCTCACCGCAGCCTTGACCTCTCTGATTCGAGTGATCCTCCTGCTTCTGCTCCCTAAGTAACAGAATACAGGCACGCGCCACCACACTCGACTAATTTTTGTGTTTTCTGTAGAGACGAGGTTTTGCCATGTTGCGCAGGCTGGTCTTGAACTCCTGAGCTCAAGTGATCCATCCGCCTTGGCCTCCCAAAGTGCTAGGGTTACTGTCTTGAGCCACTGCGCCAGGCCACAACTTCTTATTCTTAATGAGGATTTATTCTGAATGCCCAAAAGTGACTAGGTTCAAGTGTTCAGAAACAACAGAGCACCATAGCTTGCTGTGTCCTGATGTAGGCTGAATTATTTTTCTTTTTGCAGTGTTTTAACTCAAATGGGTGATGAAAAGGACTCTTGGAAAGTGAAAACTTTAGATGAAATTCTTCAGGAAAAGAAACGAAGGAAGGAACAAGAGGAGAAAGCAGAGATAAAACGCTTAAAAAATGTAAGCCATATTTTTTAAGTAAGTGGTTTTCTTAAAGGAGATTTAATTTCTTTGCCCTCATTTTTCCATTAGAACAACGCTTCTTCGGTGAAGTTCTTTTGTACTTCCAAATGTCACAGGTGAGCCCAAAATCTATTACAAAAATTAACAAAAACATTTAAATATTCAGTTGACATTAAAGGCGGATTTAACACACTAAAGCTGTATCTAGATTGAGCATACATGGAGAATAAAATATTTTGAATGTTAAGTCATTAGCAAAACTGGACTAATTTTTCTCATTTCATCATTAGTACATTCATAATACTATCTCTAAGTATTTTTAATATAGTGGGAACTTGCCTTGAAATTAATATAAATATTTTACATCTTTCTTGGTTTGCATAGTAATGTACTCGGTAAACCTTTTCAGGAATTTGGTAAGAGGCATTGGCAAAGTACCTCTTTTGCTAAGATTTGTAGCATCATTTGAGATGTTTGTGAGTACAGGCATACCTTGTTGTATTAGACTTCACTTTATCGTGCTTCACAGATTTTGTAATTTTTCCAAGTTAAAGGTGTATAGCAAACTCTGCATTGCGCGTTTTTGCAATAGCATGTGCTCACTATGTTAGAGTTTTTAAATTTTTTTTTTTTTTTTTTTTTTTTTTGAGACGGAGTCTTGCTCTGTCGCCCAGGGTGGAGTACGGTGGCGCAATCTCGGCTCACTGCAAGCTCTGCCTCCCAGGTTCACACCGTTCTCCTACCTCAGCCTCCAGAATAGCTGGGACTACAGACACCCGCCAAATTTTTTGTATTTTTAGTAGATACGGGGTTTCTCTGTGGTCTCAATCTCCTGACCTTGTGATCCGCCTGCCTCGGCCTCCCAAAGTGCTGGGATTACAGGCATGAGCCACCATGCCCGGCCGAGTTTTCTTATTTATTTATTTATTTTGAGATGGAGTCTCGCTGTGTTGCCCAGGCTGGAGTGCAGTGGCGCGATCTCGGCTCACTGCAAGCTCCACCTCCCGGGTTCATGCCATTCTCCTGCCTCAGCCTCCTGAGTAGCTGGGACTACAGGCACCCACCAATATATCCAGCTGATTTTTTGTATTTTTTACTAGAGATGGGGTCTCACCGTGTTAGCCAGGATGGTCTCAATCTCCTGACCTTGTGATCCGCCTGGCTCGGCCTCCCAAAGTGCTGGGATTATAGGCATAAGCCATCACACCCAGCATTTTTTGTTTTTTTTTTTCCTGAGACAAGTCTTGCTCCATTGCCCAGGCTGGAGTGCAGTGGTGTGATCTCGGCTCATTGCCACCTCCGCCTCCTGGGTTCAAACGATTCTCCTGTCTCAGCCTCCCAAGTAGTTGGGACTACAGGTGCCTGCCACCATGCTCGACTAATTTTTGTGTTTTTAGTAGAGTTGGGCTTTCACTTTGTTGATCAGGCTGGTCTCGAACTCCTGACCTCAGGTTATCCACCTGCCTCAGAGTCCCAAAGTGCTGGGATTACAGGCGTGAGCCACCATGCCCGGCCTAAACCAAACTTTTATATGCATTGGGAAACCAAAAATTTGTGTGACTCACTTTATTGTGGTGGTCTGGAGCCAAACCCAGAATATCTCCAAGGTATGCCTCTACTATATGAGGTATCACAAAGTATTTGGTTTGTAGGATACGTCTTAAGACTCATTTTTGGCTCATATAAGCAACTAACATACTTGGCATAGAGTCTAATGTCTCTTGTCATATATGCTATTTTTTAATTTCTCAGGTTTCAGAGTACAGAGAGTTGTAATTTTTTTGTTTGTTTGTTTTGTTTTGTTTTTTGAGACGGAGTCTCGCTCTGTCACCCAGGCTGGAGTGCAGTGGCCGGATCTCTGCTCACTGCAAGCTCCGCCTCCGGGGTTTATGCCATTCTCCTGCCTCAGCCTCCCAAGTAGCTGAGACTACAGACGCCCGCCACCATGCCCGGCTAGTTTTTTGTATTTTTAGTAGAGACGGGGTTTCACCGTGTTAGCCAGGATGGTCTCAATCTCCTGACCTCGTGATCCGCCTGCCTCGGCCTCCCAAAGTGCTGGGATTACAGGCGTGAGCCACTGTGCCCGGCCGAGAGTTGTAATTTTAATGTGATGCGATTTGAGTGAAAGTTTTTTGTTTTTTTTTTTGTCCCGAGACAGAGTCTAGCTCTGTCGCCCAGGCTGGAGTGCAGTGGTGTGATCTCGGCTCACTGCAATGTTCACTTCCCGGGTTGAAGCCGTTCTCCTGCCTCAGCCTCCGAGTAGCTGGACTTACTGGCACTGCCACCACGCCCAGCTAATTTTTGTATTTTTAGTAGAGACAGGGTTTCACTGTGTTGTCCAGGCTGGTCTCGAGCTCCTGACCTCGTGATCAGCCTGCCTCGGCCTCCCAAAGTGCTCGGATTACAAGTGTGAGCCACCGTGCCCGGCCACAAGTTGTTTATATTTTATAACACTGGCTCATTCAGAGTATATATGAAAGTTTGTTTTTGGATGTTGTCCAGGTTTGATTATTATTAAAAATACTTCTATCTATGAAGGAAAAAAAGGTATAAAGAAAATGATTAGCTTTATCTTTGCTTCTTAGTCTGATGACCGGGATTCCAAGCGGGATTCCCTTGAGGAGGGGGAGCTGAGAGATCACCGCATGGAGATCACAATAAGGAACTCCCCATATAGAAGAGAAGACTCCATGGAAGACAGGTGAGCGGATGCAGAGGTGCAAGAGCAAGCTGCGCACAGCGTGGCCTTGCAGGTCCTTCCTAGGGTTACTGTGACAACTGCCTGCTGTTGTAACTACTGAGGGGGACTCTGGTTTTTTTGAGACAGAGTCTCAGAGTCTCGCTCTGTTGCCCGCCTGGGCTGGAGTGCAGTGGTGCGATCTCCCCTCACTGCAAGCTCCGCCTTCTGGGTTCACACCATTCTCCTGCCTCACCCTCCCGAGTAGCTGGGACCGTCACCTCGCCCGGCTAATTTTCTGTATTTTTAGTAGAAATGGGGTTTCACCATGTCAAGCAGGATGGTCTCAATCTCCTGACCTTGTGATCACCAGACTCAGCCTCCCAAAATGCTGGGATTCCAGGCTTGAGCCACCTTGCCTGGCCGAGGTGTACTCTTTTCTAGAGTTACTGTGACAGGGTGTGCTGTTGTAACTGTTGAGGTTTGCTCTTTCCTAGGGTTACTGTAACACAGCATAACTATTGAGGTTTTTATGTCACAGTTGTGACTGACTCTCATGTGTTGTCTGTGGCCCTCCACACCCTTGCCCCTTCTTCCTGTAAAGAACTTTGCCATGTGTTACAATGATTAATAAAATTTACTATATAGGATTTTGCACAGGCCAGGTGCGGTGGCTCACGCCTGTAATCTCAGCACTTTTGGAGGCCAAGGTGGGCTGATCACCTGAGGTCAGGAGTTGGAGACCAGTCTGACCAACATGGTGAAACCCCGTCTTAAAAGGAAAAAAAGGCCGGACACGGTGGCTCATGCCTATAATCCCATCACTTTGGGAGGCCGAGGAAGGCAGATCACGAGGTCAGGAGATCGAGACCATCCTGGCTAACACAGTGAAACCCTGTCTTTACTAAAAATAGAAAAAATTAGCCGGGTGTGGTGGCGGCGCCTGTAGTCCTGTAGCTACTCGGGAGGCTGAGGCAGGAGAATGGCGTGATCCCAGGAGGCGGAGCTTGCAGTGAGCCGAGATGACGCTACTGCACTCCAGCCTGGGCGACAGAGTGAGACTCCGTCTCAAAAAAAAAAGACGCCTAAAGTTGGAGAGTTACTGTAATTTTTTAAATGATGTTTCAGCTTCGTTCCTATCTGAATCCTGCGTTTTTCTGGGTTGAAGAAATCTCATAATAGCCTCATGTTTCTTTGCACTTTCTCAAGCGTGACACAGTGCTGTTGTGTTTTATTTCAGAGGAGAGGAAGATGATTCTTTGGCCATCAAACCACCCCAGCAAATGTCTCGGAAAGAAAAAGCTCATCACAGAAAAGATGAAAAGAGAAAAGAGAAACGTAGGCATCGTAGCCATTCAGCAGAAGGGGGTACAAAAGCATTTACTTTCTTTGACATCATGTTCAAGTGCTGTTTCTTTCCTGTTCTTACTCTTCTGCCTTCCCCAGAGCACCACTGAAAAACTAGAGAGAGCAAACTCTGGCCGACAGCATGAGTGTGTCCCAGACCATTCAGGAGGGCTAGTCCTTTTTTCCTCTGGGGTTTTCTCTCCCCCGTTATATTGTTTGGGAGCAGTTTGTTTACATTTAAAATGCCCTTAATTCAACAAGTGTAGGAGGAAAACACCCCCAACATGGGTATTTGGTCAAGTCCAGAGAATGGGTTTGGCTTGAGCAGTTGTTTGATCTCATACCAACATGAGGAGGTTCTTACAGGTGTTAGGAAAATTGGACCTGGAGCCTGATTTAAATCTCATTATTATAAATACATTTGATGCCGGGCGCGGTGGCTCAAGCCTGTAATCCCAGCACTTTGGGAGGCCGAGACGGGCGGATCACGAGGTCAGGAGATCGAGACCATCCTGGCTAACATGGTGAAACCCCATCTCTACTAAAAAATACAAAAAACTAGCCGGGCGAGGTGGCGGGCGCCTGTAGTCCCAGCTACTCGGGAGGCTGAGGCAGGAGAATGGCATAAACCTGGGAGACGGAGCTTGCAGTGAGCTGAGATCCGGCCACTGTACTCCAGCCTGGGTAACAGAGCGAGACTCCGTCTCAAAAAAAAAAAATAAATAAATAAATACATTTGATAAATTAATGTGGCTTCATTGCACGGTGTAGAAGCCTGCTGATAGCAAAGCTTTTTTCTGTAGTCTTTACGAATAGTGATTTTTTTTTATTATAAAACTAATAATTGGCCGGGCGCGGTAGCTCAAGCCTGTAATCCCAGCACTTTGGGAGGCCGAGACGGGCGGATCACGAGGTCAGGAGATCGAGACCATCCTGGCTAACACAGTGAAACCCCGCCTCTACTAAAAAATACAAAAAACTAGCCGGGCAAGGTGGCGGGCGCCTGTAGTCCCAGCTACTCGGGAGGCTGAGGCAGGAGAATGGCGTAAACCCGGGGGGCGGAGCTTGCAGTGAGCTGAGATCCGGCCACTGCACTCCAGCCTGGGTGACAGAGCGAGACTCCGTCTCAAAAAAAAAAGAAAAAAAAAAAAAACTAATAATCATAGTTTATTCAGTGTAGAAAATTTTTAAAAGATGAATAATACGACCACGCACGGTGGCTCATGCCTGTAATCCCAGCACTTTGGAAGGCTGAGGCGGGCAGATCATGAGGTCAGGAGATTGAGACCATCCTGGCTAACACGGTGAAACCTCGTCTCTACTAAAAAATACAAAAAATTAGCCAGGCGTGGTGGCGGCGCTTGTAGTCCCAGCTACTTAGGAGGCTGAGGCAGGAGAATGGCGTGAACCTGGGAGGCGGAGCTTGCAGTGAGCAGATAACGCACCACTGCACTCCAGCCTGGGCGACTGAGCGAGACTCCCTCTCAAAAAAAAAAAAAAAAAGATGAATATTACAATTCTGCTCTTCTGTGATAGCAGAATTGTTTTTCGTTTTTCTTCTTTCTTTGTAATTACATGCTTGTTGCAGATAGTTTTCTATTTTCAAAGTTTTTTATTTAACATAAAATCATGATTATTTGGCTGGGTGCAGTGGCCCAGGCCTGTAATCCCAGCACTTTGGGAGGACAAGGACGGAGGATCGTTTGATCCCAGGAGTTCAAGACCAGCCTGGCTGATACAGGGAGACCCTGTCTCTTTAAAAAAAAAAAAAAAAGATGATTGTTACTTAACGTTAGCATCATTATTTAAATATTTAATGTTCTTGATTCAATTTCATTTTCATGTGGGTTTTTTTTTTTTTTTTTTTGAGACGGAGTCTCACTCTTTCATCCAGGCTGGAGTGCAGTGGTGTGATTTTGGCTCGCCGCAACCTCCGCCTCCCAGATTCAAGCGATTCTCCTGCCTCAGCCTCCTTTAGTAGCTGGGATTACAGGCGCCCACCACCATGCCCGGCTAATTTTTGTATTTTTAATACAGACAGGGTTTCACCATGTTGGCCAGGCTGGTCTTGAACTCCTGACCTCAGGTGATCCGCCCGCCCCAGCCTCCCAAAGTGCTGGGATTACACGCATGAGCCACCATGCCTGGCCTCATGTGAAATTTTTGAAGTGAGATTTCTTTGCATGACTCATTATTTCTCATTAGGGAAGCACGCTAGAGTGAAAGAAAAAGAAAGAGAGCACGAACGTCGGAAACGACATCGAGAAGAACAGGATAAAGCTCGCCGGGAATGGGAAAGACAGAAGAGAAGGGAAATGGCAAGGGAGCATTCCAGGAGAGAAAGGTGAGCGGGCTGGGTCAGTTGAGGACTTTAATGAAAGGGTTGTGGTGGTGTGTCCCGTCACAGCAATGAAGAAGAATTTGGCAATAGAAGTCACATTTGGTGCAGAAGTGGTAGATAGAAACAGCACAGTGAACACTGGACGAGGCTGACCAAGAGAACTGTCCTGAGGGAGTGAGTTTTTACTGCATCTGGAAGTCAAGAACGGGGGTAATTTGATTGAGGGAAGACAATGAAGGGATCAGAAATCTGCACGTCCGGCTGGGTGCGGTGGCTCACTTTATCCCAGCACTTTAGGAGGCTGAGGTGGGAGGATCCCTCGAGCCTGGATGGTCAAGGCTGCAGTAAGCCGTGATTGCGCTACTGCACTCCAGCCTGGTTGACAGAGTGAGACTCTGTCTCAAAAAAAAAGAAGAAGGGGGATCCCAAAAACCTTGAAACAGTCTGGAAATCGGGACACTGGACTCCTAGGACTCCTGGGCATTAGTCTGTATGTTCGTTCCCCTTTATAAGCTCAGATTCATAAGAAAGAACATCGGTGTAGCCCCGCATCTGTTTTATGAACCAGGAAAAGGCTACAGGCCAGGTGCAAGCAGGCCCATCTCTGCCTTGAGAGTGAGTCCAGAGAAAGCTTGCAAGCTGCTTCAGGAAGGGTGAGGGCGTGGGTGGCCCTTCCACTTCAGACTGGCTTTCAGCAGCCAGGGCTGGGTGCACAGCATGTAAAGATGATGAAAGGGCACTGGTTCTTGTTGATGCCAAAGAGTGTGGGAGACACTGAGGCCCAGAGGTCAAGGTCCGAGACCACTTGGGGGTGGGCAAGGTTTCAGTTGGCCAAGTTCCTGTTAGTGTATGAAACATTCACGTATGCCAAGCCCTGTGCCAGACACCAAGTGTGCCTTGTCCCACGAGAGTGGAGCTTGGGATAGAAGTGTGGAGGTTGGTAGATGAAATTTGGGCTGTCATTGATTTCCCAGAAGGGATAGACGGGAGAGTGAAGGAGCGAAAAGTGTTGGGGGCAGACTTGTGGGTAGGGCCAGTTGAGATCAGCCAATCCAGAACTGGGTGTGGTAGCATATGCTACTTGGGAGGCCAAGGCCAGAGGACTGCATGAGGCCAGCCTGGGCAACGTAGGGAAACCTTGTCTCTGACAAAAAACAAACTGATAAGGATAATCTGAGAAGCACCGATGCTTGAAGAACTGCTGACTGTGGGTGAAAGTAGTAAGAATCTGACCTTCTGACCTTCTGGCCTGAGAGCTGCTCCCTCTACTGCCTCCACTCTGCACTTGGGAAGCACGGAGGTTCCACTGGGACAGGGCAGCCGCAGGACCTGCAGTTTCCTTGCTGCCTTGGAAGGGGTTACTCCATTTAGAGCAGTGGGCAACCTTGACTCCTAGGAAGCCAAGGTTGAAAATTAAAATAGGCTTATGGGAAAGAATAGGGGTGGCCATAAGCTATGAGGGAGATAGATTTCACAGACAACCAGACAGGCCTCGATGGTAACAACTAAAGGGAAAACTTAGAATCCAGAACTGCTACAAATGGATCATCTAAAATACAAAGAAGTATGACAGTGTGACCCGTATTGAAGAAGATCATCAGTAGAAACTGAGTGTCCAGATGTTGAATTTAGTAAAGGCTTGGAAACAGCCTGTCTATGGAGCAGCAGAAATTATCCATTCTGAAGAACAGAGAGAAAAAACAAGAAAAATGAACAGAGCCTCAGAAACCTGTGGTACAACATCTGCTGTGCCGAAACACGTCCAATGGGGGTTCCAGGAGAGAGGAAATACATTTTTTACAGTAATGGTTAAAAACTTCCCAAATTTGAATTTAAAAAAAAATCTGCACATTGAAGAGCGCAGGAAGTTTGAACTAGAATAAATACAAAGTCACATCATAGTCAAACTGGCGAAAGCCAAAGACAAAATGTTGAAAAGCCTCAGAGAAGAATGACCAATCCCATGAAAGTGGAGCTTCAATACCGCCAGCCGCTGACTTCTTAGAAACAATGGAGGCCAGAAGGCAGTGGAGTGGCGCACTCAAACTGCTCAAAGAGAAGAACCGTCAGCCAGGAATCAAAACGGTTCTACCCAAGTGAAACGGAATGAAAGACAGCATTCCCTGAGAAGCAAAGACTGGTGAAATTCATTGTTGGCGAGACCTGCCTTAAAGGAAATACTAAAGGAAGACCTTCAAGTTGAATGGAAATGACACCAGACGGTAACTTGAATCCTCAGGAAGGAAGGACAGGCGCTGCAGATAGCAAGTGTAGGTTGACATCAATATCCTATAAATATCTCTCCTCATTTGTTAGGTTTTACTGGAACTACGGTTGTATAAAATAATTACACGGTGTTGTCATGGCATATAACACAAATGAACTGCACAAAGAAGAGAGAATGAAGCTGTATTACAACAGCTTTATATTTTACTGGAATTCAGCTAGTATTGTGAGGCATACTGTGATCTCTAGAGCAGCCACTAAGAAAACAACTTTTTAGAAATTACAGATAACAGATTAAAATGGTATGGTATGCTAAACATATGTAATTTAAAATCATAAAGGGAAGAATAAAAAAGACACGGAGCAAAGCAAAAACAGTAAATCCAAGCGTGTGTGTAATTACATGACATGTGAAAGGTCTGTGCCCCAAACAGACAGGGCCGATTATCAGATAGAAAAACAAGATCTAACTGTATGCTGTCTCCTAGAGAACGGGAAAAGGGGCAGTGTAGAAACATTAGCTCTCATAGGAGAGCTTGAATGGCTGTACTCATACCAGATAAAACATATGTTAAGAAATATTAGAAACCACCCTGGCCAACATGGTGAAACCCCATCTCTACTAAAAATACAAAAATCAACTGGGTGTGGTGGCGCATGCCTGTAATCCCAGCTCCTCGGGAGGCGCAGTTATGAGAATCACTTGAACTAGTGAGATGGAGCTTGCAGTGAGCTGAGATTGTGCCACTGCACTCCAGTCTGGGCGACAGAGCAAGACCCTGTCTCAAAAAAAAAAAAGCTAGAAACAACAAGGAGCAAGGACTTCACAGCCACAAAAAGGCCAATGCAGCAGGAAGAAGCAGCAGTGACACGTGCGAATGCATCTAACCACAGAGCCCAAAATCCGTGAAGCAAACACTGATCGAATGGAAAGAAATCCATCATTTATTAATTAGAGTTGGAAATGTCAGCCGGGCACAGTGGCTTGTGCCTGCAAACCCAGCACTTTGGGAGGCCAAGGTGGGCAGATCATCTGAGGTCAGGAGCTCGAGACCAGCCTGGCCAACATGGTAAAACCCCATCTCTACTAAAAGTGCAAAAATTAGCCAAGGATGCTGGCGGGCACCTGTAACACCAGCTACTCGGGAGGCTGAGGCAGGCGAATTGCTTGAACCTGGGAGGGGGAGGTTGCAGTGAGCCGAGATTGTGCCATTGCACTACAAAAGAATTAAATTAGAAATTAACAACAGAAAGAAACCTGGGGAAATCTTCAAACGTTAGGAAATCTAACAACACGATTCTGAATAACCCATGGCTCATAGAAATAATTATAAGGAAAACAAAATATTTTGGAGTAAATAAAATTGAAAACAATGTGGCCAGGCGCAGTGGCTCACGCCTGTAATCCCAACACTTAGGGAGGCCGAGGTAGGCAGATCATGAGGTCAGATCGAGACCATCCTGGCTAGCACAGTGAAACCCTGTCTCTACTAAAAATACAAAAAATTAGCCGGGCGTAATGGCAGGCAGCTGTAGTCCCAGCCACTCAGGAGGCTGAGGCAGGAGAATGGCGTGAACCCGGGAGGCGGAGCTTGCAGTGAGTAGAGATCAGGCCACTGCACTGCAGCCTGGGTGACAAAGTAAGACTCTGTCAAGAAAAAAAAAGAAAAGAAAGTGTCAAAATTTAGAGATGCAGCTACAGCAATGCTTAGAGAAGGCACTTACATCAAAAAAGGTTATTACATTAACCAAGGCTTTCTTCACCCGAAGAGATGAGAAGGAAGGAAAGCAGCAGACCCTGCCGTGCAGAAGCTGTAGACACGGCAGAACAGTCGCCCGGAGTGCTGGGTCCTGGACTACAGGTGCCCATGAGGAACGGGGTTGGTGATGGAAATGCCGAAAACTGGCTCGTGGTGACTGATGGTTGCAGAACTTCATCAATTTGCTAGAAATCATTGGATTCAGTGGTCGAATTTTATTTGTCAGCTTTTACTTTGAAGTAGTTTAGGATTCACGAGAATTTGAAAGTAGCACCTGGAATCCTGGAAGCCTCCATCCAGCCTCCTCCAGCGGTGACATCCGATGTAGACCAGCGTTGGCACAGTACTGTGCACTGCTAGACTGGAGGCCTTTTTCCATTGTTCCCATTTCTTAGGTGTGTTCATTTCTCTGTGTGTATAGTGATACTTTTTTTTTTTTTTTTTTTTTTTTTTTGGAGACAGAGTCTCGCTCTGTCGCCCAGGCTGGAGTGCAGTGGCCGGATCTCAGCTCACTGCAAGCTCCGCCTCCCGGGTCTACGCCATTCTCCTGCCTCAGCCTCCCGAGTAGCTGGGACTACAGGCGCCCGCCACCTCGCCCGGCTAGTTTTTTGTATTTTTTAGTAGAGACGGGGTTTCACTGTGTTAGCCAGGATGGTCTCGATCTCCTGACCTCATGATCCGCCCGTCTCGGCCTCCCAAAGTGCTGGGATTACAGGCTTGAGCCACTGCGCCCGGCCGATACTTTTTTCTAAAAGCGTATTTTTCATATTATATCTGGGCTTAACTCTAGAAGAACACGAAAAATTGATTCTCACGGATCAATGTTAGTTATTTGGCTGCTTTATGATGCAGCCAACTGCAGATACTCGGTCACTCATAGCTCCTACATTCCCAATGACGCCTTTTTAGGGAGCTTCCCCTGCCCCTCCCTTATCACGTTCGTGCCCACATAGGTGGGAAGTGGTATGGGGTCCATGTGCCCAGACAATCCATTGAGTCACGGTCAGCACCGGGGCCTTGGCCTGAGTCTGTGGCCTCATCCCCACTATTCCTAACAGGCTTTTCTGCAGGGAGTTTTTTTTTGTTTTGTTTTGTTTTGTTTTGTTTTTAGCCTGTGCAGATTTATCTCATAGTTAATTTGGGTTTAAATTTGGTTGTCATACATACTGAAGGAAATGCTCTGTTTTAGAGCTGCTAAACAGAAATATGCCAGAACCAGTGGGGTGTCTTTTTGTTTGTTTTTCGAGACAAGGTCTCACTCCTGGTCAAGCAGTCCTCTCACCTCGGCCTCCTGAGTAGTTGGGATCAGCGGTGCACACCACCGTGCCCAGCTAGTTTTCTGATTTTTGTAGAGACGGGGTTTCACTACATCTCCCAGACTACTCGTGTGACTCACTGGGGACAGAGCTCTCAGAATGTGTATATTGGCGGGCAAAGTGGCTCATGCCTGTAATCGCAGCACTGTGGGAGGCAGAGGCAGGAGGATCACTTGAGGCCAGGAGTTCAAGACCCTATCTCTACTAAAAATGCAAAAATTAGCCTTGTGTGGTAACACACGCCTGTAATTCCAGCAACTCGGGTGGATGAGACACGAGAATCGCTTGAACCCAGGAGGCGGAGGCTGCAGTGAGCCGAGATCGTGCCACCGCACTCCAGCCTGGGCAACTGAGTAAGACGCTGTCTCAAAAAAAAAAAAAAAAAGAGGCCGGGCGCGGTGGCTCAAGCCTGTAATCCCAGCACTTTGGGAGGCCGAGACGGGCGGATCACGAGGTCAGGAGATCGAGACCATCCTGGCGAACACGGTGAAACCCCGTCTCTACTAAAAATACAAAAAACTAGCCGGGCGAGGTGGTGGGCGCCTGTAGTCCCAGCTACTCCGGAGGCTGAGGCAGGAGAATGGCGTAAAAACCCGGGAGGCGGAGCTTGCAGTGAGCTGAGATCCGGCCACTGCACTCCAGCCCGGGCTACAGAGCAAGACTCCGTCTCAAAAAAAAAAATAAAATAAAATAAAATAAAAGCGGCCGGGCGCGGTGGCTCACACCTGTAATCCCAGCACTTTGAAAGGCTGAGGCGGGTGGATCATGTGTCAGGAGATCGCGACCATTCTGGTCAACACGGCAAAACCCCGTCTCTACTAAAAATGCGAAAATTAGCTGGGAGTGGTGGGCACCTGTAGTCCCAGCTACTCGGGAGGCTGAGGCAGGAGAATCGCTGGGACCCGGAAGGCGGAGGTTGCCGAGATTGCGCCACCGCACTCCAGCCTGGGGGACAGAGCGAGACTCCGTCCCAAAAAAAAAGGAAAGTAAAAGAAAAACTCTCCGTGTATCGAACTGCATAGAAAGCCAGTTGACAAATTTGGGCAAAAACGCGATAGCAAGCTCTCTGTTTAGAGGGAATGATGGCGTGTGCCTCTTCCAGGGACCGCCTGGAGCAGTTAGAAAGGAAGCGGGAGCGGGAGCGCAAGATGCGGGAGCAGCAGAAGGAGCAGCGGGAGCAGAAGGAGCGCGAGCGGCGGGCGGAGGAGCGGCGCAAGGAGCGGGAGGCCCGCAGGGAAGGTAGGCGGCGCGGCGGCGGCTGCGCTCGGCGGACGCGTGTCTGCTGCCCCCTGGTGTCGGGCACTTGCTCTCACAGGCCGGTGCTTGGTCCCTGTGCTCGGTTTTGCCCCCGCCTTTTTTTGGGAGAGTTTTGCTCTTGTCACCCAAATTGAAGTGCAGTGGCGCGATCTCGGCTCCCTGCAACCTCTGCCTCCTGGGTTCACGTGATTCTGCCTCAGCCTCCCGAGTAGCAGGGATGACAGGCACCCGCCACCATGTTCAGCTCATTTTTTGTATTTTTAGTAGAGACAGGGTTTCACCATGTTGACCAGGCTTGTCTCGAACTCTAGACCTCAAGTGATCCACCTGCCTCGGCCTCCCAAAGTGTTGGGATCACAGGCCTGCCCCTGCCTTTTTATTTTTTTTTAAGACGGAGTCTCGCTCTGTCACCCAAGCTGGAGCCCCGTGGTACTATCTCGGCTCACTGCAACCTCCGCCTCCAGGGTTCAAGCAATCCTCCTGCCTCAGCCTGTGGAGTAGCTGGGTTTACAGGCGCCCGCCAGCACGCCCAGCTAATTTTTTATTTTTCGTGGAGACAGGGTTTCGCCATTTTGGCCAGGCTGGTCGCAAACTCCTGACATCAAGTGATCCGCCTGCCTCTACCTCTCCAAGTGCTAGGATTACAGGCATGAGCCACCGCAGCTGGCCACCCCTTCCTTTTTTATTTCCCCAGTTTTTAGAAACTGTGATAAAACATGTATATTGTAAAATGTACCATCTTCACTATTTCAAGTGTAGAATTCAGTGGTATTAATGCATTCACAGTGTTGTGCAACCATCTATCCACAGAACTCTCTTCTTGTAGAATTAACACCATCCCCATCAAACAGCAACTTCCTGTCCCCAGTCCCGGCACCCACCATCCCACTTTCTTTCAGTTTGGCTGCTCGGGAATGGAATCGCAGTCATTGTCCTTTTGTGACCGGCTCACTCAGCAAAGTCCTCGGGGCGTCGTGCTGTGGTGGGGGTCGGCGGGCCCTTCCTTCTGCACCCTTGGAGGAGGAGGAGGAGGCGGCGGTGGCAGCCAGCCGCTTCACCGGGCTTTGTTACCTCTTGGCCTTACTGCCTCCCCCTCATTTTCCACATAATTGTCTTGTGTTCAGTTGAGTTTTTGGTAGAGAAATGTTTAAATTCCTCTCTCATTTATGTTTTATATCTCTCGACTTTCTGATTACAGTAACGATTACACTGAACATCCTGCAGTTATAATGCACTAGTTCGAATTGAATGCCAAGTTAACTGCAGTAAAATACAAAAACTTGACTCGAGGAGTGTATATTCAGGGCAACTTAAATCTATGCTCCCAGGCTGCAGCCCTTTGAAATAAAAACACAATGAAGAAAACAAAAAACAAACTGCTTCTTTAGCAGTTCCACTCCCACTTCCTGTCGACATCACTAGATCACATTTATACGTTGTCCATAAATGATGACATCTTTATGCATTGTCCATAAACTTAATAATCCCTTTTTAAATGCATTAGCCTGTTAAACTATGTAGAAAACAAAAAGTGGAGTTAAAAATCATTGTCACAACAATGCTTTTTGATTAATAATTGCTGCTTTTTAAGTGTGTTAATCTTTTAAGTTATATAGAAGATAAAAAGTAGAGTTCTAAAACACTGTTACAATAACACGAGCTTTTATAGTTACCCACGTCCTCACCTTAATGGAGATCTTTATTTCTTCACCCAGCTTCCGGTTTCTGTCTCGCGTCCTTTCGTTACACCCCACACAACTCCCTGGAGCTTATTCTTCAGGGCAGGTCTAGGTCTAGCAGTAATGAACTCCCTCTGCTTTTGTTTATCTGGGAATATCCTCATTTCTGTCTCACCTTCGAAGGAAAGTTGCTGGATACGTGGTTCTTGGTTGATAATTTTTTTGTTGTTTTGAGACAGAGTCTTGTTCGGTTGTCCAGGATGGAGTGCAGTGGAGCAATCATAGCTCACTGCAACCTCGAACTCCTGGGCACAAGTAATCTTCCCACCTCAGCCTCCCACGTGGCTGGGACGACAGGCATGTGGCACCACACTCGGCTCATTTTTCAGTAGAAACAAGGTCTCCCTGTATTGCCCAGGCTGCTCTTGAATTCCTGGGCTCAAGGAACCCTCATGCCTAGCTGACAGTTTTTCCTTTTCACTTACAATATTTCAGCCCATTGTCTTCTGGCCTCCAAAGTTTCTGGTGAGAAATCTGATGATCTTATTGAGGATCCCTTGGATGCTTTTAAGATTCTCTTTGGCTTTGGCTTTCAACTGTTTAATAATGGGTTTTCGTGTGGGTCTCTTGATTTCATTCTACCTGGAGTTCATTGAGCCTCTCTAATGTTTATATTCATGTTTTTCATCAAATGTGGGGTGTTTTAAGTAATTCTTCAGATACCCTCTCTGTTCCTCTCCTGCTTCCTGGACTCCCACGGATCTGTTGGGGTCCCCGAGGCCCCTGAGCACTGCTCACTTTTCTTCAGTCTCTTCTGCTTTTTCCTCAGACAACGTGATTTTATTGTTGTATCTTCAGGCTCACCAATTATTTCCTCTGCCTGCTCCATCTGCTTGTGAGTTTCTATTGTGAATATTTACTTTTTAGTGTTTATTGTGAATATGTACTTATTAGCTCTGGAATTTCTCTCTGGTTTCTCGTTGAATCTTCTGTCTCTGTTGATATTTCCGGTGTGTTCACGCGTCATTTTCTTGACTTTCTCCACATCTTCCTTTTGTTCTCTGAGGAACTGAAGGTTAAGACAGTTCGTTAAGTCTTCGTCTGGGACATCTACCATCAGGTGATTTTCAGGAATGGTGTCTTGTTGGCTTATTTTTTTTCCCTCTGAATGGGACATACTCTCCTATTTCTTTGTTTCTCTTGTGTTTTTCTTAGTCAAAAAAATGGACATTTGAATCTCATGATGCGATTCTTCCTGGTCACCACTCAAGGCTGTGCACGTGCTGGTTTGGTTGTGCTGGGCTGTGTCTGGGGTCGGCCTGTTGTGGAAACTCGGGCTCTTCAGGGGTCTTTTCCGAGCCTGTGCCTTTCCCTGGTCATGTGCAGACACTCTTTAACGTTCCCGTCAATACAGCTGTTTTTAATGTTCTTGTCCTGAGGTGTCTGCCTCCTAAAGGGGGAAAAGAGAGAAATGAAGGGGGCAAAGGGGGATGTGGCATTCATGCCCTGGAAGTACCTTCAGCCTGGGGGACAGCCGTGGCTGCTGCCTCTTCATGCCTCTGGGGTGGGACGCACAGTCATCACACCGACCTCGGGTGTGCGTGTCCGTCTGCCCACCTCGATCCGTCTACCCACGTGTGTCCGTCTGCCCTCCTGGGTCTGGCGAGCTGCATGCAGGCTGCTGCCTGCCACGGGGGGAGTGGGGTGGGAGCCACTAAATGTGTGAAGAGGTGACGTTGATTCATGAATCACAATTTACTCGCCAAGATTTCCCCTGAAGTTGCAAACCTTCAATAGACTACAGAGCACTTCGGTAGTTGCACAGGACTGATCCTTTGAAGCAACTGCTATCTAGGTGGGGAGACTGATTCCCAGCGCTTCCTACTCCATCTTTCCAGAATCTTCTCCCGCCCCTTCCTTTTTGACCAGTGAAGATCAGTCTAGAAGGTCCACCTGGGTCCTTGGGCTCACGGCCTCCAGGTTGGAGCTTTTTCTCCTTGGGCTTCTTAGCCTCTGACCCCGATGCCGTCAGCACCGTGTGTGCGCTGTGGGTGTGTCTGCCAGGTGTGGGTGTGGGAGACGAGGCAGCTGTGCCCAGGTGGGGCCTTTTGAGGAAGGCAGTGTTGCTAGTGCCATCTCCCTCTCTGCCCTGCACGCCAGTGTCCGCACATCACCGAACGATGAGAGAGGACTACGGCGACAAAGTGAAAGCCAGCCACTGGAGTCGAAGCCCGCCGCGGCCACCACGGGAGCGGTTCGAGTTGGGAGACAGCCGGAAGCCAGGTGAGGCCAGGCCGGCGCCTGCGCAGAAGGCAGCACAGTGTGAGTCTTTTCTGGGGGATGTTTGGCATAAATTTGTAATATTCATGTAATGAAAGCCCAGCTAAGTAATGTCTTCAGAAGAAAATGATAGATGTGCTGGCTGAAGTCCTCTCGTGTTGTGAGAGAGACCGTGAGTGTCTGTGTGCGACCAGGACACAGGACGTGTGTTTATCCGCTGGGACCTTTGCCACTGGCCCCATTAGAGAAGTGACTTCCAGCATCTGTGGATAAGCTGGTTTCTTACCAAGCGAAGTTAATCATGCGAAAGGCACTAGTTTTGGGGTGGTGTTACCTTGTTTGTTTAAAAAGCATTTCCCCAAATTCACTTTTAATGGTTTATTTCATAAGTAAAAGAAGAGAAAATGGAAGAAAGAGACCTGCTGTCCGACTTACAGGACATCAGCGACAGCGAGAGGAAGACCAGCTCAGCCGAGTCCTCATCAGGTACCTGGAACCGCCTGGCCAAGGCCTTGACCGCTGCTGCCAGGAAGGCCCAAGTTCACCCTCCGCTCTGCTGTCTTTCTACAGCGGAATCAGGCTCAGGTTCTGAGGAGGAAGAGGAGGAGGAGGAAGAGGAGGAGGAGGAAGGAAGCACCAGTGAAGAATCAGAGGAGGAGGAGGAGGAGGAGGAAGAGGAGGAAGAGGAGACCGGCAGCAACTCTGAGGAGGCGTCAGAGCAGTCTGCCGGTGAGTCACCACGATGACTGTGTGAGGTGTTGTGACTTCACTGTAGTGTTAGAAACTGCAGAGAAATAGCTGGTGGGCGGGGGAGTTGAAACTCCCTTCTATCTAGGACTTTCTCAGGACACCTCCACATCGATTCTTTTGTTTGTTTTTTGAGACGGAATCTTGCTCTGTTGCCCAGGCTGGAGTGCAATGGCACGATCTCGGCTCACTGCAACCTCCGCCTCTCGGGTTCAAGTGATCCCTCCTGCCTCATCCTCCCAAGTAGCTGGGACTACAGGCGTGGGCCACCATACCCGGCTAATTTTTATATTTTTAGTCGAGTCAGGGTTTCACCATGTTGGCTAGGCTGGTCTCGAACTCCTGACCTCAGGTGATCCACCCGCCTCGGCCTCCCAAAGTGCTGGGATTACAGGTGTGAGCCACCGCGTCCGGCCTCAGTGTCGATTCTTGGGAACACTTGTTGCTTAGCTGAAGCGGAGCCCGCATCCTGCCTGTGATAGCACTCACCCCAGTGCCGGTCTGAGCAGACGCCTCCTTTCTCTTGCAGAAGAAGTAAGTGAGGAAGAAATGAGTGAAGATGAAGAACGAGAAAATGAAAACCACCTCTTGGTTGGTAAGAGGCCTCCCTGGAGACAGAGCACCCTCCTTGTCTGTCTCCAAGTGCAGCGGCCCTCTCTTAAGACGGCCGGTCCTGCAAGGCATGGGGCACGCCAGGGCCCGGGAGGCTGCCTGATTCATTGGCCGCTCCAGTCTGTGCCGGTGGGGCCCGAGTTCCTCAGTGAGGCACAGTGCTAACCAAGGACGTCCCGTGTGCCCAGCAGGGCCGAGGAGCTGGGAAGCCCAGGCCCAGTTCCCCACAGGGGAGGCCAGTCAGATGGTGGCTCGGCCTGTCCCTGCAGAGTGGAGGCCTGCCCTGGCCTCCGGCCGGCAGTGAGGCTGTGTCTTCCGCCTGGGGGACATGGATCCAGGCGTGTCCCCCGCAGGACACCGCGTACCTCCTCCCAGCTCAGCATCTGGGGGCTTTTTCAGTCGAGCCCGCCAGCGCTCCTAGGCCTCAGTGCCCTGGGTCCAGGGGGCGAGAGCCCAGCACCAGCACCTCCCAGCAGGACACAGGGCAGCCCTGCCACATGCTTCATGTCCCCGGGGCAGGAGGAGGTTCGTGATCTTTGCTTGTCTTAGCTTCATAATTAGGTTCACCTTTTCCAGTTCCAGAGTCACGGTTTGACCGAGATTCCGGGGAAAGTGAAGAAGCAGAGGAAGAAGTGGGTGAGGGGACGCCGCAGAGCAGCGCCCTGACAGAGGGCGACTACGTGCCCGACTCCCCGGCCCTGTCACCCATCGAGCTCAAGCAGGAGCTGCCCAAGTACCTGCCGGCCCTGCAGGTCAGGCCCTCCCCTCGCCCCGGGCCGCTCGCTGTCTGCATTGGCAGTTGGAGTTACCGCAGGGGCTGAGCGAAGCCTGGCCCCGTGTTGGCGTCTGTCTCCTCACAGGGCTGCTGGGCCCACCGGGGCAGCGAGGGGCAGGCACAGCCGCTGGCCCCTCGTGCTTCTGGGTCCCGCCTCTTTCTCGTGCTGGACGGAACTGGGTGGACAGGGAGGTGCCCACAGCTTGGAAGGCAGGCAGCCTGGGCGTGCGGCTGCCCTGCTGTCACTGCCACCTGAGCTATGTCCTCCTCCGCACTGGAGAACAGTGCCCTCCAGTTGACCCCTGCGTGGGTGGGTTATGTAGGCACCAAGGCCTTGTTACCAGCATCTGTGCAGGGCTTGGATGGTGGCTGCGGGAGTCAGTGTAGATGTGTGTGGCCAGAAGCCTTTTGTTCAGGCAGCTATCAATGAGGCAGGATATTGCTTGGAGTGATTTGGAAGGGACAGGCCTGAGAAGGTGCCAGTGGCCTCGGGGGCCTAGGAGACCGGCAGGGACTCGGCCCCTCCGTGGTGCCTGTGGGTGGAGAGGTTCTCTCTGGCACATGCGGCCTCTGTCGACTGCTCTATGCATTGTGAGCGCCTCTGCCCCTTAGTGTTCCTGAGCATGGGCGTTGGGCCACAGGCCACCCCGAGTATGTGACATCCGGCCTGGGCACCGGCCCCAAGGTACACCCAGGGGGAGGTGCCCTGGCATGGGGCGCCGTGCTGCACCTGGCAGGTAGTGCCCGTCCTCAGTGTCATCCTGGTACAAGCAGGGGACACACCCAGTTTGACAGGAACACTCTCTGGATGGCCTTTTTTTTTGGAGACTGGGTCTGGCTCTGTCACCCAGGCTGGAGTGGAGTGGCTTAATCATAGCTCACTGCAGCCTACACCTCCCAGGCTCAGACAATCCTCCCATCTCAGCCTCCTGAGTAGCTAGAACTACAGGCGCAATCTACCATGCCTGGCTAAGTTTTTAATTTTGTAGAACACAGTTTTGGCCGGGCACAGTGGCTCACGCCCATAATCCCAACACTTTGGGAGGCCGAGGTGGTGGGTGGATCATGAGGTCAGGAGTTTGAGACCAGCCTGACCAACATGGTGAAACCCCATCTCTACTAAAAATACAAAAATTAGGCCGGAAGCGGTGGCTCAAGCCTGTAATCCCAGCACTTTGGGAGGCCGAGACGGGTGGATCACGAAGTCAGGAGATCGAGACCATCCTGGCTAACACGGTGAAACCCCGTCTCTACTAAAAATACAAAAAACTAGCTGGGCGAGGTGGTGGGCGCCTGTAGTCCCAGCTACTTGGGAGGCTGAGGCAGGAGAATGGCGTGAACCCGGGAGGCAGAGCTTGCAGTGAGCTAAGATCTGGCCACTGCACTCCAGCCTGGGCAACGGAGCGAGACTCCGTCTCAAAAAGAAAAAAAAATACAAAAATTAGCCAGGCATGGTGGCGCGTGCCTGTAATCCCAGCTACTCAGGAGGCTGAGGCAGGAGAATCGCTTGAACCCAGGAGGTGGAGCTTGCAGTGAGCCGAGATCTCGCCATTGCACTCCAGCCTGGGTAACAGAGCGAGACTCCATCTCAAAAAAGAAAAAAGAAAAGAAAACAGAGTCTTGCTGTGTTGGCGAGGCTGGTCTTGAACTCCTAGGCTCAAGCAATCCTCCTGCCTTGCCCTCCCGAAGTGCTGGAGTTACAGGCCTGAGCCCTCACACCCGGCTGGGATGGCCTTTTGTTCACACTGGTTTTGTTTCATAATAAAGTGTCACATGGTCTTGCAAGGAAACAGACTTTGAGAACTGAGCTGCTCCTGGCCCTACCCCCTGCCCAGTCCCACAGCTCTGCCCTGCACCCGCCCTGCGCCAGGTGTGCCGTGCCCGTGGACGCAGCCGCCCTCCTTCCAGCTGGCATGGCCACTGAGACCTCACATAGCCGCTCCCTCCCCAGGGCTGCCGGAGCGTCGAGGAGTTCCAGTGCCTGAACAGGATCGAGGAGGGCACCTATGGAGTGGTCTACAGAGCAAAAGATAAGAAAACAGGTGGGTGGAGTCCCGGCTCACCCCACAAAGACAAGGGGAAGTGGGGCAAGGCCTGGCCGCCCGAGAGGTCCTGCCTCACCTGAGCAGCTACTGGAGGTTGGACCTCTCAGCGTCTCTAGAAGCCAGAGGTCAGCCTGGCCCTGGGGCTTTGCCACTCCCTCGCAGTAGCAGGTGGCCTGCCCCACAGGGCTGAGACCCAGCGCGTGGAGTGGTCTGCGCCAGGGCTGGTCTGCAGGTTTGCATTCCCAGCGTCCCGCCCAGCAGGTGTGTGAGCCGGGGACTCTTGGGGAGTCAGCCACTGGGATCCCAGGTAAGGCCAGCTCTGTTGGGGAAGTTGACATGGAGTCAGTGTGGCCGCTGGGATCCCAGGTGGCTGTAGGTGGCTGTGGGTGTCCGTGGTGCGTTGAGAGTGTGGAAGCTGTTGGTCCGTTGGTGTTGCCATGACTTCGGCTGGGCGTTATCCTGGTGCCCACGTGCCGCCACCTAGAACGAGACCCCCCTCTGTGAAATGCACTTTGGGCACTGCCTGTGATCCTCACTGAGCAAGTCCACAAAACCACTGTTGGTGCCGTGATTTTGAGAATGCCTCTCAGTGCCGTCTGTTTTCTTCACAGATGAAATTGTGGCTCTGAAGCGGCTGAAGATGGAGAAGGAGAAGGAGGGCTTCCCTATCACGTCGCTGAGGGAGATCAACACCATCCTCAAGGCCCAGCATCCCAACATCGTCACCGTTAGAGTGAGCATGGCCCCACCACGCACAGCCCCGGGTAGAAGGCTTTTCCCACGGCCCCATGTTGTCCTGGTGCTGTCCTGAGGCCAGGTGCTTCCCTGCGCTTAGCGGAGCCCTTCACAGACCACACAGAAGCAAGCATTCGCCCCCCGGGTGGCACTGGAGGTCCTACTGTCCCTCAGCATCTGCACCCGGGTTCAGGTGGTGGCAGGGGTTGGGGGGCCCTGAGGTGCCCACAGAGCCATGCCCTGCAGGAGATCGTGGTGGGCAGCAACATGGACAAGATCTACATCGTGATGAACTACGTGGAGCACGACCTCAAGAGCCTGATGGAGACCATGAAGCAGCCCTTCCTGCCAGGTACAGCCCCAGGCCTCTTGGCACACAAGCGGGAGCAGTGTCCTGGTCACCCCCGCGGTGACACTGCTGCAGGGAGGGCCAGCTGCATCCACAGGGAAAGCCCTGAGAAGCCTCTGTTGCTGCTGAGGCGAGTGGGCCACCCTGAATGCCCTGGGCTGGGGGCGGTCGGGTCCACATGGGAGCCTGTCTCCCTCCCTCCCAGGGGAGGTGAAGACCCTGATGATCCAGCTGCTGCGGGGGGTGAAGCACCTGCACGACAACTGGATCCTGCACCGTGACCTCAAGACGTCCAACTTGCTGCTGAGCCACGCCGGCATCCTCAAGGTGAGCCTCCCCCACCACCCACCGAGCGGCCCATCCCGGGGAGACCTGCCCGGGCCCATCCACAGCCGCCCATCTGTCCTTGCAGGTGGGTGACTTCGGGTTGGCGCGGGAGTACGGATCTCCTCTGAAGGCCTACACCCCGGTCGTGGTGACCCTGTGGTACCGCGCCCCAGAGCTGCTGCTTGGTGCCAAGGTGAGTCCTGGGCATCTGAGAGCCTCTCCTGCCCCCCATGCAGTCTCCCACAGCTCCGCGGGCCCTGGCCCTCCTGAGCTCCTCTCCTGTCCTCGTAGGAATACTCCACAGCCGTCGACATGTGGTCGGTGGGCTGCATCTTCGGGGAGCTGCTGACTCAGAAGCCTCTGTTCCCAGGGAAGTCGGACATCGATCAGATCAACAAAGTGTTCAAGGTGGGTCTGGGCCCCGCTGCAGTTGTGCTGTGGGGTTGTGGAGGAGCCTCAGGAATGGGGCTGGGGGGCACACAGGTGCTGGGTTGAGATGGGGACCGGGGCCACCGAGAGCCCTCCTGGTGGTTTGTCTTCTCTACTGGGACACAGGTGCCAACACCATGGGCCACGTGGCGTGGCTGTTGAAACGCCTCTGTCTTTCAGGACCTGGGGACCCCCAGTGAAAAAATCTGGCCCGGCTACAACGAGCTCCCCGCAGTGAAGAAGATGACCTTCAGCGAGTACCCCTACAACAACCTCCGCAAGCGCTTTGGGGCCCTGCTCTCAGACCAGGGCTTCGACCTCATGAACAAGTGAGCCCCGTGCAGCCGGGCAGCGGGAGGTCCCAAGCCATAGTGGTGGCTTCCCGGTCCCAGGCCCACCTGCTGGCTCAGCACTTTCCAGAACTGTTCTGGTGCCTGGTGCCCCATGCCCTGAGCCCTGTCCCAACACAGCCCATCTCTGGGGGACCCAGTGGAGCACTCGAGCACCTCCTGGGCCTCTGGTCCTCTCCCCCCAGGTTCCTGACCTACTTTCCCGGGAGAAGGATCAGCGCTGAGGATGGCCTCAAGCACGAGTATTTCCGCGAGACCCCCCTCCCCATCGATCCTTCCATGTTCCCCACGTGGCCCGCCAAGAGTGAGCAGCAGCGTGTGAAGCGGGGCACCAGCCCGAGGCCCCCTGAGGGAGGCCTGGGCTATAGCCAGCTGGTGAGGGGCCTGGCTGGTGGGGCGTGCCCAGAGGTGGGGCTGGCTTGGGCAGGGTCCTCACGGTAGCCGACTCGTCCTAGGGTGACGACGACCTGAAGGAGACGGGCTTCCACCTTACCACCACGAACCAGGGGGCCTCAGCCGCGGGCCCCGGCTTCAGCCTCAAGTTCTGAAGGTCACAGTAGACCCCGTCATGGGGAGAACTCAGCCGGGACCACAGGCGCGGCTACTGCGGCTGGAGCTGCCATGAGACTCAGAACTCCTCATCTTATTTCGTGTTCCACGTTTTGTTTTTGTATTTTGGTTTGTAAATTTGTAGAATTAAATCATTTTCCTTGTTGTGGAGGAAAGAGCTGTGTTTTCAGGTCTCCCTGACTTGCCCAGGGAGGAGAGGGTGGGCATCTGCGGGCACCTACTTGGGGCAGCACAAACCCCCACACGCCCTGTCCCACTCTGGACACACCGGGCTGGCTGGGCCGTGATTTGGAGCAGGTGGGGGTCGGGTCGATTGTTTCATCTTTGGAGCTGGAGACCTGTTTCTGTGTTGGGATGAGTGATGCTTTCCTGCCCCAACTCGCTCGTCCAGACCAGCCCTGTCCACACAGGCCCCCGGCCCCCAACCCCCAGCCCCAGGTATTCTGGCAGCCTCAGCAGGTTTTTATACAGGGTTGTTACGAGTTTTAAAATGTATTAAAATATTCTTGGAGGAAAGCTCCCCGTGTTCTTCTTTCAGTAGCCCGGGACCGTGTGTGGGAGGGGAGTCGCAGACCACCAGGCTCTAGGGGAAGAGGGTGGGGTGGGTGGCTGTGGCCTCTGACCCCACGTGGGCCAGTCTCTTCCCCAGGCAGGAGGGGTGCTCCTATCTCCGGGGGGCCTCCACTCTGGCAAGGTGGTCCCCCACCCTGTGCCAATCCTCCCAGCCCCCACCCACATCCCCTTGCAGAAGATCCTGGAGACCCATCCCAATCCCGAGCTTCCCTTCAGGAAGCTCCCCTTGCCTCCCTCCCCCATCTCTGAGCAAGCCCTAGACAGAACCCAGGCTTCCGGGGCTACCCCACGTGCTGTCCCCGGCACTGGGGCCTCCACTATCCCACTTTTCCAGGGGCCACCTTGGCAAAGCCTGTCCCGTCCTGTGCTGTATCTGTCGTCTGCTGTGCAGGAAAGCAGGGGGTGCCTGGCCCCAAGGACGCCCACCTCTTGGTGGACCAGGGGCTGGGGTGTCCACCTGCCCAGACTGCCCGCTGCCCCCCCAAGAATGAACAAGAGGACATAGAGAGAAAGTGCTTTATCAGCCGGGCTCAGCCCCGCACACGGACTCGCCAGGAGTAGGTGGTCAGCACGCGCTGCTGGCGGCGCACCACGCAGGTGTAGGTGCCCTCATTGACGGCGTTGGCAATGATGCTCAGGTGTGCCTCACCCAGGGCCAGGTAGCCGGGGTAGGAGAACTCCAGGGGCTCCTGGTCCTTGTACCAGCTGCAGGGGGGCAGGGTGTCTCCTGCAGGCACAGCCTCCACCCACTGCCTGCCCTGCACCCCTGCCCCAGGGCCCCAGGCTGCCCACCCTGAGGACCCGCCAGGGCACCCACTTACTACACTTTTCCTTTTTTGTGGAGAATCTTGTGGCCGCACCGGAAGGTCACGTTCCTGCCCTCAGGCACCAGCCTGGTTTTGGTCCTGGGGGGCGGTGGGGTGGTGGCCACCGTCGGGAAGGGGAATTCTGCGCCGGGTAAGGGAAGAGCCCCCTCAGCCCAGACCATAGCCAAGACCCAGCCCCCACGCAGCCCCGTCCCGGCCCGTGGGAGCCCAGACCATAGCCAAGACCCAGCTCCCACGCAGCCCTGTCCCGGCCCCTGGGCATCACCGTAGCAGAAGTCGCAGCTGCTGGGGCAGAGCCTCTTCATGAGGCGCCGGCGAGCGTCGCAGAAGCCCCTCCGTGCCCAGGACGCGCACACGAAAAGCCTGTCCAGGCATCCTGCCGGGAGCGTGGGAAGCACGGCCTGGCTCAGGACCGCCCGATCCCCGCCCTCCCGCCCGACAAGGGGACTCACCGTAGAGCCGGTGCAGCCCCCACAGCTCGTCCTGGGACAACGCCTTCCAGCCGCGCAGCGTGGCGTTCAGGTGCATGAGCGCCCGGCCGTGTTGTGAGTGCATCAGGCCCAGCGCGTGGCCGATCTCATGGGCCGCCACGTGCACCAGGTCCGTGAGCCACACGCCTGCGGGCCCCGGGGATCAGCGCCTGGGAGCCCCGGGCCCAGCCCCGCCGCCCGTGGGCCAGCTCCCCAAGGCCCGGCACATCTGCTGGAGCGCAGCCGCGGAGCCGCCCTCCGCCGCAGCCACGGAAAGATAAGAATGTTCTGGGCCCAGGCGGTGAGCTCGGCCCCCAGGAATGCAGCTCCTGCTCCCGCTCCAGAGTCGCAGGGGGATGGGAAAGGGAGTTCAGGGCTGCCGGGACTGGGGGCTCCCACGGGCTCCCCTCCTTGCCTGCTCGACTCCAGTAGCAGCCACCACCCCGGAAGGTCCCTCCTGCCGTCTGCCCCAAAGCCCGACCGCGGCAGCCCACTGCGCTGCGGAGGAGAGGCCTCCAGGAGGCCAGCCTGGACGGTCACCTTTCTTCCAGCTGTAGCGCGTGGGGCCCAGCACCCAGTACTCGCTGTCGTCGAAGTGGATGCCGCCGTGCGGGGGGAAGAAGGCATGGGCCAGCTCCCCCGTGGGGCCATCGAAGCAGTGGTGCAGCGCGGAGACCAGGCAGTCCGTGTGGTTGATCGGGTAGAAGCCTGAGGGGAGCACAGGGCTGAGAGGCCAGGCGCGCACGGCCGGGCCGGGGCGGGGGCGGGCGCCCACCTATCCGGAGGTCGCTGGGCTGCTCGGGGGCCACCTCTCGGAAGCTGAAGGGGGACACGTCGCTCCACATGCGGAAGGCGGCAGCCAGGGCCCGCCGCGTCTCCCGCGGGCTCAGCAGGTTCCGAGGGAAGGAGAGGATCCTGCAGGGAGAGCGAGCTCAGCGGGGGCCGGCCGCGCCCCCTCCCCCAGGGCCAAGCCAGGGCGCACCTGTAGGTGAGGTTGAAGTGGTCCCAGCGCAGCCTGGCTGGAGTCAGCGTGTAGCGGCGTCTGCGGGGGGCCAGTGGGCCCGGGACCCGGGTTGGGGGGACCCCCGAGAGGCCCAGCGCAGCGGCGTCTCCCTTCAGGGAAGAAAGCGTGCGTGGGAGGCATCGGTGACGGTCCCCAGGGCCAAAAACTGCCTCGGAAAATGGACTGGAAGGAAACGGGGGTGGGGGTGGGGGTGCCCAGGGCTGGGAGCGGGCGTGGCGGGTCCTGTCTGCCTGTGGTTTCGGGTCTCCTAACCTGAGCGTCCTGTTGCATGTCCCTGGGAACGCGGCCCAGTGGAGGCGAAGGGGCTGAACAGCAGGGCGCGGCCTCCCACCCCTCCCAACAACTGGACACAGGAGAGTCCGACCCTCCGACCTCGGGACGCACATCCGGACCCTCAAACACCCCACACACCCCGCACACGTCCTGCGGGCCCCCAGACAGACCAGACCCACAGACGTGAGAACCCCCACCCCGACACCTGGCTTCCCCGCCCGCCGCTCACCTGCGCTGCGCTCCAGGCCGGCACCGCCGGGGCCCCCAGCCGGGCCAGCAGCACCAGCACGGGGAGGAGGCACAGGGCGACCAGCGCGGCTCCAAGCCAGCGGCGCTCGACGCCGGCCCCCGGGGCCTCCGAGGGGACACCGGGCCCGCGGCCCATGGCGGACTTGCTGTGGGGCTCAGGGCCGCATGGGGCAGCACGGCGCGGGGGCCCGGGCCGCAGAGCCGCCGGGGAGGATCTGGAGGGGAGGCAGTGGCTGGGCGGCTCGGGTTACAGCCCCGTGGGTGGGGGGGGAGACGGGGCGGGAGAGGGGGCAAGGCTGCCCCTGAAGGGAACCAGCTGGCCCGACCGTTGGCCGAGCTGCCTGCTGCCTCCAGCCGGGGGCATGGGGACCCGCGTCCTGTGGGCCAGGGGCAGAGGCCTGGGCATGGCCTGCTGGGCGGGGTCCTCGGAAGGGGGGAGCGAAGAGGGCCCCAGGCAACCCGGGAAGGGCAGCGCCAAGGCTCCCGCTTAGGAAAGGGCAGCCAGTGGGGTCCCCGAGCCGGCCGGGCAGTGAATGACCTGGTGGCTTTTTTCCCAAATGGAATCCCCAACAATCCCCTGAGCCCCACAGGAGCGGAGTCTCCATCCTGGCCCAGGAGGCTGAGCTGGGCCGCAGGGGACGCGCCGCCCGCCTGACAGTGTCCCCGAGAGCTGGGAGGGGACGGCAGGATGGGGACGTGGCAGTGAGTACGGGGCGGCGGAGGGGGAGGCGGGGAGGGGGTGCGTGGGTAGGGAAGGGCCACGGAGGGTGCCAGGTTGCGGGTCGGAGGGAGGGAACTTGTCGGGGTCTCCCAGGGAGCCGGGAAGGGGCGGGCCCTGGCTCGGGGGAACCCCGTGGGCGGCGGCGCGGGAGGTGGAGGGTGTGTGGCTCCTGAATCCCCGGCTAGGCCCCAGTAAAGGGGAGAGGGAAACGGGAGGGGGAACGGGAAGCGGAGCCAGGCGCCGGGCATAGAGGTCTGGACCGGTCCTGATTGGGGGTGGGGGCGGGGAGCTCGGAGGCCCAAAGGCTCGACGGGGCGGCCTGTGTCCAGACGCGAGCGGCTCGGGGCTGGGACCGAGACCCGGCACCGGCGTCCCGTGGGGCGGGGATGGGGGATTGGGCAGAGAAGCAGGAGATTCCGAGCCAGACCGGCCTGTGTCCCGTCCCTCCCCGTTTTCCGCGCCGGCCTCGGGCCCAGGGTGACGGCAGCCCGGCCAACGGGGTCAGCGCCAAGCAGCTGGCGGCGGCCGCGGGCGGTTCTTGGAAAGCGCGAGCCGCTGGACCCGCCCGCGTATTTGCTTCGACACCGCCCCCCACCAGCTTGTCCCCCCCACCTGCTTGCGCCCAGTCCCTTTCCCAGGTCCCAGACCCTGCCTTGGACGCCCCCCAACTGCCTGCTGGGACGGGACCCCACAGCCCTGGGGAGCGTCGGGCCCCTTGGGTCAGAGCACGAGCCCCCACGGCCGCCCCCAGGACGGAGGAGCGAGGGGGGCCCGGGGGCGAACACAGGAGCCCCCGCCCCGTCGGACCCGGGCCCGGGTGGCGGGAGGCGGCCGTGCCCACGCCGGGAGGGTGTCCTGTCCCGGAGGCCGCAGTCTGGACGCGAGTCCAGACGCAAGAGCCTGGGGCGGGCGGGGCGCACCCCAGGGAAGGAGGGGCCCCCAGGCTCGCCCGCGTGTCCCGAGGGGAGGACCCCAGAGGCGCCCGGTCCCCCAGGCAGACAGCGGAGGCAACGTCCGAGAATCTTTTTATAAAACACAGGGCGGGGGCTCGCGAAGGCAGCTCGGGCGTGGCGGGCGGCGCGGCTCACACGAAGATCTGGATGCGGTCGCGGATGGGCTGGCGGCAGATCGGGCAGGCGCTGAGCGCGGAGCCGCAGGGGGCGCATGCGCCGTGGCCGCACTGGAACACGAGGCGGATGTGGCTGTCGATGCAGATGGGGCAGGTGATACGTTCCTCCATCTGCCGGTAGCGGCTCTGCAGCTCCTCCACCAGCTGGCGCGGCGGGCCGGGGGCGGGGGCGGCGCTCGCCACCTCAGAGCCGTCTGCGGGGTGAGGGACGGGTGTGAGCTGCGAGGCCGGTGGGGGAATGGGGGAGCGGGGAGCTGCAGGCGGGCAACGGGGGGCGAGGCTGGGGGCGGGGTGTCACCTGGGACGGGGTGTGACCTGGAAGGAGTTGGTGGAGTGGGTGTGACTTGGAGGCAGAGCTGGGGCCGGCTGCGGGCAGGATGTGAACCGTGGAGATCAGGCGTAAGGTGGTGTGGGGGCTGGAGTCAGGGCCGCAGGTGGGGTGGGTGTGACCTGGGGCGGGGTGTGATGGGGAAGCGGTGCTCTGGGTGGGCGGTGATCTGGGGTGGGGCTATGGAGAGTGTGACCTGGGAGGGGCCGTGAAATCCAGCGGGACTAGGGTGTGAGCTGGGGAGGAGGGTGTTACCTTGAGGCGGGGTATGGGCAGGGTGTGGTCTGCAGCAGGCCGTGACCTCTGGCGGGGCTAGGGCCAGGGTATGAGCCTTGGGAGGGCGGGGCGCGACCTGGGGAAGGGCCATGGGCAGAAGTGTGGGAGGGGTGGGGGACAGGGACCCGGGGACCACCAGCTGAGCAGGAGGCGTGTCGGGGGCGCCGAGCCTCACCCACCTGCGCGTAGCTTCTTGCTGACGGCCACCTGGCACCTGATGCACTTCTTCATCCTGCGCGCGCACTCTGCAGAGAGGAGCGCGGTTGGCTGGGGCCGGACTACCCGGGCTCCCCTCCCCGGGGCCCCCCCTCACCCTCGCACACTCTGCGGAGAAGAGCGCCCGGTTGGCTGGGGTCAGACTACCCGGGCTCCCCCCCTCGGGGCCCCCCACTCACCCTCGCACACGGTGCGGTGCTGGCATGGCGAGAACAGCACCAGCAGCGCCAGCTCGGAGCACACCAGGCACTCAGCAGCCTCGGGCCCCGGCGCGGCGCCCACGTGCAGGTTCGTCACGGTGTTGGGGGTCCCGAGCGCGTGCCTGGGGCCTGGGGCCGCGCCCCCGCCCGCCTGTCGCTCCCTGCAGGGGGAGGAGGCGGCTTGAGAGGGGCCCGGAGGCCGCAGGACCCCCTCCCCACCGCCCGCGGGCTCACCGGAAGCGCTGGGCGCAGCCTTGAAGGGCCTTGAGCACGCGGCCCTCGGCGGCCAGGTCCAGCGGGCTCCGGCCGCGGTGGTTGGTGTAGCTCACGTCGGCGCCCTCCAGCGCCAGGAAGCAGGCGACCGCCGCGCCCACCGTCAGCTCCGTGCTGCCGGGGAGGCCCGAGGCCTGTAGCTGGGCGGCAGGACAGACGCCGGTGAGGGCGGGCGCCGGGGCAGGCCCGAAGGAGGCATCTCCTGGCACCCGGCAGCCCCAGCAGCCGGCGCCCCAGGTCTAAAATAGAAGGCAGGGGCACCTCTTCCGGAACCCAGGTGGGACAGGCAAGAGGGGCACCCTGCTGGGTGAACTCTGAGACCCTAAGCCCCACCTCTCCCCACCCCATGGGCACCACCCCTCTCCCAGGCTGCCTAGGGGTGCAGGCTGAAGGATCACATAGAACTTGGTTCCGTCTGCTCCACCCCCAGAACGCCTGGCTCCCTGGGCCATCACTGGACACTTCCTCACCCTGGACATCAGCTGCAAGGGCCCTGGGTCCCCCCCGGCCCCATCAGCCACCAGGGGCAGCAGCTGATGACGCTGCAGCGCCACGTGCAGGGCTGTGTCCCCCTCCTCGTCCTCGGCGTTGACACTGCACCCAGCGTCCACCAGCAGTGGCACCAGCCCCACATGGGCCTGCTGCACGGCTAGATGCAGCGGGGACTGCAGCTTCCGGTTGCGCACATTCACGTCACAGCGGCCCTGGGGAGGGGTGGGCACGGGCTCAGACCAGGGACCCCAGTGGGCCTCCCGCTCCCTGGTCCTTGGGCAGGCCTGGGCCGCGCCCTCACCTCCCGGATGAGGATCTGGGCCACCTCACGGTGGTTGTTGAGGGCGGCCAGGTGGAGCGCCGTGAAGCCGTCCTCCTTCTTGGCGTCCACCAGCTGCCGTGCCCGAGCCAGAATCTTTCTCACAGCTCTGTGGGAGTAGGGAGGTTGGTCTGGGACCTGGGACTGTCCCTGGGCAGCACAGCAAGAGGCTGGCCGCAGCTGTGTGCCCACTCCACACTCACAGCGAGTGGCCTTTGAGGGAGGCATGGTGCAGCAAGGTGAAACCCTGGCTGTTGGTGGCGGTGACATCGATGTTTGGCACCTCCGTGAGGACCTCGACGATGCCACTGGCGCCAGTGCCCGCCGAGATGGCGGAGTGCAGGGGCGTGTCCGAGTGGGCATCCTGCTGGGCAGAGTCCGTGGTCACTTGGGGTGACTTCTGCTTGGGTCAAGAGCCAGGGCACCCAGGGAGCAGCGCTCACGGGCAGGCGGCACCCAGGGAGCAGCGCTCGCGGGCAGGGGGCACCCAGGGAGCAGCGCTCGCGGGCAGGGGGCACCCAGGGAGCAGCGCTCGCGGGCAGGGGGCACCCAGGGAGCAGCGCTCGCGGGCAGGCGGCACCCAGGGAGCAGCGCTCGCGGGCAGGCGGCACCCAGGGAGCAGCGCTCGCGGGCAGGGGGCACCCAGGGAGCAGCGCTCGCGGGCAGGCGGCACCCAGGGAGCAGCGCTCGTGGGCAGGGGGCACCCAGGCCAGGTGGAAGCAGAACTCACAGGCAGGTTGACGTCACAGCCATGCTCACACAGGGCCCGCACCACCTCCAGGAAGCCCCTCTGCACGGCCACGTGCAGCGCTGTGCTCTGGGTGCTGTTGATGGCATCTGCCCGGCACCCAGCATTCAGGAGCACCCTGCCGACCTCAGGCTGGTTCCTGACGGGAGAGGACATGAGAGGGAGGGCGCCGTGCCCACTGGTTGGACACACAGGCTCAGCCCTGCCAGGCCCCTCCCGGGCCCCTCCCAGACCTCACCCCAGGGCCGCGTAGTGCAGCGCCGTGTTGCCCTCATCGTCCGGCAGGTCCACGCCCGCCCTGGCTTGTAGCAGCAGCCGTACCAAGTCCACCTGACCCAGGTAGGCAGCCACTTGCAGAGCGGTCCTGCCTTGGTTCTTGGTGTCCACCTGCCAGGAGAGCCAGCAGGTGAGTCCCTGGCCTTCTGCCCCTCACCCTCAGACTGGACGGTGTGGGAGGACGGGGGCGGGAGCTCGCCTGCTCTGGACGCCTCCGCAGCAGGTCCAGAGCCCGGGCCATGTTACCCAGCGCCACCTCCACCACCAGCCTTCCCGGGTGCTCCGGGTCACTCTTCTGGGCCCGAAGCTTGTCCAGGGCCACGCTCAGTGAGCCTGGGGGGCAGGGCTGAGGTTAGCAGTGGCCAGGGGCAGCCCCACCGCCCACGGCCGCCTGAGCTGTGCCGCACTTTTGTTCTCCCGGGCGCGCTCAGCCACGTCCAGGTTGGCATCCTCCTCGGGCCGGTAGGCCACCAGGCAGGAGGGGCTGAAGGTCCACCGCTGACCAGCGACTGCTACACGCAGGTTCCCGTCTCCAAACACTTTCACCACTTTCCCGACGCGGCCCAGGGCCTGCGGGGAGGGGAGGGGGTCACAGCAGGCTGCAGGTGTGGGGGGCAGCGGCCCTAGCGGCGGGGGCGGCAAGGGGACTCACAGGGGCCATGTCGTCCGTCCACTCGCCATGCCCAGCCTGCAGCCGCTTCACCGTGTCAAGGTCGCCGATGACCCGGACCACGTCGCCCACCCAGAAGGAGTGGTGCTGAGCAACAGAGAGGGGCGTGAGGGGCCCCCCAGCTGTGTGTGGCTGCCCAGGCTCATGGAGCACAGGAGGGCAACCCGCTGAGCTCCGCAAGACAGGCAGGCCCGACTCGGCCCCCGCCCCGGTCCCGGCCCCGACCCTGACCCCGACCCCAAGCACTGCCAGAGGCTCTGGCTGGACGAGAGCCCCAGGTGTCCAAGGCAGCCCTGGGTGTCCCCAGCCCCAGAGCCATGGGAGGAGTGTCCAGGCAGATAGAAGCCAGCTCTGGGCAGGTGTGAAGCCGAGGTGGCCGGCCGTGGGGAGCTATACGCTGACCAGCAGCAGGCAGCATGGCCAGGGCCCCGTGAGCCAGTGTGGGGGTGGGGCCCCAGGACATTGGGGTGCAGGGCGGGCCCACTCTGCCCCACCTGAGCCCTCATATGCAGGGAACTCACTCTACAAGCCCATCTCATGACTCCCCTTGGCGCTTCCTCAAAGGTGCCTGGTATCCAGGACCCCAGATCCAGATTTGAGCTCTGACGCTTTGTCCTGGGCCTGCCCCTCCCAGGGCCATCCAAGCTGCCACCGCCACCACCTCCAGCCCCTTCGCTGACATACTGCTTCCCAGGCAGCCCTCACTACCTCCCACACCACTAGGGTTGTGGGGACCGCCACCCTAGGCCAAACGTGCACCTCCCTGTCCTCACCAGCCACCCCCATCGGCCCCCATACAGCACTAACCAGGAGCGTCTCAGCCCAGCTGCCTCCCTCCCGCCCACGAAGCTGTCCTGCCTTCCTGGTGTCCTGGAACCGAGGGAGGCCCTAACTGCCCATATCAGCCACGCCAGCTCCCAGGGACATACCCTCCTCTGGGTTCCTTCACACCCAACCCCCTCTTCTCCTTGACATCACCCACCAGTCCCTACCCTTCCTTCAGGGCTGGGGACTCGTGGGTACAGCTGGCACCCTAGTCCTGCCTGACCCCCCGAGGCCGAGTGGATACATGGAAGGGGTTACAGAAGCAAACAGATGGGGTGCAGCCCAGCCCCCCAGGCACCTTGGTGAGCGCCCCGGGGTGGAAGGTCCAGCGCGTCTCGTGGTTGAACTGCACGCGCACGTCCCCGCGGTCCGTGATGCGATGCACGGTGCCCGTCTGTCCGATAAACTGTGGCGGGTCATGGAGCTGTGGCTGGGTCGGGCTGGACGCTTGGGGAGGAAGGGGCTGGGGGTCCGCAGGGCTGGGAGGGCAGGGCACACAGGGCTCCACGGTGGGGCGGCTCACCTCCGCCATCCTGGGGTTCCAGCCGCCGTGGCCTTCCTGCATCTCCCGCAGGACGTCAGTGTCCAGCAGACATTTGACCTTGTCCCCGTGCTGGAAGGGCTGACCGTCAGCACTCACCCTGCGCTGCAGCTCGGCCGGCTTGCCTGGGGGAGGGTGGCAGGCCTCAGGCAGCAGTCCCTCCCCTCTGGGACTTCAGCCAGGGTAGGAGGGCTGATGGGGTCAGTGGGACAGCCTCATACCAAGCCTTGGGAGGTGGTCCTTATAGTAGAAGCCGCCTGCTGCCTCGCCCACACACTTGAGGTCCACCTTGCCCTTGTGGCCCACACGGTACACGTTCGTGGTACCATCAGCCCACGTCACGCTGGCCACACTCCGGCCTGTCTCCACATCCCAGCCACGGATGTCCACCACACGGCCTGGTTTCCCTTCCCCTCCTGGGGAAAGAGTCCCCGCCAGCAGGCTAAGGCTGTGCCTTGAGACTGAGCCATGAGCCAGCCACAGCCGGGCCCTGCCCTCTGCCCGTCTGCCTCCACTCACCATCCTGTGAGCCCCACTCCCAGTCGGGGCCTCGCACCACCTTCGCGCCCTGGAAGATGCCCCTTAGTGGGATCCTCAGGAGGCCCTGGCGGGGACTCAGCGTGACACTGCAAGAGGGTTCACAAATAAAGCTCTCGGAAGAAAACTGCCATCTCTTCCCGTCCTGAGCCACTCGGGAGAGCCTGGGAATGGCCGGCCCAGCAGGTCAGCATCCTCCACACACTGCGAGGAAATGCCCCCGGGCTCAGGGGCCTGGAGCGAACCTGCGGACCACGTTCCTCCAGGGACTTCCCTGATGCCAGGCTGGGAAGGCACCCAGGCCCACCCTTGGCAAGACCTCTGGGTGCGGTCGCTTTATGCCTGCTGCCTCCCGGTGAGCTGGGGCACAGCCAGGCCCAGAGGTGGGCTCAGCATGTGGTAAGGGAGGAATGAGGCCAACAGCACTCCCCAGTCGCCCACAGCTCCCCCCACATGCAGGGAGGGCCAGAGACAAGGGTGACATGCAGGAGACGGGGTGGCATCTCTGGCTGCCTTTGCCCCAAGCAGGCTAGATTCTCCCCCAGCTGATGCCCTCGGACCAGAGCGCAGCAGCCCCCAAGGCAGCCCAGGGGCTGGCTCCAGGTGTGGACAGTCCTCGCGGAGGTCTCATGCCTCCCTGGGGGATGCTGGCTGCCTGATGGCCACTGCTGCCTGTAGAGCCACCCAGAGGCCACCCTCTGTGCCCCGCCCATGGCAACACCGCTTAAGGCCATTGCCCTGGAGAGACTTGCTCCATCTCCCTGGGAGTGGTTGGGAGCCTCCCCGAAGGCCGAGGCCCCCATGGCAAGGCCTGGGTATCCGCCGCACAGGAGCTGGTGCGGCCCGGGACTCACGGGCGTGAGTGGGCTGTCTCATAGCGGTCGAAGGCGTGGGCAAGCTCGTGCTTGTTGTGCATGTAGCACTGCGTGCAGAGGTCGTAGTCCAGGCACACGCGGCACTTCCAGCGCATCCCCCGCAGCCCGTGCTTCTTGCAGCAGTCACAGATGATGTTGGGGTGCCGGACGCCTGGGGGTGGGGTGGGGTCAGAGGGGGCGTTCCCGCCCCCGGGTCCTGCCCGTCCCGCCTGCCCTTGGCGCACCAATCTGGGCGTTGTCGTAGAGCAGCAGGTCGTGCGCGCCCTGGTAGCCGGCGCGGTAGTTGGTGCGTGTGCCCTGGTCCCACTGCACGACCACCGTGCGGTCGGGTGTCGAGGGGCTGCCGTGGCGGCCAAGCTCCACCACCGTGCCCACGCCGCCCTCGCCGCCGTCCTGCTGGCCCCACTTCCAGTCCACGCCGCGCACCACCCGCATGCCCACCTGCACGCCCGCCTGGGGGTCTGGGTCCATGTTGGGCGGGGCTGCTCGGGACCTGTGGGCAGAGGGGTCCATGGTGGGCCGGGCTGCTCGGGACCTGTGGGCAGAGGGTATTCTCAGGCCACCACGGGACACTCCCGGTCAGAGCAGGCTCCACGGGAGAGCAGAGGAGAGGCCCAAAGGGGCAGGTGGGCTGGTTCAAGCCCTAGGGCCCAAGGAGGCAGCAAGGAGGCCCACAGTCTGGCACCAGCGAGGCTGGTGGGGAAGGTGGGTGCCATGCCAGCCTGGCGTGGGACCGGCAGGGTGGTCTGGGCCCAGGGGGCTTCGTGAAAGGTTCACAAATAAAGTTCTAGGAAGAAAATTGCCATCTCCTCCCGCAGCCAATTAATGAGCTGGACGCTGGAGTTCACTAAAGAAAGAGCTGCCGTCCCCTAAGACACTCACATGGTTGGACGGGCAGCGGCACGTGAGCAGACACCGTGACATGTGTCCCTCAGAGGACTTGTGTCCACACACACACAGGGTGAGGAACTCCTGCGATCCACATGAAAACATCAGACAACGCAACAGAAAAATGGCAAACACGACGCAGGCACCATACAAGACCAGCAGGCACTGGCCAGCAAGGACCTGGGGGCGTCTCTGTCCCCAGACACTGCTCCTGGGGGATGCCAGCTTTGGACCCTGCGCGTCAGGGACAGTGCAGCGAGGCCAGACAGCACCCCGGAGCCTTCTCTGGAAAAGTGGCCCTGGCCACGCCACGCACCCACAACAGAGGCCAGACACTTGAGCACAGGCAGGTCCCTGGGTCCTCAGTGGCCACGGGCTCCTGAAGCGGGGTTGAGTCCCAACCAAGCAGGGACCCACTCACCACAAAGAGCACAGGCCAGAGGTCACCAGCAGATGGAGGGAAGTAGCCAAGTGCAAATGCCAGGTGGCTCCATTTACACAGAGGTGCACATTCCAGGCTGCTGGAAGCAGGGATGGAGCCAGCCACAGGGCTCCAGGCCCAGGACTGCTAATCCCGAATCTGGGTGCTGACCCCCGAGAGCTCACTCTGCAGATGTGAGTCACCGTGGGCTGCCCTCTCCACCGTGCTGGGCTTCAGCACAGTCTCGTTAACAAGAAGAATGGATGTGAACGTTAAGAGGGCAAATCAGAAGGTAGAGGCTACAGCTGGCTGTGATCGCATCACTGCACTCCAGCCTGGCGGGCAAAGCAAGACCCTGTCTGGGGGAGGGGAGGGCCCCTACTCACTTCTCATTAAACCACTAGGACCCCATGGCCGGGGAAGGAGGCAGCCCAGGAGCACTGCCTGAAGCAGAGGTGGGGGACACGGCAGTCCCAGGAGGCTGGAGGGACCCCTGAGGCTGGGTGGATGTGGCTGAGGATGGAAGGGGGCCCTGCCAACTCCAGGACACAGGCCAGCCTGGGCCTCACATGTCAGCCTTCCACCTGGGCTGCGCTGCAGCCCAGCACTTTGCATCTCAGGCCAGTTCAGGAGACACCCTGGCCCAGGGGAGGCTGCAGATGGGCAGTGAGGAGGGGCCACAGCAAAGCCCCCGACTCCTGCTCTGGCTCAGGGGCCTGAGTCCCACAGGTTGTCCCCCGAGCAAGGCCCGGTGAGGAGCCCAGCCCCACTCCAGAGACTGAGTCCAGCGCAAGGGCTCGCCTGCAGGGCTGGGCTCCTCACCGTGCCCCAGCTGCATGTGAGCATGGGACTCCCTCTAATTCTCAGGGGCACAAACCTGGCCAGCTTGGCCTCTACAGTTCTCTCTCCTCAACTTGCCCAGAACCGCCAGGGCTTCCACAGGACGGGGGGATGTTTTAAAAGCACAGCTCTCCCTGTCAGTGACAAAGAGGAGCCCCCACCCAGCAGCCAGGCTCTGCTTCTTCAGGGAAACCCCACGTGGCCTCATCTGTCCAGAGGCCTCACCTGTTGGGTGACACTGCCCCCTCACCTGGGGCGAGATCCTGCCAAGATGTGCACCAAGGCCTGGGCCAGGGCTGCTTTTTCCTGTGGCACCAGTGAGCCCCAGACAAGGAGATGGGTCCCGTGGGCAGCTCCACAGCCATCAGGGAAGGTGGCTGGCTCTGCCCTCCCCACGGCCTTCTGCAGCCTCCTGGCTGGGCCTCTGCATGGTCAGCTTCCACAGGTGGCAGCCAGAGCGGCCCCACCTTGCCCTCAGAGGCCCCGCGGAGCCAGGAGCCCAGCCACCACCCAGGGTGACCCACAGGCCCTCCCCATGGGCCTCTGTGGCACTGTTCCCCTGGGCGGGCCTCTGAGGGCAGCCCCCAGGTGGTGCACTGCCGCGTCCTATGTTTGGCCAGGACCCCACCAGCTGCAGCTTTGACTGAATGGCTGCGTGAGTGAACAAAACATAAGAACCAGAGAGAATCTGTGCCAGGCTTCTGTGATAGCGGCAGCCCCCGTGTCCCGAGGACCCGCCCAGCAGAGGCCACTTCCAGCCATCCCAGCACTGACTACGCCTCACCCAGAGCATGTCCAGGGGGACACAGTTCCACCGGCCAGCCCAGCTCCGCGGCCCCACCCTGGCCATGACCCTTGACTCTCCAGATCCCTGCAGACCCCACGGGGGCTGTCTTGGAGGGAGGTCACCCCTCCTGCCCCAGCAGCTCCCCACTGCCTGCTCTGCCACCAGCTGGGGGCAGGCTCTGCAGGGTTCCTGCTCCCAGGATCCACACACTGTCCTCAGCTTTTGCCCATGGAGTGCCCAAGAAGGGTGAGGCGTGGCCTGGGCTGAGCTCCCCCACTCCAGCCTCCTCTACACAGGGACCTTCCCCGCAGAATGGCACAGCCGGGGAGGCCGACGCAGCAGTCTGCTGGCGGGGGGACGAGTGACAGGGGTACTGCTCCTTAGGGGTGCGGGCCCCACCCCCTGCCAGGCCATCCACCTCCACCAGATCCACATGCAACCTCCTCCTTGCCAGGATCCCCCCAGAATTGGCCACAGCTGGCGTCACGCTAAGCCGGGGCCTCCTCCCTGCCAGACACCTCCATTGAGCCGGAGCGGGACCCATCACAGGCAGCCGCAGAACCGACACTGAGCCGGAGCGGGACCCATCACAGGCAGCCGCAGAACTGACTGGAGGTCTTTGCTAGCAGGGGACACGCATCTGCCGAGCCCTGAGATGGGCCTGGCAACCGAGATGAAAGACTTGGGACCGCGAAAAAGTCAATGCCATGAGCCCACGCTGTGATCCTTCTGCAGCACGGGGGGTGCCCTCTGTCTCTGCGCCCAGACTCTCAGCCAGAGCCAGCCTAGCCCACAGTGATCCTTCTGCAGCAGGGACGCCCTGTCTCTGCGCCCAGACTCTCAGCCAGAGCCAGCTTAGCCCAGGCCAGCGGCCACACCTGCCCGACCCGCAGGCATGGACCCCAGCCATATGCCACTGGACCTTTCCAACAAGACAGGGGCAGGGCGCCCCATGCGTGGACCAGTGTCCTGTGCCCAGCCTTGCCCTTGGGGGGATGGGCAAAGGGCAGAGATGTCAGGGAGGCCACCAGCAGGACCTCTGGGAATCAAGACCAAGCCTCGGTGGCCCCCACCTCACAGGCGCAGCGGGGTGGGGTGCCAAGGCCATCAGCCTGAGACAGGGTGGCCCGTGCCCCAGACGGGCACCTGTCTGCAGCATGCCCAGTATTTTTAGCACAGCCAGGCAGCTCCCAGCTCTGGCCCACAAAGCCCCACCCTCCCAGAGGCTGTCCCTCATGGAAGCCCACCAGAGTTGGGGCACAACTGGGCCGAACACGGGCAGGGCTTCCTCCCCGGCCTCACTTCTCGTGCCTGGAACCAGCCTCCCACTTGCTGAGGGTTGCCCCAACAAGGGAGAGGAGCCCGGACAGGGGAGTTGGGTGCGCCTGCCCACTCCACGCCTCTCCTCGGGCGCTGGGATGTGAGCATACAAGGGCCTATAGCCCTGGCACCTGCTCATGGCTCCCCTGCAGGGCCCCCACCCCAAGGTTCTGGGGTGTGTCACGCTGCCAAGGCAGCCCCTTCTGTCCAGCGTGGCACTGCCCCGGCGTGGCCGCCTCATCTGAGCGGGGTCTCCGGCCATGCCTGCCTCCCGCCGACCCTTCTGTGGCGCCAGTGTGCAGACACACCCCGTGCAGGCAGCTCCCAGGCTCGGGAGCTCAACATCCGGGACCCTCTGAAGGGGCCAGCAGCTTTTTAGGCTCTGCCGCCTTTCTCCTCAGCTCCTTCCTGCAGCCGCCTGCCTGTCTTCCTCACCACTGCCCAGGGCCAGCAGTCACCCAAGACCACCTGCCACTGGCCTTCCGGCCCCCGGCCCCGGGGCTCAGTACCTGCCTCCGAAGGCCTCTCTAGGGGGTGTTTGTGGTGGAGGCAGGAGGCAAGAGTGAGACCCCCACAGGCAGGGAGGAGGAGCACCCCAGCCAGGACCCAGCACTTGTATCCCTCCATCTGGGAGGTCTCTCCTCAAAGGGGACAGAGTGTACCTGCTTAGGGGCCACCAGCGAGGGGCCTGCCCCATCCCCACTGTTCATGAGAGTTGGGGGCTGTGGGGTCGCACACACAGCCTGGCCACCTCAGAGGGAAGCTTGTGGACAAAAGGGCTCATCCCCTGGGCTTCCCTGACCATCTTGTCCTCCTGAGGCCATGGGAGAGGCTCTGGGCCGGGACTGGGTCAAGCCGACCCCAAGGGCACTAGCTGCAGGCCCCATGCTCTGGGCAGGGGTGGGAGCAGGTGATGTGGGGCCAGCACTTGGCACACCCGCTGCAGACCTCAGGTGAGGACTTCCCGGAGGCGTGCAGGTGAGGAACGCCAGATTAGGGGTAGGAGTGGGGTGGGTGGTCCTGGAGATCAAGCCCTCTAGGACAGATGTTTCCCCAAGGGCCCCTCACTCCGTCTGCCTCCACCCTGGACCTGCCCAGCACCCATCCCTTTCTGGAGATCAGGAGGCCTCTGGGTTGCCCCCTCCTATTTTTCTGTTCTAAACCCACAAGGCTCCAGGTGCAGAGGAGGGGACCAATGAGCCCTGATCACCCTGTTCACTTGCCCACAGCGGGTGAGCTCTGGGCCAGAGGCTGCTATGGAAAGTGCAAATGTCCAAGGCTGGCCCTGCCCTCATGCCAACCTGGCCAAGGTTTCCCAGAAAGACAAACCAGAGACAGCCACAGCCACAGCCCAGCACTGGTGGAGGGGCTCCAGGGAGCAGACCAGAGCTGCGGCCAGGCAGCCCCTGGCGTACATGGTTGTGGCCACTCCTGCTCCTCCTCTTGTAAACATACAGCCCAGGCTTCCGCTGTATGTGAGGATGCTGCCTCACAATGGGTGTCTTCACCTCAGTCAGAAATTTACCCAGAGAGTCACCAAATGTTTTTCCTTTGCTAGAAATGCTAGACTTTGCCATCTACCCAGAGTTCACAGGCTGTGCCCCTGGCTGGCATCTGAACCTCGCCGCAGGCAACTGCTCCCGATGTTTAAAATGATGGAGGCAGTCAGGGCGTGAAGACTCGGGCGACAGATGTGCTTTGGCAAATCGGAACTTACCTCAGAGCACACACCAGCCTTGAGGCAGCATCCCAGGTGTTTAATTGCTACTTCCTGGGTCACAGATTTCCTGTTGGAAGCTAAAGCCACTGGAGACACAACACAGCAAACCAGACGGGCAGCCAGCAAGCCAGGCTGGAGAAAACGGTTTATAAAGGCAGTTTCACACATTCAGCATTTACCATCTTAACCACGCAAGCAGCCACCAGGTCTGTTCTACTGCTTCTTAGTTTCTCTTTTTCACAAGAAACTGCCGGCTCTCAGAGGGCAGGAGGATTTTTTTCACAAGAAACTGCCGGCTCTCAGAGGGCAGGAGGATTTTTTTCACAAGAAACTGCCGGCTCTCAGAGGGCAGGAGGATTTTCCGAACCATCAATCAGGAGAGTGTAGGAGGAGAGACTTCCCTTATTGCAAGTATTTTATTGGATAAGCTTTGAAAGCCATAGAGACCAAATCCTATTTAGTGAGGAAGTTAGCAAATTGCCTTTATTCAGAAGAAGCAAGTTACATAGAACTGGGACTGGACATGAGGCTGCCCTCCTCCTTGCACCTCCAGCTGTGCCTAATGACACTGAAATGCCGCTGTGTGTGGCACGCCACGGGCCATGGAGTAGCTCCAGCTAATGCAGATGGACATCCCGGGTGCCCCAGGGAGATCAGGCCCACTGAGTGGGATGAAGCCCTGAGCCTGGCCAGCACGGAGACACCTGCTAGGGGAAAGCCCACGAGCGCTGTGGCCACCTCCAATCCTGCCCATCTGGGTGGAGACCCACAGGCACCCTGCAGGCTGGGGTGTCAACCCACTCACTGCCCAGGGCTGCCCTCGGCCAGGAGAGAGCCACATTCAGACACTTGTTGCATGTGAAGCAACAGGCCAGGGTGGAACCGGACAGAGGGGGCCTTCCGGGAAAGGCTAGGCTTGCCGGCGCTCCTGCGCTGCGGCCACTCTGCCCCAATCCTGCAGGTGCCTATCAGGGGCCTGTCTGGCACCTCTGCTTATTTCCTCCATGGGTATCGAACCTAGAGGGGAGACGCGGGATTACTCACCACTTCCCTCCACTCACACGCATGTTCAGACACAAACACAGCCCCTCTGACGTGGCTTCCACGGAGCCCCAAGGTGGGAGCGCCAAGTGCAAACTACCAGGCTGCGGACGGTCAAGAGCTCACCTGTCCGGCCGTCCAGTCGCCCGCCCGGCCGCCTTGAGGCTCTTGGGCTGCAGCCCTGATGCCTGGAGACTTTGGGACTGGCCTCTAGCCTCGCTGGGCTTCCAACCCTGTGGCCGAGGGGAGATGCCAAGATGCACAGTTAGCACTTCGGCCTGTGGCTCGGTCGCCTGTCTGCCCCCGGGGCTGCCCGCCGGTTCCAGGTCCACTCGGGCCCACGGCCGCGACACCCAGGGCCGCCGCCTGCCTGGATAGGCTCCCTGGGGTCTGGGGCGCGCAGGAGCCGCCAGCGCCGGGCCCGTAATTGCGTGCGCCCGGGGTCTGGCGGCCGCGGCTCGCAGACGTCAGGAGGCTCCGGGACGCGCACGGGCGCCGGCGCAGAGGAACAGGCGGGCCGGGGGCGGGCACGGCGGGCACCCCACCCGGAGCTCGCCCCGCCCCTGTCATTCGTGCTGAAGGCTCGCGGAGGCCGCCCGGCCCCGTCCGCTGCCAGACCTTGCCAGGGCCGCGCAGTACCCGCCGACCCCAACTTGCCCGGACGTTTCCGTCCCGCCTGCTCCGCTCGGGGGCGCGGGGCTGCCGGCCAGTCCGTCTGTCAGTCTGTCCTGGCGTGCGAGGCCGCCCACCGGCCCCGACTGCTCAGAGGCGGCCAGGCCAGGCCAGAGCGCCCGCCGCGCGCCGCAGCCCACCGGGCCCAGACGATGACCCCAGCGCCGACCCCAGCGCCGCGGGCCCCGGGCCGCGCGAGGCCTGCCGGGAGCTGGAGTCCCTCGCGGGCGGCCAGACCACAACTCCCAGAAGGCCCCGCGGCGGCGCTGCGCGCGCAGCCCCAGCCCATCGCGAGCGGACCCTGCCGGCCCGGTGCGGCTGGGCCAGCGGGAGCGGGACCAGGACGGCGCTCGCGTTCTGCCAGAGCGGAGCACGACTCGGGGACGGTGCGGAGGGCCAGGGGAGGAGATCCGCGCCTGCACGCACCATCAGCCGAGAGAACGGCCTGCATCGTGCCAGTGACCCAGGAGCGACTCGGGGACGGCCTCGGGCTCCCAGGCCCTCCCGGGCCACCGGGCACTGAGGAGAGGGGCGGCTAGAAACTGTGGGACCCCGACAGCGGGAGCCCAAGGCCAGCCCCCGCCGGAGCGCCGCGGCCACGGCCACGCCCTCGCCGCAGGGATGGGCGGGGCAGGCGCCGGAAGTGCGTCAGCGCGGGAGGGTCGGCTTCGCCTGCCCTGCGTGGCGCAGCTGGGGGCCGAGCGGCTTAGCCTCTGGGCGCCTGCGCAATGGCGGTCCGGGAGACGCACTCGGTTGCCATAGAGACGGGGGCTCGGGACCGACGTCGCGCTCGCGGGCACTGGCGGGACTTGCCGCGCGGCAGCCACCTCTTTCCGACTCCACCAGAGTGGACCTGGTCCGGGCTTTTGAGTCACGCAGACCTGCACACAGCGAGAAACGGCAGTCCGGGCCCGTCCTCCCGCCCCCGGTTGTGCACCCTAGAGGCGGACGCTTGTTTCTCGCTTTCTCCTCAGAGAAGTCTCCGCCTTTCTAAACAATGCACTGCTACTTTCTCATTTCTTTTTTTTTGAGGCGGAGCCTCTCCCTATCTCCCAGGCTGGAGTGCAATGTCGCGATCTCGGCTCACTGCAACCTCCGCCTCCCGGGTTTAAATGATTCTTCTGCTTCAGCCTCCCGAGCAGCTGGGACTACAGGCTTGCGCCACCACGCACACCTAATTTTTGTATTTTTAGTCGAGACGGGGTTTCACCATGTTGGCCAGGCTGGTCTCGAACTCCTGACCTCGTGATCTGCCCGCCTAGGGCTCCCAACGTGCTGGGATTATAGACGTGAGCCACAGCCCCCGGCCTCTCATTTCTTAATTGTAGACATTGCGTACTTCCGGAGAAGGTCCCTGAGAACCTGGCTGATCTTCCCCGCTGCACCCCTCACGTGGTCCTGTTAGCTCCCAAACTGTCAACCTGAAAGGAAACCCAGAGGCAGGCTCTCCAGGACAAGTGAGTTAATCTGGGCATCGCAGGGGATTGCAGCCTAGGGTGTTCGTGCCATGACTGATCATAGGCCTATCCGAGGGGGCCGGGAGAAGGGGAAAATATAGATGAGCTCACAAAAGTCGTTTTGTAACAAAAACCACTGGCCGTGGGCGCTTGCTGCAGGAGTGGGCGTTAGCTCGTTGTTGGAGAGAGAGCCTTACCAGGCCCAAGTCCTCGTGCAAGCTGCTTATCTGGAACACTGCAGTCCTGAGGAATTTCCCTGCAGTAAGTCTGGTTACAGGCAAACGTGCAGGACGTGCGGGAGCGTGTTCTGAGGAGGCCTGCTGCAGGTATCCCCGTGTGAGAGCTCCCCCTTTGTGGCCTCCACTCCATTTGTTTAGGGATTGGTAGAAGTAGTTCCATTTTGGTACCTGCAACTGTCACAGCTGTGGTAATGAAACCAGGCTTATCTCTTCACGATTGAGTACCTGCTGTTCACTGCTACTGTATAAAACCATGCCACAATTCCTGTACAACCTTTTTTTTCTTTTAATAGTTACCTAATATTTTCACATACCTAGCTTTTTACTAACCCATGGCCAGTTTTTTTTTTCAAGTGTCCCAACGTTTTTGCCACATGCCTAATAATAACATTTTCCAAAGGCTCAAACACATCCGCTGTGTCTGATCCTCCTGTTCGGACCTAGACCGATCGCCTCCTGACCGTGCTGCACAGCTCTTATCTCGAGCTTTTCTCTGCTCTCATCCTTGAGACTCACTTTGCCTGTCTCCTTTCTTGGATTCCCTATGTAAACAAAAAATAAAATCCTGAGCCCTCTACCAACTGTTTTATGTTTTGTTTTGTATTTGAGACAGGATCTTGCTCTGTTGCCCAGACTGGAGTGCAGTGGCACTGTCTTGGTTCACTGCAGCCTCTGCTTCCTGGATTCAAGTGATCCTCCCATCTCAGCCTCTTGAGTAGCTAGGACCACAGACACGCACCACCATGCTGGCTATTTTTAAATTTTTAGTAGAGACGGGGTGTTACCATGTTGCCTAGGCTAGTCTCAAACTCCTAGGCGAAGCTATTTGCTCACCTCTGCCTTCTGAAGTGCCGGAATTGGCTGGGCACGGTGGCTCACGCCTGTAATTTCAGCACTTTGGGAGGCTGAGGAGGGCGGATCACTTGAGGTCAAGAGTTCATGACCAGTCTGACCAACATGTTGAAATCCCATCTCTACTAAAAATACAAAAATACAGTGTGTGTGTGTGTGTGTGTGTGTGTATATGTATGTGTGTGTATATATATATATATATATATATATATATATATATTAGCCAGGCATGGTGGTGCACGCCTGTACTCCCAGCTACTTGGGAGGCTGAGGCAGGAGAATTGCTTGAACCTGGGAGGTGGAGGTTGCAGTGAGCTGAGATCATGACACTGCACTCCAGCCTGGGGAACAGAGCAAGAATTTGCCTCAAAAAAGAAAAAAAAAAGGAAAAACCGGCTAGGTACAGTGGCCTACACCTGTAATCCCAGCACTTTGTGAGGCCGAGGTGGGAGGATCACCTGAGGCCAGGAGTTGGAGACCAGCCTGGCCAGCATGGCGAAACCACATCTCTACTAAAAATACAAAAATTAGCCGGGGATGGTGGTACTCGCCTGTAGTCCCAGCTACTCGGGAGGCTGAGGTGGGAGAATCGCTTGAACCCAGGAGGCGAATGCTACAGTGAGCCAAGATCTGGCCACTGCACTCCAGCCTGGGTGACAGAGTGAGACTCCGTCTCAAAAAAAAAAAAAAAAAGAAAAAGGAAAGTGCTGGGATGACAGGTGTGAGCCACTGCGCCCAGCCAGCCTTCCACCAATTGAACAGATTCCCTCTTGGCCAAGGGGACCCCAGAGAAATTTTTAAAACAGTTTCTGGCCAGGTGGATCCACCTATAACCTATAAGCCCCCACTTCAAGATATCCTACCTTTTTAGGCCAAACCTACATATACTTTCCATGTATGTATTTATGTCTTTGCTTGTAACTCCTGCCTTTCTAAAGTGTACAAAACCAAACTGTAAACCAACCACTTCAGAACCACTTACTCAAGGCTTCTCGGATGTTTGTTTTCCTGGGAACCCCAGTCATTCATATCGGCTCAAAGTAAACCTCTTGAAAGTATTTTGTGAAGCTGGGCATGGTGGCTTATGCCTGTAATGCCAGCCCTCTGGGAGGCTGAGGTGATCGGATCACTTGAGCCCAGGACTTAGAGACCATCCTGGGCCACATGTTGAAATCCCATCTCTACAAAATACACAAAAATTAACTGGGTGTGGTGGCACACGCCTGTGGTTCCAGCTACTCTGCGAGGATCGCTTGAGCCTGGGAGGCAGAGGCTGCAGTGAGCTGAGGTCGCACCACTGCACTCTAACCTGAGCAACAGAATGAAGCCCTCTTTAAAAAAAGAAGAGCCCGGGCACAGTGGCTCACGCCTGTAATTCTAGCACTTTGGGAGGCTGAGGCGGGTGGATCACGAGGTCAGGAGTTTCAGACCAGCCTGGACAACATGGTGAAACCCCATCTCTACTAAAACTACAAAAATTAGGCTAGGCGCGGTGGCTCATGCCTGTAATCCCAGCACTTTGGGAGGCCGAGGCAGGCAGATCACGAGGTCAGGGGTTTGAGATCAGCCTGACCAACATGGTGAAGCCATCTCTTACTAAAAACACAAAAATTAGCCGGGCATGGTGGCACACGCCTATAATCCCAGCTACTCAGGAGGCTGAGGCAGGAGAATCACTTGAATCCGGGAGGCGGAGGTTGCAGTGAGCTGAGATCGTGCCATTGCACTCCAGTCTGGGCAACGAGCAAAACTCTGTCTCAAAAAAAAAAAAAAAAAAGAAGAAGAAGAAGGAGGAAAAAATGTCTTCTTCAGAGTTTGGCTTTTCTGTTAACAGCTGTTTCCTGGAATCTGCATCCTCCTCCTTCTGGCTTTACTCCCTTACTTTGCTGCAGTAAGACCCCTAGTAACTTCCTGGGAAGGGCCCATGTCTGGCCAGTTTCCTCTTCTACTGGAAGGTTCCCCAGAACCCCTGCTTTCTCTCTGTGTCCTGCCTGAGAAGCACAGAGCCTGGGCCACTGCATATTTTCCCTGCAGGCTTGAAGCTCGGCCAGGACCTTGAGTATTCTGTTACTGATGAACTAGGTTGTTGCCTGAGACACTGAAAGATCAAACATGTTGCTAAATATGTGGAAACGAGAGCCACACGAATTAAATCCTCCTGTAAAACTCTCCACTCTAGCCCCTGGGTGCAGGCTTCCTAGGTGGACCCTCTCCATCTCTTGCTGTCGGCCCGAGGATGTGCTTCCTCCCTCTGTACATAAGTTCCCCAAACAAATGCTTTGGGCTTATCACCCTGGCATTTGCTGCTGCTTTTCTTTGGGACCAACCAGCTCCACCTCAGGACGGTTTGGGGCAGTCCCTTGCTGGAACTTGCCTGCTACCACTTTTGGGGTGACTCTAGCCATGGGCTGGAGGGATGAAACAGCAGAGTCAGCAGGATTCCAAAGAAATGGGCTGGGGGAACCAGAAGCAATGGGGAGACCCCCGGACGGCCACAGGATCCCTGCAGCCTGCTTGCTTCACGCTGTCTCCTTGTACAGCAGCCTGAGGATTAAAACTCTCTTTCTGCTGCAACCCGTGGTGTCGGTGTAGTGATGTTCCATGCATCAGGAAACGGGCCCGCGATGGCCACAACAACAGAGAGATGCCTCTCCAAAGGGTTTCTCCAGGAATGACGGGGAATTGCAGTTTGGGATATGCATGCTACAGCAGACCACAGGCACATCCAGAGAGGCTGGGACGGGAAGCTTCTAAAACACAGAAAGGAGAAGCCCACCTAAGCTGCTTTGAAACAAAGAGCACAGGTGACACGGACTTTGTGTTAGTCCATTCTCACGGTGTTACAAAGAACTGCCTGAGACTGGGTAATTTATAGAGGAAAGAGGTTTAACTGACCCACAGTTCCACATGGCTGCAGGAGAGAGATGTGCTGAGCAAAGGAGAAAAGCCCCTTATACAACTACCAGATGTCCTGAGAACTCACTGTCACGAGAACAGCATGGGGGTAACTGCCCCCATGATTCAATTACCTCCCACCAGGTCCCTCCCACAACACGTGGGGATTATGGGAACTACAAGAGGAGATTTGGGTGGGGACACAGCCAAACCGTATCAGGCTTGTTGCAGGAGTTGGCATTCGTTTGGAGGTGAAGACGGCCCTTGTTAGGCAAGCGTCCTTATGCAAGCAGCTTAGCTGTAGTACTGTGGTTTTGAGTTAATTCCTTAGTTTCTTTCCTGGCACACCTGGGAGAGCCCTTCCTTTGTGGCCTCCTGGCTCCATTTTTCAGGGTTTGACATAAGTGACTCCATTTTGGTAGTGGCCACTTTCACACTGGATATCCACAGATAATGTCTTCCAGGCTCAGGTCCATCACCCCCGCATGTGCAAGGCTGAGCTAACTGCCATGTGTGTGGCCTTAGGCCCCTTGGCAGCCAGGACAATATGTTTTTTTCTCTTTTTTTTTTTTTTTTTTTTGAGACAGAGTCTCATTCTGTCGCCCGGGCTGGGGTACTATGGCGTGATCTCAGCTCACTGCAAGCTCCGCCTCCTGGGTTCAAGTGATTCTCCTGCCTCAGCCTCCTGAGGAGCTGAGATTACAGGCACGGACCACCACGCCCGGCTAATTTTTATATTTTTTTAGTAGAGACAGGTTGGCCAGGCTGGTCTCAAACTCCTGACCTCAGGTGATCCACCCGCCTCGGCCCCCCAACGTGATGGAATTACAGGCATGAGCCACCACGCCCAGCCTCCTTTCTTTTTTGAGACAGGGTCTCTGTTGCCCAGGCTGGAGTGCGGTACAGTGATCACAGCTCACTGCAGTCGCGACCTCCTGGGCCCAAGCCATCCTCCTACCTCCGCTTCCTGAGTAGCTGGGACTACAGCTGTGTGCCACCACACCCAGTTAATTTTTGTATTTTTTTTTATAGTGATGGGGTTTTGCCCCGTTGCCAAGGCTGGTCTTGAACTCCTGGGCTCAAGTGATCTGCCCGCCTTGGCCTCTCAAAGTGCTGGGATTACAGGCTTGAGGCACTGCACTCGGCTGACAATGGTCTCGCTCTGTCACCCAGGCTGCAGTGCAGTGGAGAGATCTCAGCTCACTGCAATCTGTGCCTCCTAGGTTCAAACGATTCTCCTGCCTTAGCCTTCCTAGTAGCTGGGATTATAGGCATGTGCCACCACACCCAGCTAATTTTCTCTTTTCTTTTCTTTTTGCTTTTGAGACAGAGTTTCCTTCTTGTTGCCCAGGCTGGATTGCAGTAGCACAATCTTGGCTCACTACAACCTCCACCTCCTGGGTTTCAGTGATTCTCCTGCCTCAGCCTCCCAAGTAGCTGGGACTACAGGTGTGCGCCACCACAACCAGCTAATTTTTGAATTTTAGTAGAGATGGGGGTTTCACTATGTTGGTCAGGCTGGTCTTGAACTCCTGACCTCAAGTGATCCACCTGCCTTGGCCTCCCTAAGTGCTGGGATTACAGACATAAGCCACTATGCCTGGCTGGTACCTACTTTTTTTCTTTTCCTTTCTTTTTTTCTTTTTTTTTTTTTTTTTTTTGAGACGGAGTCTTGCTGTGCCCCAGGCTGGAGTGCAGTGGCGCGCGATCTCGGCTCACTGCAAGCTACGCCCCGCCGGTTTCACGCCATTCTCCTGCCTCAGCCTCCCAAGTAGCGGGGACTACAGGCACCCGCCACCTCACCCAGCTAATTTTCTTGTATTTTTAGTAGAGACGGGGTTTCACCGGGTTAGCCAGGATGGTCTCGATCTCCTGACCTCGTGATCCGCCCATCTCGGCCTCCCAAAGTGCTGGGATTACAGGCTTGAGCCACCGCGCCCGGCCTCTTTTTTTCTTTTTCTTTTTTTTTTTTTGAGACAGAGTCTTACTCTGGAGCAATGGCACAATCTCAGCTCACTGCAACCTCCACCTCCCAGGTTCAAGCAATTCTTCTGCCTCAGCCTCCAGAGTAGCTGGGATTACAGATGTGTGCCAGCACGCCTGGCTAATTTTTTGTATTTTTGTACTAGAGACGGGGTTTCACCATGTTGGCCAGGCTGTTCTTGAACTCCTGACCTCAAGTGATCCACCTGTCTCGGCCTCCCAACGTGCTGGGATTACAGGTGTGAGCCACTGCGTCTGGCCGGTACCTACTTTTTTTTTTTTTCTTTTTTTTTGAGACAGAGTCTTTTTTTTTTTTTTTTTTTTTTTTGAGACGGAGTCTTGCTGTGTTGCCCAGGCTGGAATGCAGTGGCACGATCTCGGCTCGCTGCAAATTCCGCCTCCCAGGTTCATGCCATTCTCCTGCCTCAGCCTCCCGAGTAGCTGGGACTACAGCTGCCCACCACCACGCTCAGCTGATTTTTTTTTTTTTTTGTATTTTTTTAGAGATGGGGCTTCACCATGTTAGCCAGGCTGGTCTTGATCTCCTGACCTCGTGATCCACCCGCCTCGGCTGCCCAAAGTGCTGGGATTACAGGCGTGAGCCACCGTGCCTGGCCGCAGTTACCTACTTTGGTAATGTATTTGTGGACCAGGTTTGGCCCCTGCATGAAAATCAAATGATTAAGTAAATCAATGACTATTTTCAGCAATACGGTAAATCAGGTCACCTGAAAGATCTTCTCAATGAAACAATAAAAGGTCTGTATAATGTATTTTATTGGTATTATTATTATTATTTTTGAGACAGGGTCTCACTCTGTCACCCAGGCTGGAGTGCAGTGGCGCAATCACAGCTCACTGCAACCTTGACCTCCCGGGCTCAAGTGATTCTCCTTCCTCAGCCTCCTGAGTAGCTGGGATTATAGGCTCGTGCCACCACACCCAGCTAATTTTCTTTTTTGGTACATTTTGTAGAGACAGGGGTCTCACTGTGCTGCCCAGACTAGTCTCCAACTCCTGACCTCAAGCGATCTGCCTGTCTCAGCCTCCCAAAGTGCAGGAATTACAGGCATGAGCTGCCGCACCCAGCCTATTTTTTTTTTTTTTTTTTTTTGAGACGGAGTCTCGCTCTGTCACCCAGGCTGGAGTGCAGTGGCGCGATCTCCGCTCACTGCAAGCTCCGCCGCCTCCCAGGTTCACGCCATTCTCCTGTCTCAGCCTCCCTAGAAGCTGGGACTACAGGCGCCCACCACCACGCCTGGCTAATTTTTTTGTATTTTTAGTAGAGACGGGGTTTCACCGTGTTAGCCAGGATGGTCTCGATCTCCTGACCTCGTGATCCGCCTGCCTCGGCCTCCCAAAGTGCTGGGATTACAGGCGTGAGCCACCGCGCCCGGCAACCCGGCCTATTTTTTTTTTTTTTTTTTTGAGACGGAGTCTCGCTCTGTCGCCCAGGCTGGAGTGCAGTGGCCGGATCTCAGCTCACTGCAAGCTCCGCCTCCCGGGTTCCCGCCATTCTCCTGCCTCAGCCTCCCGAGTAGCCGGGACTACAGGCGCCCGCCACCTCGCCCGGCTAGTTTTTTTTTTGTATTTTTTAGTAGAGACGGGGTTTCACCGTGTTAGCCACGATGGTCTCGATCTCCTGACCTCGTGATCCGCCCGTCTCGGCCTCCCAAAGTGCTGGGATTACAGGCTTGAGCCACCGTGCCCGGCCCTATTTTTAAATTATTTTTAAGAGATGGGGGTCTTGCTCTGTTCCCCAGGCTGGAGTGCAGTGGTGTGATCATAGCTAACTGCAGCCTCAAACTCCTAGGCTCAAGGGATCCTCCCGCCTCAGCCTCCCAAGTAGTTGGGACGATGAGTGTGAGCCACTGTGCCTGGCAAACAATCTGTATAGAATATCGAAAGCACAGGAGGCTGAGGCAGGAGAACTGCTTGAACCCAGGAGGCAGAGGCTGCAGTGAGCTGAGATCACACCACTGCACTCCAGCCTGGGTGACAGAGCAAGACTCCATGTCAAACAAACAAACGAACAAACAAGCAAAATATATATATATATGCATCGTTTAAAATCCATGACTGAGCTGACATACAGTAAGGAAGTAAACAGCAGCCTTGAAATAGAAAACCTGGAGCACAGGAGGAGGAGGGGGCCTGAGGGGATTGTACCCCCGGCTTGGACTCATGGAGGGATCCGTATTCTCCCCCATCTCTCCACCTGGCAGGGCCTCGACATTTTTGACTAACTGTATGACATGTGAGTGAATTCTGCATATTGATGCATTCAGCATGCATTGTGGCTGTGCAGTGGCTTCCGAGATGCAGCTCTGAAGGCAGCTTTGCAGAGGTGCCGGGGAACAGCAAGACTGCTGCCTGCCACAGGGAGGAGAGATGGGAAGGGATGCCAGCCACAGGTGCTCAGGAAGGCCCAGGCAGCACTGGTGTGGACAGACTCAACTCTGCTTAAAAAGGAAATCAAGGCCGGGCACAGTGGCTCACGCCTGTAATCCCAGCACTTTGGGAGGCTGAGGTGGGCAGATCACCTGAGGTCAGGAATTTAAGACCAGCCTGGTCAACATGGTGAAACCCTGTCTCTACTACAAATACAAAATCAGCCAGCTGTGGTGGCAGGTGCCTGTAATCCCAGCTACTTGGGAGGCTGAAGCAGGAGAATCACTTGAACCCAGGAGGCGGAGGCCGTAGTGAGCCGAGATCGCGCCACTGCACTCCAACCCAGGCAACAGAGTGAGACTCCGTCTCAACAAGAACAACAACAAAAAAATAGAAATCAACAACATCATGACAGTTAGTGTAACTTTGCACCAAAGGAGAAGGGGAAGTTCCAGAACTTTCTTCCAGCTTCACAGATAAGTCGCACACAGGCCTTTCAGGAGAGAGGTCACATTGGGGATGTTTAGGACAGGACGTTGCCAGTGGCAGAGACTGCTCCGAGTGCTGGCGTTAGCACATGGCAGGTCCCACCTCAGAAGTCCAGCTGTGTAGAAAGCTCCTCTGAGCAACGGGCAGGCCCAAGCATAGTTTAACAACATCAGAAAAGACAGCAAGACGGGCTCCTCCAAATTCTCTGCTCCAGGTGGAGAGGGGGACCCTGTGAGTGTGCTTGGTGACCCCCGTGGAGACGTGGACAGCAGGGGCCGCTCACCGTCCTCCAGCAGCCGGTCACTAAGTAGGCTGGAGGCTGGAAGTTCCTGTTAACCTTCTAGAAAGATGGGCCTCCCTGAACTGGCAGGTTCCTGAAAAGAAAATAATGTTTTAAGAAAAAGAAAATAAAAATAGACGGGCCTACAGAGCTCAAGCACACCAAAGATTAGGTAGTAGGTGGAATAGAGCTTTTCCAAAGGAGAACAGGATATGGTACCTGTGGCGGAAAAGAGGACGTAATGACACGTGCAGCGGGAATGGGAACAGGAGCACCACGGATGTTCTGACCCCACGCCTGACCAGCTGACCCTGCGCCTGAGCAGCCCAGCCCACTACACGCCTGACCAGCCCAGCCCATACCTGACCAGCCCACCCCACACCTGACCAGCCCACTCCACACCTGACCAGACCACCCCACACCTGACCAGCCCACCCCACACCTGACCAGCCCAGGCCACACCCTGACCAGACCACCCCACACCTGACCAGCCCAGGCCACACCTGACCAGCCGACCCTGCACCTGACCAGCCCACCCCACACCTGACCAGCCCAGGCCACACCTGACCAGCCGACCCTGCACCTGACCAGCCCACCCCACTCCTGACCAGCCCACCCCACCCCACCCCACCCCACCCCCCCACCTGACCAGCCCACCCCACTCCTGACCAGCCCACCCCACACCTGACCAGCCCACCCCACACCTGACCAGCCCACCCCACACCTGACCAGCCCACCCCACACCTGACCAGCCAACCCCTCACTTGACCAGCCCACTCCACACCTGACCAGCCCGCCCCTCACCTGACCAGCCCAGGCCACTCCTGACCAGCCCACCCCACACCTGACCAGCCCACCCCACTCCTGACCAGCCCAGCCCAGCCCCACACCTGACCAGCCCAGCCCACACCTGACCAGCCCACTCCACACCTGACCAGCCCACCCCACCTGCCACCCTGACCAGCCCACCCCCCCTGGCCCACCCTGACCAGCCCCACCCCCCCACCTGACCAGCCCCACCCCCCCCACCTGACCAGCCCACTCCCTCCACCTGACCAGCCCACCACCCCCCCACCCTGACCAGCCCACCACCCCACCCACCTGACCAGCCCAGCCCCTCACCTGACCAGCCCACCCCCCCCACCCCCCCCCACCTGACCAGCCCACCCCCACCTGACCAGCCCACCCCCCCCCCCCCACCTGACCAGCCCAGCCCACACCTGACCAGCCAACCCCCCTACACTGACCAGCTGACCCCACACCTGACCAGCCCACCCCACCGCCTGACCAGCCCGGCCCCCCGCCTGGCCAGCCCACCCCGCGCCTGACCAGCCCACCCTGCGCCTGGCCAGCCCACCCTAGGCCAGCCAGCTGACCCTGTGCTGAGCAGCAGGGCCCAATCCTCACCTGCCTTCCCCATGGCCCTCGTTGTCACTGGCTCCATATGGGGTCTTTATACGAGAGCAGAAACAGACAGAACCTGGGTGAGCTTCACATGTGCCTTCTCGCTGATCCTTGGAAACAAGCAGATTCTACTCTGTTCACCACTCTTTCTGCTCAGTTTGATGCATTTTAGGCAAAAGCTGCCAACTTGCCAAGGCTCAGCCTCCTGGGCGTTGGGAGGGCTGGAAGATGGCAAGCCCCTGGGGGGATACGGGGCACGTGCAGGTCCCTCCACTTCCAGGTGCCCTCCACAGGGTCTTGGGGCAGCAGAAGCCCCTCGGTGGGACCTGACTCTACTTCCTGGCCTCATGGGCCCTCTAAGCCTCAGTTTTCCTCTGCACCAGAGGACAGCCAGTGGTCAGTGGCCCTTTGGGCTTGGCTGCTGCCCCTCACCTGCTGACTCGCTGCCCGTCTGTACTAGGGGTCAGGTAGTCAAGGGGCAGGTTCCAGGTTAGGCTCACCTTCCTATGTGACCTGGTCACCACAAGGCATAGCTCCTTTCCTAAGAGGAAAGTATCTGAGCACCTGAGGGTCCACCATGAGCCCCAAGGGTCCACCATGAGTGCTGAGGGTCTGCTGTGAGTCCCGAGGGTCCACTGTGCTACAGCCCACTTGGGTCTAACGGAACCATTGGACCTGGAGAAACTGCCCAACCCCCATTGCTCAGAACGGAGTGGGCTGGGCTTCCTCAGGGGGACCCTGGAGCCGGGGCTGCTCCATCCCTGCTCTACCAGGGAGAAAACAGAGGCCTGGGTGGTGGGGCTGTGGCTTCTGGTCTGCTGACCACCTGCCCTAGAGACATGCTTCAAAATGCTGCAGGCCAGGCTCATGCCTGTAATCCCAGCACTTTGGAAGGCCAAGGCAGGAAAATCACTTGAGGCCAGGAGTGTGCGACCAGCCTGGGCAACACAGGAGACTCTGTCTCTACAAAAAAAAAAAAAAGCAAAAAAAAAAAAAAGAAAGGCCCAAAGGATGGGGGGTTACCTGGACGAAGGCTCTGGCAAGCACAAGCTCAGCTGTGGGTTACCTGTCAGTCTCACTGTAACAAGCAGCCAGCACTGCAGGAAACGGACAGCTGCTGGGACAGAGTCGTCTCCACCCTCCCTGAAGCCCCTGGAGGATGAGGCTCCTCCCAGCTCTTGCAGCCACCGAGCCCTGGGGTCTGTGGGGTCCCTCAGCTCCACCCCTTCACTGGCAGCGCCGCTGTGGATGCTCTTGGGATAGGACCCAGGAGGCCACCTCCTTCCCCAGCTCCAGCCACAGAGATGCCCGGGCCACGGTGCCATCTGCTTCAGTGGTTGGGCTGAGGCACCTGCAGGGACTGGGCCCGCCATCCTGCGAGAGCCCAGGGAGTCTGAGGAGAGCACTTGAGAAAGTCACCCCAGAGAGGAACTTTCAGGTCTGGATCCCACTGAGGTCAGCATTTGGCCCAGGCTCGGAGCCCAGGATCTGGTGAGAATGGGGCATCCACTGAAGGTCACTCCTCCCTGGCAGCAGCAGAGCAGTGTTGGGGGGGGCACCCGCCTCTCCACCAGGGGCTCTGTCCCCTCCCTGGGGGGGCACCCGCCTCTCCACCAGGGGCTCTGTCCCCTCCCTGGAATTTTGGAGGCATGACCAGAGGTGGTGAAGGGCTCACAGGGGCACACGTTTCTGGAAGAGAAAACAGTCACTGCTGCTGGAGAAACAGGAGACCCACAGGGGCAGGGAAGGGTGGCTCCTGGGAGCCCTAAAGGAGAAGTGTGTGCCAGGATGCTGAAACTGGCACTTAGCTCCCAGCGTAAAGGGGCTGAGGGTCATGGGGGCCATGAGAAGCGGTGGCTGCTGCCCTGGAGCTCTCGTTCTCACAGCTCCTAAGCATCGAAGCCATTCCCCAGGTCCCCAGGGACCCACTTGCTCACGTCCCAGCAGGCCCCGTGCCAGCCACAAGGCTCCCTCAAGGCCATGGCCAGGAGGACACCTCGTCCGCAAGCTCCCCTGCCCCCGTGTCTCCACTGTTGCTGGAGACTTCCATTGTTACTGGTCCAGCCTTCCCCTGCCAGGCAAAAGCATGTTCAGTCCATCCTGGGGCTGGGGCAGTTGGAAAGAAGAGGGGTTCCCAGAGGGCGGCCTGCCGAGAGGGCAGCAGCTTCCCTGCTACAGTGAGGACTCAGCCCTGGCTAGGGCTGCCCATGAGCCCCAGTGGCCCCGTCACCTGTGTGGGGAGGAGATCAGGAGTGGCTGGGTGGGACCTCTGAGGGGTCCCCTGGACAGACACCCCTCTGGGGGCAGAAGTAGGGTCTGAGAGAACAGGGGAAGCACTTCCTCAAGCAGGGACCCCCTGGGTGGGGCTCAAGCTGTGGCAGAGGATGGGCCAACCTGGGGAGCAGAGGGACAGCCTTTCAGAGACCGTCTGATGCTTCCATGCACAACAAGAAACCAAGAACGTCTGATAGTTATTTTTCTGACACCTTCTATTTATGGAAGTGATACTTACTATTTGCAATCATGATCTGCTTTTAGAAAGCACTCTAAGTGAAAAAGTGAACTCATTTAAAGAAAACATTTAGTGACTATCAGGATGCTAGCGTGTGTACAAACAGCATTGGAGACGGTGCTGCAGGCGGGGAAGCCTGTGCGTGTGAAAGGCCACCGCTGCCCAAGTGCAGGCGCTAAGCAGAGGTCACTCCCTCCCCCTCCTCCTCGCCCCTCCCTGTCCCCTTCCCTCCTTCCTTCCTTAGGGTTGGCCCCAGCTGTTCTTCGCAATACCCAGATCCCCTTAGCTCAGCAGGAGGCCTCGGGAAGCAATGTTTTCCTCTCACAGACTCGGTTTCTGCTGCTCTGCTGGCCGCCCGAGGCTCCACCCTTTTCTCTGCTGGTCCCTCTTCCCTCGCTGCTGGCCTCTCACTAGGAGCTCAGTCCCAGGACTAAGTCTGCAACCACAGTCCCTGGCTAGAGGTCTGATGCAAGGCGGGCAGGACTAGCTTCATAGCAGTCTGCAGGGTCTGCAGCCACGACATCCCGGTACCCTCGGTTGCAATGGTCAGAAACCCTGTTTTGGTGTTGACAATGACTTTGCAGTCCAGGAGGTAGCTGGCTTCAGGTGAGGCTGGATCCAGATGCTGGAAGCAGCTGGGCCAGGCCGGCGTCCTGCCTCTCCCAAGGCTGGCTTCATTCTCCCGTTCTTCCCACCACCCACCTTCAGGGCCACAGCAGCTGGAATCCAACACCTGTCAGGGACAGTCGCCCCTTTCACAAGAGCTTCAGCAAAGGCCTTGAGACTAAGGGGTCCAGTCTGGCTGGCCGGGCCCAGGTCACCTGCCAACTCCTAGGCAGGGGAGTGTCAGCCCCACTCAAGCTCCCCATGATCTGAGGATGGATAAAGGGGGCTGCCCAGAGGGAAATGGAGGTGCTGCAACACGAAGCTGGAATGGTCACAGCACAGGGTGAAGGCCCCAGCTGTCCTCAGGCCAACATGCCAAGGTAGTTAGGGGCCCCCCACCCCATACACCGTCATCCAGGCTCCTGCCCTGCCCCACTGCCCATACCCTCACAAGGGGCTTCCACTGAAAACTGGTGCAGTAGACCGGCTGAACCCCTGAGGAGTTCTGGGCAAGGACATGGGGGTCCCCTGAGTCACCATCACTCTCTGCTTTGCTGGCGCAGCCCCTGAGTCGCCTCACAACGATGGGGCAAGAGTCAGAGCCCAGGGTCTGCCCTTCCTAAGCAGAGGTGGGAGCTGGGGGCAGGGGGCAAGAAGCGCCTCTCCCAAGGTCTCTGCCCCCAACCTCTCTGTGCCAGGTGCAGAGGCCTCAGCAGATCCTGCCAGGGGCCCAACAGGTTGGAGAAGTGGTGTAGGCGGTCAGGGCCCTCCATGCTGGGGACAGAGGTGCACTGTGACCGCAGTTGGTGGAGGCCTGACCGCTGGGCCTGGGCTCTGGCTGAGCCTCTGAGATCCTGTGGGGGCCTGACCACTACCCTGGGTTTTTCAAGATGACCAGGAGTTCGTGAGGCTGGGTGGGGACTCCGTGGGGGGCGGGGACATGGCCATCCAGAGGTCGGGAGCAGAAGAGCCAGTCTCTCCTCGCTCTCCCCCAGGCAAGAGCAGCACAGAAACGGGTTGCAGGAGCTCAGGGTCCAGTTGCCAGAGACCCCTCCCCACCCCTGCAGACCCAGAGCTGACTCAGCGGAGGTGCCAGCCCAGCCTTAGGTGCACAGCTTGGCCTCCTTTCCAGTTAGGGCAGGCCGGCCAGACCCAGCCATGTCTGCATACAGTCCCTGGCTATAGCCCTGGCCCTGGAGGGGTGTCCTGGTTGCTGGGTGATCTATGCAGGGATGGGATTAAGGGGCCGGGGTCTTGGGGTGCGTCCCGCCTTCCCCTCCCCATCGGTGCCACCTACCCAGTGCACCAGGTGGGCTTTTTGAATTCCCTTTGTCCAGCCCTGACCTCCCTGCAACCATCAGGAGGGCCCCCCAGAGCGCATCTGGCGGGAGAGGTGGGGCGATGAGGCTGAGAAGGTCGGCGCCCTGCAGCTGCCCCAGCTGCGTGGGGAGCGAAGGGAGTTCTCACCTTGCGAAGTCTCGTCTGTCAGGCTTTCCTCCGGGTGGGCGCTGTCCGTCTCGAAAGGAACAGAAGCCGCGGGGCCAAGGAAAGGCTCCGTGGTGGTCCCCACCCCATCGGTATGGGCAGGTACCCTGACTGTGCGGGTCCAGGGCGGCCAGCGCGAGGGTTCGAGGCCCGGGGTGCTGCGTGTGCCAGGCCACTGCGCCCCCATCGTAAAGCACGAAGTCCCCGAATGGTGTGGCCACGGGCGGTCGCGGAGCTGCACTACACGAAACGAAGCCGGCCACAGCCCGTGAGCTTCGGCTCGGAAAAGCCGCAGGCGTCCAAGGTGCGCTCACTAGGCGGGAAGCCGGGTGAGAGGCGGCCCTGCCCGCACCCGGCCCCTGCCCGCACCCGGCCCCTGCCCGCACCCCGCGCCCCTGCACGCACCCCAGCCCCACCTGCACTTCGGCCGCCTTACTGCGCCCCCCTCCTCCCCCCGCCCGCCCTGGATCCCCTGCACCCGCAGGCTGCGGCCCGGCGAGGGTTAAGAGGGGCGGGGCGAGGGGCGGCCCCGCCTCCGCCGCCGCGCCGGGTCCGAGCGCGCACGGGGCGCGGGGGCGGGTCGGAGCGGGCGGCGGCGGAGGGCGCGGCGCGCCGGGGATCGCGGGGAGCGGGCAGCGGGGACGGCGGCGGCGCGGCCCGCGTGACCCAGCGCCGCGCCCCGTGGCCCCGCCGCGCCCGGCCCAGCCGCAGGATGCGCGCCCCGCCGCTGCTGCTGCTGCTGGCCGCCTGCGCGCCGCCGCCCTGCGCCGCGGCCGCCCCGACGCCACCGGGCTGGGAGCCGGCCCCCGACGCGCCCTGGTGCCCCTACAAGGTGCTGCCCGAGGGCCCCGAGGCGGGCGGCGGGCGCCTGTGCTTCCGCAGCCCCGCGCGCGGCTTCCGCTGCCAGGCTCCGGCCTGCACGCTGCACGCCCCGGCCGGCCGCTCCCTGCGCGCCAGCGTCCTGCGCAACCGCAGCGTCCTCCTGCAGTGGCGCCTGGCCCCGGCCGCCGCGCGCCGCGTGCGCGCCTTCGCGCTCAACTGCTCATGGCGCGGCGCCTACACGCGCTTCCCGTGCGAGCGCGTGCTCCTCGGGGCCTCCTGCCGCGACTACCTGCTGCCCGACGTGCACGACGGCGTCCTCTACCGCCTGTGCCTGCAGCCGCTGCCGCTGCGCGCTGGGCCCACCGCCCCCGCGCCAGAGCCCCCCGAGCCCGCCGAGTGCGTAGAGTTCACCGCCGAGCCGGCCGGCATGCAGGACATCGTGGTGGCCATGACGGCGGTGGGCGGCTCCATCTGCGTCATGCTGGTGGTCATCTGCCTGCTGGTGGCCTACATCACCGAGAACCTCATGCGCCCGGCCCTCGCGCGCCCCGGCCTGCGCAGACACCCCTGAAGCGCGAGGCCGCCAGCCCACCTGGGCGCCGCCTGCCCGAGGGCGCCTGAGCTCCCAGGTCCTCCGCCCGCTCTCCTCTCCTCATTCCTGCTGCTTCCTTAAGATCCCCGCGGAGGAGGACCTGCCGGCGACGGCTCCGGCACCTTGGCATCGTCACACGCCCTTCCCAGCCGGGCGTCAGACTCCCAGACTCTGGCTCTGGATTGGCCCCTGGGCCTGCGCTGCTGTGCCGGCCGCATCCAGGGCTCTCCCCGCTCACCACAGGCCTTCATGGAGGCGACCAGGGCATGGAGCCCCTTCCAGCAAGAGCCATGGGCACTCCGGATCACCCCGCACCTCCATCCTGTGCCAAATTGTCCCAGATAGACCGTCGCCCTTGCTAGGTCACTGTGCTTTGCAGGCCTGGGACGCAGCTCTCCAAGCCTGTCCTCCCCCGCCCCACCCCACTGGGCTTAGGTTAGCTTCGTGCCTTAGTATCTCGGGCCCACACTGCAGGAGCCAACACCCCCTGCTGTCCAGGGGGGTCTGTGGCCCTAAGATTGGCCGGCCCCTCCATGCACCTGGCCAGCGTCCCCTTGGAGACACCCCCACCTTCAAGCGCTGCAGAAGCATGAGGTGAGGGCCTGCAGCGCTCTGTACCGTTTAGGGTGTTGGACCAGCCGGGAGCCATGACATGGCAGGCCTGGCCCAGCGGCCAGGGTGAGTGTTCTCAGACCCGGGGCGGCTGGTGGTTCTCCAGGGCCGGGTACCCCTTTTGTGTGTGCAGCCTCTGACTAGGACTTCCTGTGGAAATGGGGGCAGATGGTGGCCATCACCACTGGGTCCCAGGGCAGAAGCTTAGATACCAGCCTTGAGCAGTCCGACCTTCCACCGCGGCCTGAATCCCAAGCCTCAGCCAACCCAGGGGACCTCAGCAGCTACAGTGTGACTGACAGCACCACCCCTAGCCTTTGCATGCCCAGGGGTCCAGAGCCAGGATCTGGCCCGGCAATGCCACCCGCCATGGAAGAAAAGCTGACCCTGCCCACCTGCTGCAGACCCGGGCCCCGGGCTAAGGTTGCTTTCTGTGATGGCTGCCTGGTGACACTGGACACCAGGAGGGGTATGGCACTGCCCTCCCCTCCTGGAGCCCCTGGCACTGACCTCCTGGACTTGACCTGACTCCTGGTCACTGGCCAAACACCCACCTTCACCCCAGCCACCCCAGGCCCTGGCTGGTGCCCCATGATACCTGCAGCCCACCTCTGTGTCTTTGCTCCACCCACCCCTGCGTGGCGCTGGTCAGGCGCAAACCTGGCGCCAATGTCTAAATGTCCATCCTCAGATCAACAGTGCTGTCTGTGTGTTATTTGGGAGGTGGGAGGGAAGAAAAAGGTGGATTCCCCTTCTCCCCAGCTGCCCTAGGACCCTTGGGTATTGGCCGGTGGCTGGCCCCGAACCCTCTCCTGGCCCGGGTGGCATTGGCCCCGGGTGGCGTTGGCGCCGGCAGCGTGTGCGGCACACTGCCTTACATTTCCTGCCAGGACAGGCAGGGTGCCCAGTGCTTGTCTCTGCGCCTTCTTGTCGTGGGCCAGCTGTTGGCGGGGGATGGGGGAGGCAGTACCTGCCGCGCTTAGATATAACCCATTCCCATGGCTACCCACTTGAGCTGTGACGGCCACGATTAGGCTGCTCCAGAGGGGCTCCCCACCCTGTCTGGACCTCCCTGTGCAGAGCTAGAGCTGGGGTGGGAACGGTGGACAGAGGACAGCCTGGGGCTCCTGTGTGTATCCTGTGCTGAATGCCATCCTCCCTCCCCCACAGCCTCTTCCAGGGTGTCCTTGAGGCACCTGCAGCCAGGGGTGACCCTGAGGAAGCAAAAACAGGCGGGGGCAGGGGGAGCCCAGCTCTGAGGAGTGACTCATCCCCAGAGGGGCGTGCAGCAATGTGTCTAGACAGCCTGGTGGGATTAGGGGGCTTCCCGTTCCAGCCACCTTCTGCCCTGGCCACCGGCAAGGGTGTTGCCATGTCTTCTACCAGCAAAGGCAGAGTCCAGGGAGCTGGGGCAGCATGGCTCCTTGGGGATCGATCGGGAAATTTCGGAGGCTCCCTGGCCTGCGGCAGGATTCTGGCTTGTTTGTGAGCTTAGGCTCACACCGGCTACAGCCACAGGCCTGTCCCGTCAGTTCCGGGAGTTTCTCAGAGGCCTGGAGTCCAGCTGAGGAGTCCAGCTGAGCGTTTGCAGAGGTGGGGCTTCAGCAGCCTGTGGGGCCCAGGGGACAAGCCTTGGCCTGGGAGCAGGCGTTCCTGCTGGGGTGGGGGGGTGTCTGCATCTGAGCTCGTGGTCACTTGCACAGACTGCTCGTTCCCTAGCTGGCCACCTTCCCAGCTGGCCCCATTATCCTCCCAGA